GAACACGCACCATTGCCAGCAAACTTCAATAAAGGTTAATTTCCTAAAAAGTGTTTCCCACTTCGGTCTTTGTCAATTCCTTGACATAACCCTCTCCAGCTCGGATCAAGATAGTTTTGAGCATTGTTCTTTTTAAAGCTGAGACAGAGTCCGAACAATGTTCTGGGACTCTTTCTGCATGATCATCAAGACTAACGATTAGAACGACTCCCACTTCTCATACTGGAACCCTTTAACATCAAGTGCTCGTTCAAGTAAGAGGAATAGGTTCGTCATTCCTGAATGCAAGATCAAATCCATAACAGCTTCAGAAAGATCATAATGTCTGATTTATATCAAGACTCAAAATTTGATGCGCCTACAGTTAGGACACAATCAGGATGTAAAATGGACATGTTAAGCTGACATCAAGAGAAACATAAACAAATAGATTAAGTATAGCTCACAATCCAAAAATGAAACAATTTACATAAGTTAAGAGATCAAAAATGAGAAATAAAGATACAGACACAACATAAATGCCATTTCTTCATCTTATGGATGTAAAACAATTAACTTGTAAATTAAGTATCTCCAAACGCAGCAATCAAATATTGATAAATAGTCTAGACAAATAATAATCTTCCATTGGGTTCGATATAATCAATTGTCAAATGGAAAATAAAATCAAAACAATTATCATACTTAATTGCCAACATGTATCAAAACTTCAGCCAGATAGCAACCTTCCTTTGGGACCGATTAACTATCGCGCAACGACATTCTAATACATCCTGTCACTAATAATTCTAAAAAATAAATCATTCAGCAATAGAGGTCACTTTGTGTGACTTATTGATCAAATTCAATTTATTTTAGAACATTGTCTCACACAATTAGGGCGTTAATCACTCTAAAAATTTAATCTCAAGTTTGACAAATTAAAATTCATTTAATTGAATTAAAACAAACCAATTGCAATTAAATGAATTGATTGATCTAAATATTTAATAATCTAAAATTATTTAGCCAAAATAAATATATATATATATAATAAATCTAGTCTTTAAGTCACTAAAATTAGAGACTAAAGTTTCATAATTGGACTAAAATAATTTGAATAAATAAAGTTCGGAGGTCCTAATTTAATGAAATATATGTCCATAGGTCTAAGACGAAAGAAAATCAGGAAATTAGGGGCCTAATACACCCCTTGAAAAAAAAATAAAAAAGTTTTGTTCCAAGGGAACCTAACTCATTATTTCCATCCAAATTAAAACCAAAAACGATCCAGAGATGGAAATAACGGTCTGCATGCCAACTCTCTCACCTGCCGTTCAGACCCTTTCTGCCCTTGGCCAACACCACCAGTTCCAAACCAAGAACAAGCTCCAGTCGCCGTTGGAATCCGGTGAAAAGGCAGCCAAAGGGAGTCTAAACACGGTGTTTGAAAATCACAAATCCCTAAACTAGCAATTTCAAAAGCAAATTCCGCACACAACAAATGGAGAGTTTTCAAGTTTGAAACGAACGGCAACACAATGAAAAAAAACACAATCTTTTGTTACAATAATTCGCCTGAAATCGTAATGGCGTTATTAACTCAAGCCAAAATTTCAATCAAAATCCATAAAACCTATACTGTTTTTTTTTATTTTTTTATTTCTACAAAATCCGGCTACAAAACAAAAATACCACAATCGTGAGAAAAATACCACCTGACGTGAAAAATCAGGGTCCAATCATCATGATATGAATCAAAAGGAAACACAAAAACACTAAAATATACAAACCTCTTACCTGTTCTTCGTATTACCCGAGCTAGTGAGAACAATTAATATTTTTTTTTTTTTTATTTGTTTTTCTAACTGATTTACGGATTGAGGGTTTTTGTTTAATAAAAAAAAATATATGAACATCAAATCTAAATCTAGCAATTATGCACAAGAGCTATCTGACAACTTACACTTTGAAAGATTAATCTTCAAAATAATTACCACAATAATACTGATCACAAACCACTAAATTCCAAACAAATTAGATGAATAAGAAAAGGTTGCGTACCTGAATCGTTGTTACGTCTACAGCGAATCTGAGTTTAGAATTAGGATTTGATAGCTCATTCCAAGAGAAATTGACGAATCGATTAGCAGAAAGCCAGTACGAAAGGAACTCGTAAAACTGAAACCTAGTATTCAACTCTCTCTGGGGACTACGAATCCTTTTATATTATTCCTGTAGACGTTAGTTACAATTCCCTATTTCGGCTCCTTTAACACAAAATATGTATTTATTTTATATGGTTCTATCAGCTGATATACTATAATCAGTTTTTGATATCTCAATAGTCAGATATATTACACAATCAACATAGCACGCGACCACATTTGAAATATGAACTGTACAATGGATAGTACTGTTGTTACACGTATTATTTTCCACTATATATGCACACACAGAAAATTAAATATCCACATGGAGTTTATATGAAATTTTATAAGGCTCTGCAACAAACCCACCATGGATTTCCTCCACGCACAAGCGGCGATTAAGCTTATCCTCCTAAACTCACCCATCATAACTATTGTGAATAAAAATTGGTTCGCCTAGCTCTAGTGGGTTCCACTTGCACTAGGAAATTGTTGGATTGTTATGTTGATGGAGACGACGTAGATGACTCTTGCAAGAGTTCCGGTGACTGAAGCAATTTGAATGGCACTGTAAGTCAGTGATCTTGCACATTGTAAGCGTTACGAACCGCCACCTTACTATAAGAAGAACACCGTTAACTACCAGAACAGCATTTAATGGCGGGTACTCAATCCAGAATTGCCATCTCAACTTCCTCTCATTCCTTAACATCCTCGACTGATGCCAATTGGATTTTTTGAACATCCTCAGTTTTGTACACTTGAATCTTATATCTAGCAGCTTTGGTCTTAAAGGACTTTGGACTCAAATAGCCTGTGGGTGTTTTATGGGCAATACTATTCAAAAAACTATTTTAGATCCTACCATTAATTTCATTTCAATAATATAGTAATTTCTTGAAAGTATGCATTGCGTAAAGTTCATTAGGGTTATGCGCTTCTAAATTTTTAATTATTTTTTTTATGACAATTCAATATGAATATTTAAATTAAATAACATATATTTTTCCGACTTTTCCAAACATTTAAAAAATAGCAGTTGTCAACATTAAATAATCTAGTTTGGTATAGATCTCGTTTTCTCCCAAACATATGTCATAAACATAATGAAGCTAAAACTAGTTTATTAAGGAAAAAAAAATCAAAAAAACCTAATATTTTTGTTTGATGGGTTTAATTTTTTCAATATGATTTTTGGCTTATTGAATAATATAATTTTGATTTTGGTTGTTATCCAATTCAAATTTCAATTTAATGATTATTATTGTTGGAGAAGATTTATGTCCTGCCGCTCTAAATGAAATCGATAAACACACTAAACTAAACACTTTAAAATCTTATTTTGTGTAATCATAATAAACTCAACAAAACATGATTAAATCATAAAATCAAATTGAATACCCATTTTCAACGATAGTCTTCCTATTTCACGTTTGACTTAATAGATTTTTTTATACCTTTATTCTTAAAATTCATAAAGATTAAATGACATATTAAAACAACTACCTAGTCATAATACTCAAACAAATAGTATATAAGTGACAAATAATTTGGCCTTATTTCAATTACCTAAATAAAGCCTCTAAAAATTATAGTCCCTGATTTTGAAAATGAAAAGGTAAATCGATTTGGTTGAGTTTAAGGTTAAACCTATGTGGGTGTGACTATTTTGCCTAGAGGGATGTTTGCACATATCTTCTTCTTATTTGCAATGGAGAACTAAAAATCGACCCGGTCGTAATGATACCCAATTCCTGTATGGCTATCACTTCAATAATACCGGCCTGAAAGTTTTCGTTCTGCAGTCGGGTCGATCTCCGGTTTTATAGAACGCCGTATGCGGCGAATCCTATAACTGGTACTCTTGTCTAACGAAAGGGCTTTTTGTCAAACTCATTCTTCTAGTGCAGGTGCTCTTTACCGAAAATTTAAAACCATCCTCACTTATTAAACTCCCAAAGACACCGGCATATTCAGAGGCGCGCTTTTTAATGTTTCTTCCTCTTCCTAACAACCAAGGCCTTCTGTCCTGTTCTCTTATCTTGTCGAACGCATTGAAATTGTCCATTCTTATGGCGGATAGAGAGAAATTGAAGTCTTATAAGTTACATCTCTCTCTCCTGATGGTTTGCCAATATCTTTCCGCCCATTTCTCGGCACCTCTAGTACTAGGTTAACGGTTGAATTGGTAACATATGCGATATTCTATGGATAATTAGTAAAGTCTATATTGGTTCTCTCAATCCTTGATGATCATAATTGTATGTAGTGGCCTCTACACGGCACGTTTTATTATATAATTTTTTGTTATTGTTTTGTGGATTCTTACTATGTTTGGAGGCTGATAGAGTTAAGTGAATGCAAGGCATGTGATTATGTCTTTAGCCATGTTCCGAACCAAAAAACCTGCATTTTTGAAGTCAATTTAATGAAGAAAGCAATATATAGGTTTCGCACCTTGAATAAATACAGCTCATCTTGCGCCTTTTCCTCTCTATTTCTTAGACAACAATTGGTGGCAGTCAGTTAGGTTCCGACGTTACTTGCTTTTAGCTAGTTGCTTATAGTTCTTTTATACTTTTTCTGAACTTGTTAACATTCATATATTCGTTAATATCTTTAAATATATGCAGATTTGGGATCGATTATTCTTTGGATAATTAGTCTTATATCGTGTTTTAATTGACAGACGTCGGATAAGCACTCAGAGGTCCAGGTGGTTACATGTATGGCCTGTAAGTTTCTTGTCGGAAAGGAAGGTCAAGGATTAAGGTAAATTTTTTTTTTTTTTTTTTTTTCGCTTTTCGCTTTTCTCCTTTTTCTCTTCTTATAATATTTTTACGTACGTTGGTATTTAATTTTTTATTTTAGCAGAAGAAAGAACTCGATACTGTCTTATTAGCTCTCGGTACGAATGATGTTGATGTCTTGGCTTTTGATGCTTTAACTGGTGGGATGAAGTGGAAATCTAGTGTATGCCATCCAGGGTATAATTTTTAAGTTGGCTGAGAAATTGAATTTTCCTTTTATCTGTGGAGATCCTCATAAGCAATTGAATTATCCCTTTTTTACAGTGGCGTTGTTGGTCTTGCTTTTGCAAATAAAGGCCGTAATCTGTATATTATTGGAAACAATGGAATGGCATCTAAGGTGAACTCAAAAACTGGAGAGCTGATACTGGAATTCAAAGTATCTAAAAAACCCACGTCTTCTTTAGCCTTTTCTAGTGGTAATATCTTAATTCCGTAATTATGTTTATGCTTTTAATTTTTTTTTTCTTGATCGGGACATTATTCTGTCTGTCTCTCCCATCTCATATTGTTATTTTTATTTTTTGATGTGTAGATGAGAAAATATTAGCTGTTGCTAGCAGTAGGACGAGGGTTCTGAGCCTGGAGAATGGCAAAGAACTTCTAAAGTTCCCTGATGACTTGGTTGGTGAAAATTTTCTGCATGGCTGGATGATTATCCGTGTATGCTTAAAATTATTGATGAGTTTCATCTTCTGTTATTGCAGGATCCTGTGCAGCATATTTCTATATCTAATAACACAAACACCATAATTACATCAGGTTTTGGTGAGAAAAAACTTAATGTCTGGAGGTGCAATTTAAGTTCCAAAAGTGTAACCAGTGGTCCTGTTCTTTCCATGCGACACTATCCATTATCACTTGAATGTGAGGACATTGGTGAAAAGGCAGAAGATGGTACCGTTATCTTAGCAGTTTCAGAGTCTGGTGTGGCATATGTGTGGAATTTAAAGAGCATCTCACCAGATGAGATTAGTCCAACAAAAATCACAGTAAAAGGCAGCGAACAGTTGACAGAAAAAGATCAGCAGGAGGGTGAAAATTCTAAGAAGAGTCGCAGTTCAATATTGGCTGCCAGATTACATGATTTAAAGGATGACAAACAGTTGAAGGTCATAATTGCATATGGTTTGTTAGATTCTCCACAATTTAGCATAGTGAATATCAGTAACTCTGGGGAGAACATTGTTGTGAAGGCTGTAGATGAGACTGAAATTTTTAGAGAAAATGGGATTCTGCCTAGGAAAGGTATGTCAAATTTTTTCGTCTTCCCATTGTCTATTTATTGTAGCCACGCATGCTGGCAGATGCAGAAATGAACTCTCACTGCATTGTATTGTTGTTTCATATGTTTGCCCGAAACTTTCATATTCTTTTCTTAAATTTATCTTTCTACCTTTATAGTATCAATCCTTTCCCACCCTTGCAATTCATAGTATGATTTTTTTTTTTTTTCTCTTTTATCACTTTAGGAACTTGCATACCCTATGGTTGGTAAAGATACCCCATGTTATTTAATAAATCCACCCCACAAAATTTTCAAGTTTAAGTGTATCCCAACTTCCAATATTGAGGTCAAGTTTTATCCTTCCAAGAGTTGATGCTATTATCTATTGTAGAAAATAGTCATCTGTCAGCTCTGTCAGTCCTGCAAGATTTCTTAATATTATAATCTGAGAACATGTTTATGTGTAAACTGAAAACAAACTGGAAATCTGCACAGTTGCTTGCAAGGTTTGCTGTCTAAGGTTTATTAGCTTGAAAATCAATGTTATCTACATCTGTGAGGCTTAGAAAATCTGTCATACTACCTTGGTATGTGGGTGATCTGTGTTCCTTTTTAACCTATTATTGATAATGAAAACTATTCGTAATTCTATCTTTTCATGATTTCTTGGGCAGGCATTTGAGTTTTTGTTCTTCTAGTTTTTCATTATAATCAAAGATTTTTTTTCTCTCACAGGCCACCATGATTTGGAACCTGAAGCTGCACTTACATCAACTCAAAATAAAAAAACAAAGAAGAAAAGATCCGCATCAGATATGGATTCATTAGCTGCAGGAGAGTTAGATACTGGTATTTGTTCTTATATAGTCACTTAAAAACAACTTCAGGATTTAGCATAAATTGCAAATTATTTGGTTAGACTTGCATCGAGAATAACAGCATATTATAGTAATTGTCAACTGACATGACTATGTTTCATCATCTTTTCTTTCTTTTTTTCTTTTTTTTGCTTCAATTATGTTTAGTGATGATGATACTCAATGGTTGCTGATTTACTTACTATGTTTTAGATTTTTTGTCTGTGCCTCCTAGGTTTAGTTGTAAAACACTGAAGTAACTGTTGGATTGAACGCTTAAACAAGCTTGTGCATTTGTTTGGAGCAGATAATGGTGAGGCCATGGATGGAGTACTTGTTGAAGATGATATGAATGAGCCAACCATGGGCGAGAAACTTGCAAGTTTGAATTTACATGATAATGATGAAAACAAGACCCATGAGAAACAAGAATTACCTCTTGCAAAGCCACCGAGTGCCGACTCAGTAAATGTTCTTCTTAAGCAAGCATTGCGTGCTGAAGATCGAGCTCTTCTACTAGATTGCTTGTATACCCAAGATGAGAAGGTCATTTCCTCCTTTTTTTAGGGATGAATTTTGCGAATGCTAGTGTTAGCTGTTTGCTAACTACCACACAAGCTAGCCAAATATTTAATGTCAACATGTAAATTCCCTATTTGGCAGGTTATTGCAAATTCAATCTCACAGCTTAATCCATCTGATGTTCTCAAGCTCTTGCACTCTCTTCTAACCATACTTGACTCCAGGTAATTGATTAATTGTTTTGCAGTGTTGCTGATATGTGTCTGCCTGTTCTTATGAACATTATGCATATATTATGCTTCTTTTATCCATTATAATAAAGTTTCAGTTGAACAATATGTTTTTTCAAAGTTAAAAAATTTATTATCGGAAGTCCATAAATCACTTTGAATTTGACAGCTGAGTACAGTTTGGGTTTTACACTGTTACATGACACTGTTATTGCAGGGGAGCAATTTTGGCATGTGCTCTTCCGTGGCTAAAGAGTTTACTGCTTCAACATGCAAGTGGAATAATGTCCCAGGATTCTTCTTTGCTTGCCCTAAACTCTTTATATCAGGTGTGATAAATGCACCTCACCTAGAGAGGATTTGATAATGCTGTGAACCATTGAACTCACGAAATTTACTAACCTTTAATGTCTCTGAAAGTGTGGACTCTCCCTAGAAATCACAGTTGTTTGTTTGCTGAAATGAAAATATACAAATCTGATGCTATACTTAATCTAGGGATTATATTGAAACAGCTGTCAACTGAACCACTGTTTTCCAATAGCATTGAGATATTGTATTCACTAAGCTAATAGTGAGATATTTGTAGCCACACAATTGCACCATGCAGTTTTTTTGTTTCCGAAAGGATTTACGGAAAATGGGATTCAAGATACAAGTAGAAAAAAGAAAAGAAAGGGAGGGGTATTTTCGTCTATTTATTGTTGCCTTGGCGGCATGTTCCTACACTTTGTTTCTGTTACAACTTAGTCTGTTATTGTATTACAGATCATTGAATCCAGAATCTCGACTTTCCATTCCGCCCTTCAACTATCAAGTCGCTTAGACTCTATATATGCTATGGTATGTTCTCTACTCAGATAATGCAATTAATGGAGTCATGCAATTTATAATAGCAACAATGCAATTTTTTTCTGTGTATTTTCCTTTTTTTTTTTTTTTTTTTTTTTTTTTTTTTTTATTCCGCCCTTCAACTATCAGTCGCTTAGACTCTATAACTTGCTATGGTATGATTCTCTCACTCAGATAGCAACATTAATGGAGTCCCCATGCTAATTTTATACATAGCAACAATGCAATTTTTCTTCTGTGTATTTTCTTTTTTTTTTTTTTTTTTTTTTTCTTTTTTTTTGTGAACAGGTTGATGATTGAGTCAGAAGAAAATGAAGACTTTAAATTCCAGTAATTTATGAGGAACAATCGAGAAAGTGATGCAGAAGAATTCTAGAAGAGGCATGGAAACGGAATCAAGAAAACGAAAGAAGAAGAAGAGACTTTTGTTTTTTTTTTTTTTTTTTTTTTTTTTTTTTTTTGTGAACAGGTTGATGATGAGTCAGAAGAAAATGAGACTGTAATTCCAGTAATTTATGAGGACAATGATGAAAGTGATGCAGAAGAATCTGAAGAGGCCATGGAAACGGATCAAGAAAACGAAGAAGAAGAAGAGACTTTTGGTGGACTTAGTGATCTTGAAAAGAGCGATGACATGAATGAGTGATGTTATCCAAGTGTGTTTTCATTTATGTTCCTGAGAAATATGGGCATAAAAAATGCACAAGAATCGACAATGTCCAGCAAACAAGGACTGCGATTTTCATAAACCGCAGATGAGCCGTCCTTTCTCAAGTCAGAGAGGATTGTGAGGAACCCAGACATGCTTTGGTCCAGCTACTTGTCATGTGCTCTAAAATCGTGATTTTGATCGGCTCACCAGTTTTGTGGATTTGACATTCCTTAATAGAACTTACACACTCGATTTTGGGAATTGTAATTTACAACTCAATGAAACCATCCAAATAGTTGTACCTTCAACCCCTTCTTCGTTCATGTACATAATCTTTACTATTGATTTGCAGAGCAAAGCTTTAATGATTGTTTGAAATGAAAAACTTGCATTGATGTTCTGATCTTTTTGCATTTTGCTTAGTTCCTTTTTCCTTCGTAATAAATGGCCACGGTGGAAAAGACAACCGTAGGTTCACGTCTTGACAGTGAGGATGGCTCTTGCCTTGCGGGAGCCATACATGCTTGCCTTCCACCATTTATTTACTTATTGTTTATTTATCATATGTTTTGTTTTGTTGCTTGAAATAAGACATTAGGCGGGATAAATTTCACAAAACCATAACAATTTTATTGTTGAGGCGTGTCAATTTATGAGATCCGCCCTCTGGCCGTATATGGTTTTTTCAGTTGATTAAAAAGATAATTGAGAAGTATGCATATGTGAGTCTTCCATTCACCGGTCATCAAGGACTGTATGGTGTGTGCCATATATGAAAGATTAAAGGGTAAACCAACCGCTAGGTTCGAAACTTGATGGTTCGAACTCGATTTTAAACTCAAACTCTACGCTGAATAAGCTTATTACAAATAGACTCGAATAAGCTTAATAGACCTGAATATGAAATTCAATTCAAACAAATAGGCTCATATGTGAACTCCATTCGAACATAACTTTTTCCTTTCTGAACTCTACAAATAAATTTAAAATAAATAGACTCAAACATCAACCGAATTTTCGAATTAGCCTCAAACATGAATCTTTCGACCTAGTAAGCCGCCTTTTACACCCCTGTCGAGTCCCCCAAAAATGAAGTCCATGCGCTGTGTTCACTATCTTGTAAAGGGCTGCTAGAAGATAGCACTCAAATAGCTGCTGCTTCTATTCAGCATGTCTACACTTCTCTTCTTTTTTATTGAATAGTCTTCGCAGAATAAGGATGTCAAAATCTAAACACTTAACTTTGACCTACCATATTATAAAACTTAAATTTACTTCCAGTTGCACAAAAGAAAACCTTCAAGTACAAGGATGAGTAAAATACTAACCCATTGGATCATTTTGCTTTGGTCTCTTCAATCATCATCTCAATTAAAGACCAACAACCCCTATAAAAATTTTAAATATCAAAATACACCTTTTTTTTTTTTTTAAATAATCAATCATACAAGTTCGTTTTGCCAAACATCAAATATATTATATCAAAATAAAAGCAAAAATAAGAAGTAAAAAAGGACACCTGTTTCATTTTTCATTAATAAGCACATTTCCTAACCAGGTAATACAAAGTTACAATAGAAACACTTCATAGCAAGCTGCTTTTTAAGCACACTTAGACCCACTATTTTATTTATGGCTTTCCCTGTTTATAAGATGCTACATAAACTCTCATCTTAGAGAAAGCCCAAGACCCCAATACACACATAAAATTTATTAGCCATAGGTAGCAGTACTAGTAGCTAATACCTAGTGTCTGTGTCCCTATAAGTTGTGGTCTGCTGATGGCCAGAACGATCCTTAACATGATCTTCTTCTTCTTCATGGTGAGCCATACCAAAAGCGCTTTTGACAGTATCAGCAGTTTTTTGAGCTGCATGCTTCATTTTCTCCCCAGTTTCTTCCAGAACTCCCTTTGTCTTCTCCTTCCCTTCATGAGCCTTCTCCTTGGTTGCCTCTGCAGTCTCAGATGTCTTTTCTCTTGTCTCATGGGCTTTTTCTCCTGTCCAGTCTTTCGCTTCTCCAGCCTTCTCTTTCACCGTATCGCCCATTCTGTTCCCCTTCTCCTCGGCTCGGCCTGTAGCCTCACCGGCTCTGTAACTATAAGACTGATCATTAGATGCCATTTTCCTTTGCAATTGATATTTGAAAGCTTCTTTAAGAATGGATAAAGAAAATCTCTTTCCTGCCAATGAAGTTTGAAGGGCGTTCTTCCTTGAGTATTTTATACGCATATAAGGGATACTACATTATTGCCACGTGCATGTGGTTTCGACACTTGTAAGCCACGTGCCATGCATTTGGGAACCTTCACCTATCTTGTGTCGGTTTCTTGTTTCTTAATGGATTAAAAATTATGACATGGCCTATTTAAGATTGTCACGTGGTGATCTGTTTATCAGTCGACACTTTCCAAATAATTAAAGTTTCTCATTTGTTACTAGGATTTTTATTTTTTTTTATGATACAGTACCCCAAGAATTGTGATGAAGAATTGATTTTTTAACTAAAGAAAAATATTTATTTACACCGGTTGTATAGCCCTCCTTATGAACTAATTTAATAAAAATAAAAATTTTTAAACAGAAATTTCTATTTTATCATTTTTTTAATTTATAGTCGAAAATACATATTTCAACAAAAATTTATATTTTTATCATTTTAGTCTCTGAATAAAACATAAATTTTGTATAAATAAGTTTATCTTAAAAATGAAGTTTCGATTTTAGTTTATGTAATACTATTTTTAAATAAAATGCCAAAAAATTAACTTATTTAGAAAAGGTGCTAAAAAATATTAAAATTAATAAATTATGCATGTTGGTAAAAAGAAAGTTTAATTTCATTTTTCGAAAGTTCAATGCATTTGGAAGATAATAGCACGAACGAATGTATTTAGCACTTGGAAAAAGTTCAATGCATTTAGATTTTGTGGACCATTCAGATTGAGCAGAATAGTTCAATTTAATTTTATGATATTTTAATTTGATTTTAGTTTTAATAGAAATTTTTTAAATTTGATTTATTTATATTCATTTTATATTAAGAAAAATGTGATTATGGGTTTTGATTGTTGGTAAGTGACAATGCTTTAGCTCTTGGTTTTCCCTTTCCTCCATAGACGAGTATAGTTTAATTTTTTATAATTCGGTTGGGTTCAATCTTGATAATAAAAAAATAAAATAATCAAACAAACCAAATTATACAAATTTGTACATAAGAATATGTTTATATATTTATTTTTATTGTATAAAATAAATTTTATATTTAAAATACAAATAATCAAACAAAACAAAATTCATACAGAATTTGTACATAAGAATAATTGTTTTACTATATTTATCTTTTATTGTTATAAAATAAATTTTATCTATTTTTATATTATTTAATATTATACATAATATTGTTATAATACAAACAATTCTCATGAGTGTGAAGTGTTTTCAATTTTAATTTTTTTGTTTCTCAAAAATTCTGTTATATATATATATATTTAAAAAAATTCCATGAGTGAAGTGTTTCAATTTAATTTTTGTTTCTCAAAATTTGTTTGACTTAATTTGGTATGAAATTTAATTTTGTTCATTTTTTGTTTAAAAAAATTTAATTATTTTAGCTTTATAAAAATTAAACTTAATGAAATTTTATATTGTTTATTTGAAAAAAAAATATAATTTATGGATTTAAAATGTTTTTGAAATAAAATTAAATAATTGCAATTATACTATTAATGAAACGATGGTTTAAATTATATTGTTAATAAAAAGGATAAGATTATAAAATTATTTTTTTTCTCTTCTAAAATGATGAATAGAAATAATAAAATCTATCAATTTCATAGATTGTAATATCTTTTTTCAACTAAATAAAGGAATTTTGCAAATCTATAAAATGTTGATGGTTTAAATTTCATAGGTTTAAACCCTGTATACTAGCATTCAATTATTTATTCATGGAATTTGGATAATACATGTAACATTCAATGAGATCTTATGTTAAATTCTCACCTAATAGAGATAAAAATAAAATACTGATAGAGATTTGAAAGAGATGGACAATGATGGTGAAGAGGCATAAATTTATGAATGTTTTCCAATATGTATTTTAATGCCTGTGAAAGGCCTCTATGACCTTTCAATTATTACCATTTTTTTAAAATATGTATTATGAAATTTAACTAATTTTTAGCTCATCATAAAAAAATAAAATTACATGTTTGTGTGTGTATATATATATATATATTTGTTTTCAGAACCATCTCTAAACTTTTTGATTCCTTTGTAAAAAATATTTTTTCATGTCCCTGTAGAAGTTATGCTTGAATGATGTTATGAAATAGAGGTCTGAAGTGATCTCCTAAATCCAAAGAACAAGATTCAATTACTAGTACAGCTTTAAACTACTGCCAACCGCACCCTATTATATCTGCAAAGAGCCAAAGAACTTCGAGCTTCCGATCCATCGCTGAAGGCGGTCCGAAAAACCCACTATAACAGAAACCTTAAACTTAAAGATCTCTTAGCACACCTTGAATCTTATCAATTTTAATTTTGTACAGATAGAAGAGAGTGTGAATATGTCTCTAACGTGCGTGAAAATGTCTGAGGATGTTTGGTTAACATGTCTCACCCATGCATTGTCTACGGAGACTGAGGAGATTATGGGTCTGCTTCTTGGTGATATCGAGGTTTAATTCTTTGATTCTCTTTTTTCAATTTGAACCGTAAAGTTTTTATCTTTGCTTCTATTCAAAAGGATTCTAGCATTTATCGTTATTTATTTATTTTTTTTCTTGGGTACCATCTTCCTGGAATTGTGATTATAGTGGGAGTGTAGTGGAAGTTTTTGGGTTGTTTGTGGTGTTAATTGAGATGGGTAGGTTACAAGTTGTTTATCTATTTTCCAATTTTGAAGCTTTTTGATTTTTTTTTTTTTTTTTTTTTTTCTTTTTGATTTTTTTTTTTTTTTCTTTTTTGGTTATTCACACTCGCATGTGTTAGTTTTGAGCATCTTGTTTATTTAATTCATTCTTTAATCTTGCTTATATTGGAAAATAGATTGATCAATTGTTTGGTTTTGTTTTTTTTTTTTTTTTTTTTTTTGGTTATTCACACTCGCATGTGTAGTTTTGAGCATTTGTTTATTTATTCATCTTTAATCTTGCTTATATTGGAAATAGAATTGATCAATTGTTTGGTTTTGGTTTGGTTGTTAAAATAGGTTATTAGAATCCTGAATGCTAATAGACATTTTATTTTAACTTTAAGCTTTTTGTTGTATAGGTTCTGTGTTCACTTTGATTTTGTGAGGTTTGATTTGGAATTGTAGTTAGTTCTGATTTTATCGTAGACATTTATTGAATAGGAATTTTGGGCGTTGCTATTCCCTTGGCTGATAAATTTTTACTTTGGTTTTACAAGTTTCAGTTCTGTTCTGTTTTGTCTAGACTTTTATTGATTTTGGCAGTTGTTGCTTGAGTATTAAGTTTTTATTTATTGCTAGATTTCTTTTCTTCAATAGTTTATGAACAGACTGTGCAGCATATGTCGGCATACATTTTATTTTTTAATTTGGCTAGTCTTTTGAGAGCTTTAGTGTACTCCTGCTGAAAAGTTCTAGTTTTTATGCATTTGTTTTCATTTGTGAAAATTTTTCGAATTGTTGTTCAGTTCTGTTTTTGATATGTCAATGATCTTGAAAAAGTCTAGATTTGATTGTTCTGATAGAACAGGAAAATGCTGAATCTTTAATTGTGTTTCTTTATTTTTTTTATATGATATTTTTTAAATGCATTAAGTAAACAATGTAACTGTTGTACTCTGGGATTAGTGAAATTATATTTAGAACTTAGGAATTGTATGTGAGATATTCTATTCGAGCAATTATGTATTGTATATTTTATGAATTTATGGTCGTAATAAACTGTTTGGTTCTAGCTTGGAACACTTCCAAAGAAAAATTCATCTTCAAGTTGCTATAGCAAAACAAAAGGACAAATATAGGTTAATGATTCCTATTGATGATTGCATAGTTTGTGTATTATGATTTGTTGATATCTTTCTCCCTTGAAAGGTAAGTCTTCTAGCATACATCAAATTCAATATGCTGACACTTTTTTTCTTCGGAAGTTTTAATATGACTGAAAGTCCAATACATCAACACTTGTGAAGAGTCCGTCTTCTAGGGAACAAAGTTTCATTTACTTGAAGCATCCTTGAAGAGCCACGGAATGGAACCACACCATTCTAAATGTATTTCATGCGTAATTTAGCTTTTATCTAGTCTTTATGCTTCTTCAATATATTTTGCAAACTAAAAAAAAGAAGCATAAGCCATAAATATGCGTAAATTAACAAATCTATACCTACATTATAGTGTACATGCTTGTGTATTATGGGGGTGGGCATTCATCATGCAGTTCTCCGTTGCATCCTAATTCAGCAGTTGTCTTTGCATATGGTATAACTTATTCCTTGAATATAGTTCTTTGAGTGCTTTTTTTCCCCTTGTTGTTTGGCTGGAAGTGGAATCTTGCATTTTGGAAATTACTGTTATTGTGGAATTTGTTTATTTCTTCATGCATGTGAGTATTTATATACTAGAGGGAACGTTCTTTTTTCATAATATGACAGTTTTGGCTTTGATGTTGGAAATCAGTACTCAAAAAGTGGGAACGTTACTGCTCTAATCTGGGGAGCTTCACCTCAGTCAAGATCTGATCGTCGAAAGGACCGTGTAGAGACAAATCCAGAACAGTTGGCCGCTGCATCAGCTCAGGCTGAGATATCCTTAATACTTTCTTGTGCATGTGCATGAGATTTCTAATAACTATGTCGTTGTCCTTGATTATCAAATTATAAATTTCATTATGCATTTACTAAAATTTTATATCATAATGGACTTTTAGTCGCTAAAACTTTAAAATTGGAGTGCACTTTAGTCCTTTGGTCTCCCAAAATATTGGAACTTTTTATTGACATTGGAGTAGGGACTAAAATTGTTTTGAAACCTCTGTTCATTTTTGGTCAACATGATTTTTTCCCTTGTATTTATGGTAATCTGCTGAATTTTTGCTGTAATACCTCATACATAAACTTTAGGCTGCATTATGAAGAAATGGAGATGAAGATGGCGAAGTTTGCATGATGAGTAGCATGAATCAAAATTCAATCCATCAATTTAGGATCTGTGTTTTATGCATATTACATGGATGTTAATTTTGTGAACTAAAACTTTCACATAACTCAAATTTTTAAATAGGTTTTTCATATTTCCTCATGTCATGGCTTAATACAACTGATTACTATGGATACGATAGACATTCATATTGATAACCTTTAGTTAGTTATAAACTTGCAATAACCAATGCGCATAGGCACAATAAAAAATGTTTGTTGTGTTGTGTGCTTTAACTATACAACACAGAATGACCGCATCGACGGGACGGACTACAAGGGTGATTGGATGGTATCATTCACATCCTCATATTACAGTTTTTCCTTCTCATGTAGGTAAGCTGTTGAAGTTCAATAAATTTAATGTTTGGATTGAGTATTTTAAAATCTGTGGAATTTGTCAAAATCCACTAGGTTTCTAATTCCATAATTTTGTGGAATTTAATTTGTTTGGTATAAATATTAAATCCATGGTATTTTTGTAAATAAAGAAAACCTTAAGAATCCCTTGTTCATTAAAATGAGGATGTTAGCAAAATCTCATCTTCCATGTGGGATATAAAACAATCAAAATGAGGGATTGCGTTCCATGGGGGATATTGAACAATCTATGGGTTTTGCCTTGTTAATGTTGTGCCAAAAAAGAAATTTGAACCAAATCCATGAATTACCCAAAATCCCTCATCCAAAATCTATCATATCAAACATTAACAATTGTAGTATTGCCCTCCTGATAAATGATTTTTTTTTTGTTCACTTTCTACCTTTTTGTGATAAATTAATTAATTTGCAATAAAACCATCTCTGTGATATTGTTTGTTGACCATTATGCTCTTTTTATGTTACACATTATAATTGGTTGTTGGACATTTGAAACAACTCCTGTCTCGTGCTTTTTGGCTTCTGCAGATGTGCGGACTCAAGCAATGTATCAACTTCTAGATCCCGGGTTTATCGGGCTGATATTTTCCTGCTTCAGTGAAGATGTAAATAAGGTCTGCACACTGCACTAGATGCATTCAATATAGCAAGTTGTCTACTGAAAAACGTTTCCATCATGGCCAAAGTGGAATTTGCTCTGGTTAATTTCAGGTTGGGAGAATCCAAGTCATTGCTTTCCAGTCCTCAGATGGGAAGCAGAATAATGTATCGAGACCGGTTCCCATATCACTTGTAAATAGAAGTTACATAGATGTTGAATCATCTCTAAGCTCCTCGGAAAATACATTAGCAAAATCCGGATCTGCAAGGGTGGATAGCCCTGAACAAGACACTGGTGATTCAAGAACAGCTGCAGCATTAAGTAAGGTATAATTTTGATTCTCAAAGTTGGTATTCTCATGCGCTTGTTATGAATGTCTATAATGGAGTTTGGCTGGATAAAAGAATTGTGCCCTGGTCAGAGTTTATCTCTAATTGTCATTGCCTGATTTCTCTTTTGTTTCCCTATTGTTCCTTAAATGCTGAAGACTGTGGATACTTGCTACTTCCAGCGCACGTACTTGTGCTTGATTGCGTGTTCTATTTCATGACTTCATTGGCAGTAAAATATAAACTTAAACATGATGGAATTTTTTGGCCTTTGCTATTTATAGTTTAAAATCAATGAAACATGCATGTCTGCGATCATAGGCACTAGGCACTAGTATTGGGCTTGATTCAATGATAGATCCTCCTGTAATGGGAGACCATCATCGTATTCTTTTCTCTTTTAATTTGTGTGTAGTGTTCAATTAAAGTTTAACCTCGTCGCTCCCTCCCTCCACCAAAAATGAAAGTCTTAGAAAGGTGATACATGGCTGCATCACCTCTCTTGCTTTGCATGGGATTTGGCTATTGCATTTGGTTACGTACGTTAATTCTTTGTAAATGCATTTAGGATTGTGTTATAAGTATGCTTCAATTTGCTATGATAAATTGCAATTTTTGTCCATGAGTAGAACAAATCTTAAAAAAATGCAACTAAGGCAGGTTAGTCTTTGCTATTTATGGCTTTAAAACAATAATAGTTGAAGTGAAACTAGGTCACTGTTAAGAGTACGAGAATAGGATTGTGTCACAGGGCGATTTACAGGAAAGTCTAATTCAATTAACTTCCACATGTCCTGATTCTTCTTGCGACCATTGTGATAATTAACTCAAGCTCTTCACAGGGAACTTGAAAACCTTGGACCTCATTAAAGAGAGAGCTCCAGATCTCTGTGTTTGAGACTAAGGCAGGTTAGTTCTTCTTGCTATTAATCGGCTTAAACAAATAATAGTTGAACGTTGGAACACTACGTCCACTGTTAAGAGTACGAGAATAGGATTCCGTGCTACAGGCGCGATTTACAGGAAAAAGTCTAATTTCAATTAACCTTCCCAGCCACATGCTTCCTGATTCTTCTTCGCACGAACCCCATTGTTGATAATCTAACCTCAAAAGCTTTCAAGTTACAGGAAAGTCTAATTCAATTAACTTCCACATGTCCTGATTCTTCTTGCGACCATTGTGATAATTAACTCAAGCTCTTCACAGGGAACTTGAAAACCTTGGACCTCATTAAAGAGAGAGCTCCAGATCTCTGTGTTTGAGTGAAATTCTGACTTGCTTTTTATTATTCTAACTGTCCTTTAAACAGGACTAGACTTACTACATGAATAGGAAACCTATAAGTTAGGTTCCTTAAAAATAGAGATAAATGCAACTCCTGTACTAAAGGAGAGTAGACGACTTGAATTAAAATACTAATCCTAAAGTGACAGCCAAGCCCAAACAACAGCCAAAATTAATTGCCTTTCCTAACATAGGATCGGCCCACAAAGGCATCCACAACAGTCACATTGGTAATATACACTGTGTCAACTGAAAGAGAACCTTTGCTGTTTCATTCTCTTTTAATTGGGAGAGGTACAGAATCAAAGGCTTATTAATAAAGCTGAGTTACTGCTAGTGAGGTAACTCTGATTCATATGTTGCTTATTATTAGTTATTTGATTTCTTTAGAATTGGAATTCACTTCTTTTAGTTAGCATCTTAAAATTTTCAATTTTGGGACCTCACCGATTTTAGTATGTATGTCACAAGGTGAATATTAGCAGCAAGTTTAATATCCAAATTGTTCTGTCTGTCACTTGCTGGGCCTGATTTTATGTAAAGAAAAGCAACGGAGAAACGACAAAAGAAAGTACAGAAAGGTGTAACGAGAAAATGGAGAAAGAGAGGAGGGAAATTCTTAAATCGGTCAAAATGCATAGACCTCATAGGGTTTTTCTGGGTTAGTTTATGTTGAGTTAGACTACTAATTGGGAGTTACTAATATGATCATATGCCCGAAGTCAGTGATATAGCTTTCCATAGAGGAGCCTTTCTTGGAAATTGTATTGTCAATAATTTTTTATTTTCTTGCCATTGTGCTTTAGAACTTAGGAGGAATCAGATCTTAAGATGATAATCTTTCCACTTGGTTGGTACATCCTTCAATTGTTTCATATATGATTGACAGGGTGGGGTAAGATCTTTGGACTTGGGGGATTTCTTTGCAAATGCTGATGCCAACTATGTTGGAAGAGAGAAAATTGGAGGCAGCTACCCTACTGGCAATTCCGAAAATGCAATTGTTGATATAGACCCCATGGATCTGTCGGAAAGTATGCAAGAAGCTATGCACCGCTCAAATTTGGACATGAGGTATGCTAATGCTTGAGTGAGTTCTTGCTTGCTTGGTCTTCCAACATTCTGTTCAAGTGTGGTCCTCAATCTGTTATTATTGCTTGCTTTTCATCTAGTATATGTTCTCTTCAGTCTGTGTTAAAAGAACAAGAGCTTCTTATATATTGTTTAAAAAGAACAAGAGCTTCTTATATATATATATATATATATATATATATATATATATTATAATATATATATATATATTATATATATATATATATATATATAATATAATAGTTATATATCCTTGTGGAGGTAATTGCCATTTTTCTGTGAAAAGTGCCTTGGTATATATATAATAGTTATATATCCTTGTGGAGGTAATTGCCATTTTCTGTGAACAGTGGTGCGGAATACATTAGAAAAGAAATCCCTCTTCATGTTTTGCCGACTTGGTCTCTGCTTAAGCTAGATTCACCTCTAATGTCATTTACGGATTTGCAACGTGTATTGTATGAAGAGGAGCGAGGAGCATACAACCAAGCTATCTTGCAAAATATGAGGTGATATATTGTGTCACTGCTATTGACATTTGTTTTCATTTTTATGTTTATATTTTTCTTGTTTACTCACTCTTTCCAAATTTGCTGTAATTTTACGCAGGGATGGAAAAGTACATCCTCTAACCTTTGTTCATCACACAGGGACATATCAAGCTTCCATTTGCAAATTGATTGAATATTGGTTAGAGACAGTGAGCTGACTTAGAAGTTTTTGTACTTTATCCTTTTTGCCCAGTTGTTTGTTTGCAGCCAATACTTACTACTTTTGAAACATGTGCAGTTTAAGTCCTGCCATAAATGCACTTCAAGACCGCTTGAAAGAGAATGAAATTCGGGTATGGAATGAAATTAAATTTGTATGTGAAACAGTTAGGAATTCTTCTGATTGGCATAGTCATCGTTTTTCGCTCCCTCTAAAGGGAAACTTTCTGGTGAGAGGGTTAGTCTTCCAATTGAGAAGGAACTGGTTTAGGCCTTAGAGAAGCCTCATGCAAAACTGATGTAGGGTAGGATTATCTCTGGAGCTCTTATTCTGGGTTCCTACTTTGTGAATTTTTTCATTCCTTCAGATTTAGATAGTTATTCATGATTTTCTGTTTTAGAAGCACTTAAAGTTTGAAAGTTTTGTATCTCATCTAAGTTCAATGCTGCAATTGCCTTTTTTTCATGTAGTCTCCAACCTCCTAATAATCATCGTGATGTAACATCTTGATTTGGTCATGTATTTGACCTAAATTTTCGTTGTTCTTGTTATTATCTGATTTAGCTACTTTCGCTGAAACAGTTGACAATGCTGAGTGATGAAGCTAAAATGTTGGAGAATGAAACTTTTAGGGGGAGTGAGCAAGCTTCCAGATCTCCCCGCCATGTTCCATCTCATGGTCTTCGGGCAAGTGCATCATCTGGTCAGAGGGAGTTGCAGAGTTCATCTGAATCTCTTAGTTTGAGGACTATTGCTAGTGGTAGTAACCGGACCAGAACGGGATCTTAATGCAGCTCCAAATTAAGCGTTCTGCATTTTGCAAGTGTTGTTATGTCCAGAGTCGCATTTGTTGCTCTGCTTTTCATATTAGCCATTTATATGTATATGGATATTGGTTTGATTACAAGGCCTTATAAAAGTTCAGATACAACATATTGGGGGGAAAGGTCTTTTTCCCTGATACATATGCCTTCTGAAGCTCTGATCATTGCTCTCTCTCTTCATATGGGCCATCTCTAGGTTAAATTGCTCTCAAGGATCTGCCGGAGAAACTTTTGCATCTAGGTTGGCAGCTCGGTAGAGTTCTTATTGAAGCATCGGAGATTTTCTTGCTGTGCATTTATGACCTCTTATGAGAAAGAAAATTTCTTGGGAGGAGCCAGAGGATGATCTGCAATGGGCTCCAATATGTGGGATGTATATATTTCATACAATTCTGTTTTCTAACAGTTATAGGCCTTTCTTTTTATGGGCTTCTATAATGCATGGAGTTCTATAATGTGACTGTTTTACTTGGTGGGTTCATAATATTTTCCTTGGGGAGCAGGAGCATGCCCTTGCTTGTAGTTTACCTTGTATTCTTAATGAAATGCTGTGCATTATTTATCAAAAAATTTTTGCTGACACCATTTTTGGATATCCAATTCTTAATTGTTTAAAAAGCAGGCTTGCATAACATTAACAGTGAATTGGTTAAAAATCAAAATATTATAAACATTCTGCTTTAATTCACAAAATGGGAGATTTAAAACATCAAGTTTAAGAGGGTTGAAAAATCATCAATATGATTTGTTTGTCCTCAACTAAAATGCCATACAAAAAATCTGTATTTTGATAGTAATAATTTGAGAAAAATTTCCGTTTTCTTTTTCTTAATTAGCTTTCTCCGGTAATTAATTTTTCGACAACTTTCGAGATCTTTCATTCATTAAATAAGAGAAAACACCAATCATTATGCACCTAGTTGGCAGAAAATATTTTAATTATAATTATTAATTAAAAACAATGGATGAGACAGTTGAGCAAAGAAATAAAGTGGAAGCAATGAACACATGCGCACAAAATAGCTCAAGAAAAAGAAGGAAAGCAAGGGAGGAGGAGGAGGGGATTATTTTGTTTGGTTTGGTGAGTGACAAACGAAATATTTGTTCTTTCAAAAAAAAAAAACAAAAAAACAAAAAGAAGGAAAGAAAGAAAGAAAGAAAAGCAGAGAAAGAATGAAGTTGGTCGTGGTCATATGCATGGGTGTGATTTCCAAGAAGAGAATCGAATCAGCACCACTTCTTTCTTTGCTCTTCTTTACAGTTTGCCTCTTCATTCCTTTACCCTTCTCCAAGAGAATGGAGGCCAGACCCAGACAGACCTACTTATATTTATTATATATACTACATCTTCATGTTTTTGTATGTTGTTTTTGTAAGAAGGAGAGATATTAAAGAGCAGCCGCAGAAAAGGAAAAAAAAAAAAAAGAAAAAAAAGAAAAAGCATATTAAAGAGCAGCCGCAGAAAAGGAAAAAAAAAAAAAAGAAAAGGAAAAAAAAAAAAAAGAAAAAAAAGAAAAAGGTGGTCAAAATGAAACCTCGAAGACTTGTTATTCCATCATTAACTTCCAGCTTCAACTATCTTTATTGAAATTCACCATCTTGCCTTTCTCTTTTTCTTTTCTTGTTTAAAACATCTCTTGTTTTTATTTGCTATTTCTAAATATCTAATTTTAATATATCTGCTTATAATTACTAGTTATATATCACTTCTTCTTTTTTTAGCAGAGCAAATTCCCGTTAATGACTCGATTTGTTATACTAAAATGGATTCGATTATATAAATTACATTTCATTACAACTCGCGAAATGCAATTTAAGCTTTGATCAGGGAAAATTATAATAACAGTTGTGGTAACTTGATATGCAGAATCAGGAGAGGAAGCAAAATAGAATGATTAGGAGTATATCCAATATTGTATTATTGGAAGGGAACCAAAGTAAGGAAAAAGGGAATATTCAAAATTATGTAAAGCAAAAACAATTTTACTCGTGCATTTGCTTTCACTGTGCTGATTCTCAAAGTATAAAATTGATAGGGACATTAGCTAGTAACCTACCTCTCTTGGAAATAATTGAGCTAACAAGTGGGTCTGCCTGCCTTGAGGTTTTATGTTAGAATTTGTCTTTTTTTTTTTTTTTTTTTTCTGCTGCCTTGAGGTTTTTTAAATGGTTAGAATTGTCTTTTTTTTTTTTTTTTTTTCAAAAGAAAGTCACTTAAAAAATTAGCACACTGACCTAATATTCGGCTCGCCCTTAGAGGCAAAGAGGCTGTAATTCCTGAAGATCAAAATTCTTATGACTTAAATTATTTATAATTAATTCCTGCATTAGTACCATTTCAGATTTTTAAAGTTAAATTAAGTTTAAATTATATATTATTTGGTGAACTGAATATTAATACTCATTTTTTTTTTTTTTTTTTTTCAAAAGAAAGCTCAAACTTAAAAAATTAGCACACCTGACTAATATCGGCTCGCCCTTAGAGGCAAAGAGGCTGATTCCAGAAGATCAAATTTATGACTTAAATTATAATAATTAATCCTGCAAGTACCCATTCAGATTTTTAATTAAATTAAGTTTAAATTTAATATTATGTGACTGAATATTATACTCAATTATAAGCATCACTAAATTAAAGTTGATAAATAACTTGCAGACTGGTTAATTAGCAATAGGTAGTGAGTTGAGGGACCCATAGATTATTTTTATTTTTTATTTTTTGGGGGGATGAAGAGTGTGTAGTGGTTATAGGCTGACAAAATCTGGTGTTTGCTTTAAGTGGGATCCTCTACCTGTTTTGTTTGGTCTTATGACCATTTGGATTGAATATGACCACCTAAAGCTTCACTTTGCTTCCACTTATAACTTCAGTTTTACTGCTGACTCTCTTTCTCTACTGCATGTGCATGGAATTTCATGATTTGACAATTTCTTTTAATTTTTCTCATAATTTAAAATTTTTAAACAAATTTAATTATAACATTCACATCTTTTAAAAAGATCCAAGCATGCGTCTAAAGACAAGGTCGTAAACAAGCTAAAATAAATTTGAGTCATTAAAATATAATAAAATTCAAATCGGTTCAAATTTAAAAAATTGAACTTGAACTTAACTCGTTTATAATTTAATTTAAAAAATGACTTAAGTTCTATAAATTTTTTTTTTTCTTTCGAATTGAGTCTTAAGAATTTCTTTCACAAAGCCAATGGTATGAGCATGTTTGTAATTGTATGAGGGGATGAGCAAAAATTGTTGCTTCTCAATTTTCACATCGAGAAGAAGAAACCCTAAAAGAAGTGATATGGCCAAAGTAATGGTTCAAATTTTGGAGTCTTTGGAATGATAGCAGCTGGAATAATTTTCCTTTATCTCTTTTTCCTACTTTAGATTTTTTTTTTTTCATTTTATTGATTAATATTCCCATTTATCAAGGTTTGCTTAAAGTTGAAAAAATGACTTGGCCCTCCATCCATTCTTTCCCCTTTTTCTCTAATCTAACCATATATAAATACATGGAATCACCCCCTCCATATCTAACACACACCACCATTTCCTTCATTTCAATTCTTCTTTCTTCTTCACCTTCTGCTCTCTCTTTCATTCCCTTTTCTTTTTGTTGTCTAACTCCTCCTGTACTTCAATTGTAAGGTTAGCATTTATTTGGTTTCTTTAGTACTTGCTAGAACTACTGTTTTTCATATTTTATAGCTATTTATATTTGAAAATATAAATTTTGTTTTTGACTTGCAATGTTTAAAGTATATATGTTTATGTTGTAGCAGAGATTTCGAGTTCGAGAACTCGAAATCTCTCGACCCTATAACTCATCGTGTCCGATGAATTAAGAAAAAGTATATTTTATTGGTGTTCATTCGTTGAGAAATTTTTGTCTGAATTCAAGTTTCAATGCAAAATCTGTGATATAAAAAATTAGTAACAGCTTATATTAATAGTTTTTTAATGTTTTTGCAGAGAAAAGAGAAAATGAGTAGGCCAGGAGACTGGAACTGCAGGTCATGCCAGCACCTCAACTTTCAAAGACGTGACTCATGCCAACGCTGTGGGGACTCAAGGTCTGGAGGCTGTGACTTCGGAGGTTTTGGTGGGCGAGGTGGCGGCGGCGGCGGCTCATCATTCGGCTTCATTACTGGCTCTGATGTTCGCCCAGGTGATTGGTACTGCACTGCCGGTAATTGTGGGGCACACAACTTTGCTAGCCGCTCAAGTTGCTTCAAATGTGGTGTTTACAAGGATGATTCTGTCACTGGTGGTGGCTTTGACTCTGACATTCCTCGCTCTAGGGGCTTTGGCGGTGGCAGCAACCGCTCTGGATGGAAGTCCGGGGATTGGATTTGCACTAGGTACCCATTACCATCTACATTTAAAACAAGAAATAATCTGTCAATTATATTAAATTACAGTTTTAACCCCAATGAAACTAAACTATGGAAATAATTTTATAAGTTAAATTTTTAATATTTATGGTTTTTTTTTGACAAATTTCATATAGAGATTTAAAATCTTGAATCCAGAAATTGCCTACCATATATATGCAGGTGGGGATGCAATGAACACAACTTTGCTAGCAGAATGGAGTGTTTCAAATGCAATGCCCCTCGGGACCTCAGCAACAGAACTTCATATTAGAATTGTTTTCTCAATTTCTGGGTATGTTATAATAATTAATTATTTATATTTTTCAGACTACAATTTAAGATCTTAATTAATTACTTATTATTGCAGGTGTGGCAGCAACCAAGAGAGAGAATATTAATTAAAAAATATGATCACTACTTTATTATTTTTATTTCTTTAGTATATTTCTTTTGGGTAGTAGGTTTATTAATTGAGAGTGTAAACCTGGTTTAAGGCCTATCTTCACTCTCTCTATATAATCCATTTGGCATTTTGTGAGGCTTCCATATGATCTTACTGTATAAATAAATCTTTTGTAGCCAGATGGGGCAAAAAAAAATGTACTGCCCAATATATTAATTTCCCTTTTGGTTTTCTTAGAGGCTTTATTTATTGTAAGGTGCATGGTTTCTTAAAAGAAGATGATTCTGTCTTTAATTTCTTTTTTCTCATTGTTTGAATTATTGTTATAAAGGATATGGCTTTCTTGCTAATTAAGCATCATTTGCAGAATTAATTAAATTAATTACAATATCAAGTGATTAAATTGAGATGCTCTTTGTACACATCATTACTACTTGGAGGTACTCTTGAATAATTAATGAATTAATTATTTTAATTAGGTTAGTCACAATAATTATTATTTAAAGAAGTAGTCTGCCAATGTTCTTTTCTCTGTTGATTCAGACAAAATTCCTCATACTAAGGATTAAGTTTAAGTTTCAATTGATTTTGATGTTATTATGATTGTTGGGAAATAGTAAAAGTAGTGGAAAACATTTTTAAAAATCAAAATAAATTGCCATAATAATTATATCCGCAGGTGTTTCTATTTACTTTTGAATCACGACTAACTAATAAAAAAAAAAAAGTTTTCCATCAACATGAGAGCAGCTACTAAAGTCATCTACAATAATTTCGTACCATTAAGTATTTGATGAGGTAAATTTTATATCTCGAGTCGATATACTAACTGTAAAATAAATAATTTTTTGATATATATAAAAATACTAATGATACAATGCGATAGATTTCAAATTGGATAAGAAATAATTGATTAGTAGATGATAGATAGAACCTTAAACCATTTAATTCTAGAGCATCACCCTTTGTTTTTTTTTCAAAAGAAAAATGTTTAAAGCTTTGGGGTATAGCCATTTTGGCTTTGTCAATAGTAAAATGCAAAAGACAATACTAACATTGGATTCTCTTCATTGACCTAATAAAGTGTGTATCTTAAAAAAAGCAACTAGGCAAAATGATAATGTCTCTCTTAAAACAATAAGGAATAAGTTAGGCTTTAAGCAATAGATTCTTAAGGTAGCTTTTGTATATTTGAATATTTTGTTTTGGAGTTAGTCAAAGAATCCTTAATCCTTTCTTTCTCTATCAATAACCCTTTGCATGGCATTTGAATTAGGGCCCATTGTGTTCACCTTGTAGCATGCAGTGAGGTCTTTCAGAATATTATCCAGTGAAAAGCATAATATTGTTAATTTCATATATTAACTTTAATTTTGATTAAGAAGTTCAATGTATGTTATAAAATAAAGGCAATTGAAAGGCAAATCTTTCCCTTTAAAGGACATTTTGAAAACCTTTAGCCCTTAATTAGGTAAAATGAAAAACATTTTGGCTTGCCAAATTCATCTACTTAGTCCTTTAGAGATGATAAAGCAATAATTAAGAGCACCATCCAATGCTAAAACCTAATCAAAAATTTATATTAAAGCTCTTAATTCATGTTTTTTCCTTTTTCTTTCTCAATGTATAAAGAAATTTTTTAAAAAAGAAACTATAAGAATGTGATTTATTTATCTTCATTTTTAATGACGTACTTTTCACGTTAGCTTGTTGTTCGCTGGTTATTTAATATTTTCTGATAATAAAATTAAATTTAAATATGAGAATTTCTAACTGAATTGATAATATGTACTAAATCTAATATCAATGAAACATATATAATATGTTTATTAATATTTATAATATATATAATATCAATTTCAATTATTTAAATTATATTTGATTTATTATATTATTTACTTTTGTCAAAGCTAATAAAAATTTTCACGTTCGTTCGAATATTTATGTTAAATATTAGTAAAACATTTTGTTTCATAAAATTTTAATTAATCAATTTTTTACTATACAATTAATTTCTTATATTAAAATTTATAATTATAATAATTTGTAATGATAATCTTTTAATTTTATTATTAGCAATAAAATTTAGATTTAAAGAGAAAATTAACGCATGAAAGAAATTTAAAGATATTTTTATTAATTTATAAATTTAGTAAAAGTATTTTTGTCAATCTCAGTGTTTCCCTTCAACATGACAAATCAAAATTAAATTACTTTATTTTTCAACCAATAAAAATGACAAATCCCAAAATTAAATTACTTTATTTTTCAACCCAATAAAAATTAAAATTTTTAAAAATATTATTTAATATATATGTTATATATTAATAATATAATTTCTTATTTATCCAATATAATTTAAGATTAAATATGAAATTAATTATGGACTAATCAAAATTAAATTTAACTAATCAAATTTAAATTTGTTAAAGATATTTTTTGCTAATTCATTAATATATAATATAATTTCTTATTTTATCCAATATAATTTAGATTTAAATATGAAATTAATATGACTAATCAAAATTAAATTTAACTAATCAAATTAAAATTGTTAAAGATATTTTTGCTAATTCATAAACTGAATATGAGCGCTTTTGATAATCTAAATATTCTCCGCTCATTTTCACTTTATATATATCATATATTATAGATAAATATAGATAATAGATAGACACTCAACCCCGTATAATATTAGTTGTATATATCAAACTATTAAAAAACTATAGATAGTAAGTAAATTAGTGGCTGATTTTCTTTATTTTTTTAACAAAATATTCTCAATTCATGAATTTTAGGGTAAACCTTATTTTGAAACAAAAAATTTGTTCTTTGACAAAGGGTTTATGTGCTGATCTTATGAACTTTTTGTGCGTACATTTGATTTATTGGGACTTCAGAGTGGATATTCGGCGAGAACTAAGCTTGGGCCCAATACCTTGTTCTGAAAACGTTATGTAGGCCCATACATTTGGACTAAGTCTCAAAATACCCAAAAGGCCTACGAAAGTAGAAGTTGCTTTCTTGCAAGCGTGCAGTGCAGTCGATAACCTCGAGAAATTATCATTTGATTATCTATTAGCTTAGGAGAATTTTTAATTAATTACTCTGTAACATAAAATTTTTTTTAAGCGATTAATTTTCAAACGATGCAAAGTTACGTTTCTTAGATGAACTCTTCACTTAATAATTAATTTTTCTTTTTTCGTTGAGAATAATTTTTCTTTAGAAAGTGTGCAGAAAAGAGGAGAATAATTAAATTAAATTCAAAACATAAAACAGGTGGGCCAAATTAATCCAGTGGAGTGCACCAGCTGTAATGTTTGATAGTTGGGAGACGTCTCCCTTCTGTCGTCTTTGGAGGTTTATGGAGTTGTAACTGGTCTCTGTGTTTCTCTGTCTCTATCTGCTCTTTCTTGCTCTTATAGGGCTAAAAGCCATAAATCTAATGTCTTTAAGAGACCCAGTAGCCACATAATAGTAATACCCAAAGTCACCATCTTTTTGCCTTGTGGATATTTAAAAGATTGAAGTTGAAGTGGGTTTTGTTAATTCTGCTTTCTTCAGTATTTTTCTTGATTATTCGGATAGTCCATGGCTTCCTGTGAGTCACTCTCTCTTCCCAATTGCATTAGATGATACAACTTTTTATATTGATGTTACTTTATGTTCTGAATATGTTTTAGTGCTTTCTTGTTGATATCTTCGATTGAATTTGTTAATCTTGCAGTTTAGTTCAACCACTTCAGTCGCTTCAAAAATCTTTTACTTTCTGTTTTGAATTTCATTATGGGTAATGAGTACGAAATAAAGCTTGCGTATTTATTTTTTGTCTCGACACAATCACAAAAAAACCTCAAGGTTTGGTAGTGGAAGAATTCTGTTTGAATAATTCTTGTGGAAGCATTTAGCTGAAAAGATGAACGTGATACTGTCAAACTTGATAGAGCTAAGTGGATGAGATTTCATGCCTTCTTGGCGTAGAAAAGTGTTATGAAGAGTTTGGAACGATTAGAACTTTACTTGGAATTTAGGATACATAGGCTATAAAGTGTTTTGGGTTCTGATTGTTACTTCCTCATGCTTGGCTTGATGTGGTCGTGATAAACTTCTAGCTTATGAAAAACCTTGTGGTGATGCATTGACAAGTATCATCACTAAGCCTAGAATACTCATCGTACCAATTATTTTCAATCTTATACTGATGATGCAATAATGCAGCATGAAATAAATCTTTTTGTGGTTCAAGTGCCAACTTTGTCTTCATCAGCAACCTGCTCTTTTGGAAACATTTTGATGATGTAATTCTTGGCATGGTTTTTACTAATATTTCAAATAGAAGACCAGTCTATATAAACCATTCCAGCACCTTCTTGCATTGTTTCCCATGGTTAATTAATTAATTTAAATAAGACAACTGCATATGGTCTTTTGCTGCTTGGGAGCTGTGGAAGATCGTGCTATGAAGGGGTCTGCTTGCAATGAGGCCAACTGTACTTTTCTGGCTGAGTGTTAGCTGGTATTTAAAAAGTTTGCATGAAAATGATGCAGAAGAGATGAGGTTACCATTGTTGAACATTCATCATGAAAAGGAAGATAAAACCAAAAATTAATTGCAAATTGTTTAAAATTGCCTATGAGATGCAATTTAGACTTAGAATTGGAATTGCAGAAGCAAAAAGAAGATGTGGATATGAACATCTGCAGAAATGTGCAGAAGGATTTGTTTATCACGTGTTGTTAGGATGTTGCTTGTGCTGAATTAATTTGAGTTGGAAGTCACTAACACAAATGGCTAAATTTGAGTGTCATGATAAAGGAAAAGATGGGGCAAGCCTGCAGTTTGATCAAATTCACTCTCTATAGTTTTATTTACTTTGTACATTGTATTCAGTGCTCTGTCCTCATTGTTGGACACTCTTGTTTGTTTGAATGTATTGTAAATAGTTACTAGGAGGAGACAATTAACTTTATGATAGCTCTTTGGCATACAACTTTGTTGGCATTGTTAGGTACAGAATGTTCATATTTCTAATATAGAGTTGAATTACATCTTATGAAAACAAAACATATGTTTAGGTTTTTTCCTTTTTCCTTTTTCCTTTTTTTTTTTTTTTTCTTGTTGCAAGAGGACTTGTGCATGTTTTTGCATGTGTTTCTTTCTACCAGTGCTTCAACTCAAAAGGAAAATGCATGCACTGTAATCAATAATTGCTGTTTCTGGCCATGGAATTGCAGTGCTGTCAAGCAAGCAATAGGGAATACTTGTTGAGTTAGACCTTGCATAAGAGAACATCAGTGATTGTGATCCTATAATAAAATTCAGATTCAGAGGGTGTTCTGTTATCTTGATGTTTTAAATTTAATATAATTCTATTTCCTATTCAAAAGGACTTGAAATAATGCTTAGTGATCACATATATTCTAAAAGAGTTTCACTTGTTTTACTCATTTTGTTTTTACAGGTAGCTTAGGAGCTTCAAACATTAAACTATCAAAGTTGAATTTCGGCAGAGAAAGAGCTGGTAATATACAGCAATGGAGTGGCATGAGAACGTCGATAGGATGGAGACAACTGCAATATACAGGTCTCACTGTAATATATAAACCAAAGGAAACATTCAGTGTACGCTGTTGTCCAACTTTAGAAAAGGAAAGTAAGTGCTTTTCTTTGATACTTTTTTGTAATCAAACACTCTCACCAACTTTCGGTGGATAAAAGAAATTCAAACACTATGTTACCTTTAAAAAGGCGATGCAGAGGATTGTACTCCCCTTATCCGAGATTTGGCCTGTGCATGTTGTATATGGTAGTACATAGCTATGCTGTTGCAATTATGATAGGATACCTTGCCTGAATTTAGTGTCCTTTTGACCTCTACAAAGGCCTTGATATGCAAGATTACTGCTTTGGGTGGAAGTACCCTGGCTTTAAAGCCACATTTTCAATGTACCAGCATATGATTTAAACTTTTGAGCTGTATGGAGCAGCCTGTTCCTATATTTTCTTGGGTCAATTTCACTTTTTTTGTTGGCATGTGAATGGGCTTTAGAGTATTATACTAGCTCTATGAAATAGCAGCATTGATGTCTAGAAATCATGCACATATTAGCTTGTGAATTGTGGGAGCAAGAGAATGAGGAAGAGAAAGGGCACATAGGAACTATGGTGAAACTCTTTTTGCATAAAATTGACTTGCAGTGGTAAGGTGTCCCGTTCCAAGAGGTGGGGTTTATTCTAACTTCAGGGGGCTGAAGAAATTCTATATATGGGATAAAGATTCTCTATCAATGCGTGCCCTTACTGGTCATTGATCAAATCATTTATGCATCTTACCTGATCTATTCATTGATTCTTTTATACAGTTGAATAGTCTAAAGTCCAAACTTTAAAGATACTTGCATTTGCACTATGTTCTTTTTCTGAACATCTCATAAAGGTTAACAAACCATTGAAAACTTGTTAAGAGGCAGTCTTATTTTTGGTTATGCTTTTTGGAAGTTGTGGAGTAATGTTGCATATTGGCCTTTCATTGAAGTAAGCCTAATCACATGTGGAAATAGATGGGAAATCCTTTTCGAAGCTGTAATTTTTATATGGTATATAGATCTTTTTTTTTATTGAATATAAATGCTACTGGTTTCTCAAAATACTCATGAATGTATTTCAAGAATCCGTCAATGGATGTGGATTGGTCGAGAATTTTTTTTCCAGTTGCGATACAACTTATGTTTCATGGTTTTGTTTCTAGCCAGTACAAATAGAGTGGACAGCATCAAACAGACTAAATCATCTGGGTTGACAAGCCAACTTATTCCAAATTCATCTGAGGTGAGGACCACACGTTGTCTTGAGTATTTCCTTACTGCCCCTACTTTTTCATATTTGTTTTGATTTTGTTGCTGCTGTAGAGCTTCAAAATTTGTTGTTTATACTTTTTCATGCATGGTAATTACTCAGGCTTCATACAATGAATTTTCTCTGAAATAATTCTCTATATGCAGTAGTATTGGCATAATCGTTCTGTTATGTTCCAAAAAGCTACATGGAGAACTATAAATTCAGACGGTAATAAAGAAAGTTACAAATTGACCCTTCTTCTTCTTCAGCTTCTTCGGTTCTCATCTTTTCTTAAATGGAATTATTTATGTAAAAAATTCATGATGCACCTGGCTGATTGTTGATACTTTCTTTTAATATTTTGTCTAAGATTTTGAACAGTAGTAACTTCTTTCTGTATCTAAGTCCTGCAGCTCGTGACCTTATAATTTGTTTTGTTTGAGTATCCTTCTGTGCATTCACAATTCTTGAATGGGGTTATGTGAGATCATATCTGTGGGAAAAGCAATGGTAGAAAGAGTTTCATATAACTGATGCCATCTAGTTGGAATAGGATTCTGGACTTGAGCTGAGGTCAAAGTAACACTTCATATGAATGTCATTTTAGTGTTTAATGCTTGCTAGTTCCTACATTGACTGTGTAAATATTCAAGAAGCCACTTGAAATGCATGTGCTTTGCTGAACCTCCAATTGAAGGTAATTTGTTCTTTGCAAACTTAGGTCAGTTATTTGTCTTCAGTCTTGTGTTACTTTTATCCACCACCAACCTTCAATTTTTTTTTTTTTTTTTTTTTTTGCAAACTTAGGTCAGTTATTTGTCCTTCAGTCTTGTGTTAACCTTTTATCCACCACCAACTTGGCAAATTTTTTTTTTTTTTTTTTTTTGCTCAACTGTTATGGCTGGTGCATGTAGTTGTCTCTCCGAGTGAAATTTTTTTTTTTTTTTTTTTTGCTTCAACTGTTATGGCTGGTGCATGTAGTTGTCTCTCCAGTGATGCAGAATAAATATATTTGGAAAGGTTTATTTTGCTTGAAACTATTGTGTAATTTAAATTTCATCTGCAGATTGAATTTCTGGTCACAGAAGTATGCAATGCAACTTCTATTGCGGAGTTTGAATTGAAAGTAAGCAATCATAAACTGCTTTATGCCCATGTTTTTAAACTTAAATAGAGTTTGGATTTCTTACCTCCATTTAAATTCTTTCTGACATTCTGGTTTCTCTTCTTCCTGTCTCCTGCCTTTTGTTAGGTTGGTGGATTTTGGCTATATTTAACTAGGAACTTAACTCAGAAAAGTAAACCTTCACCTGTTCCTACTCTTGCTCCTCTTCCTCCTGACCCTGCCCCTGCTCCTGATCCTCTCACTGCAGATAAGACTATTAAGGCACCTGAGCTAAATGGGTCAGTTTCTTCAACATCTTTTGCTATCTCCAAACCAGCACCTTTTTCGGGAGGTATTCAATCATTTCTTGATAAAGCTGTGGATGAAGGCTTAATGATACTGCAGTCTCCAAGGGTGAGAATCTTAAGTTTCAATGCTTTTACTTCTTCAAGCTTAAGGCACTAAAATCATAAATATGCAGGTTGGTTTTTTCCGAAGATCTCGAACTATAAAGGGAAAGCGTGCTCCCCCATCATGTAAAGAGGTAACAGTTAACAAGATTCTATCATAAATATTGCTTGTTAGGGACTGGATTGTGCAATAACTGACAACATCTAAACACTGCAGACAGTTCATTATTGTTTTTAGATGACTTGCTTATCTTTGGCTTGATTTTTCTGTTTTCTGATGAATTTATTGTAGTTACTTGTTAGTCACATTTTCTGTGCAAATAAGGAACTGCTCTGTTTCTTGTAGTAAATGATATTGTCATTGGAGTATGAAGAGGCCGGAACATTTGAACTTTGGATTTTCCTAAACCACTTTATTTTTTCACAGAAGTAATACTTTTGGTTTTATATGCTAACTCAGTTTGTAGAAAAGAAATTCAATCAATTCTTATGTGTTCTTGTTCCTCATGCGAGCAAGATAGTTCATCTCCTTGCAACTGCAGTTTGAGAAATTTGTAATTGGACGTTGTATGGCTGGTTGATTCTTCAAGGAGCTTGATTCACTGTTAAATGTTCTGCCTTGTTTATGCATGGGTTGTAGTCCTGGGGATGCTTATCAATTAACCATATGCAACATGTTAATCCTTTCCCATATTGCATGAGCTATGATGAGTCTGTCAGGCAATGCTGATAACTTTCTTCTTCTCAACAGAAGCAAATAGTGAAGGAGGGGCAAGTGCTTTGCTACATTGAACAGCTGGGTGGTGAACTCCCAATTGAGGTCTGGGCCCTGACTCAACATTATTATTTTATTAATGTACAAAGCAAATTTCTCAGCAAGGCTGTGTTTGGCTTCACAGTTACTGTGGCCAAAACTAGCCAACCATTTTGTCCAACACAGCCTGTTGCTTTACATCTTGCTAATTTATAAAGTATATTATGCCAATATCGATGTTTTGAGAACCAACCCTTATATTAGTTGCACCCATATTAATCAAGGTTGAATCAATAGTCAATCTGAAGTAGTAAATATACAATCAATTATATTTACAGCTAAGCTTGCCCTGTTAAAAAACATTAATCAATATTAACCGTGGAAAGTTTTCATCTTTTGCAGTCTGATGTGTCTGGCGAAGTCATCAAAATACTGCGGGAGGATGGCGGTAAGTTTACTCCCTTCTTTTAGCCTTTACTCCCTTCTTTTAGCCTTTTCAAGTTGTGGGTTTGTTTCGAGTTTGATGCTTGCTCATCGCCTCTACTTACTTTTTCATGCCTCTTTAACCGGACAGATCCTGTTGGATATGGTGATGCTCTCATTGCAATTCTCCCATCATTTCCTGGGATAAAGAAGCTTCAGTAGATTATCTATTTTATTTTTCTTAAAAGTGTTCCAGCATTGTTGAGATGGTGACAAAGTAGGAACCATGTGTGCCTGTGTTCTAACTTTGCATTGGCAGTACGTGCAGTTAACTGATCATTGCGGTGTTTAGTGGCCTCTGTATACAAATTTGATATAGTCATTGATAGCTTTTGAAAGTTTTAACATTGTGAAATTCTAGCCTTCTTCATTGTTATTTATCATTACACATACTTTTTTTTTTCAATTTAATTTATTAGTTTTAAAACTATTTCCCCTACTTTTGCTCTCAAAGTGTATAGCATCAGCTTATACACTTAGCTAATCAGAAAATTTCTACATGAATATAGTTGGCTATACTTAGGTGAGCTAATTTAGCTTAGCTTTTTAGTTAATCTGTTTGGTATTGATGTTTAAATAAATTAGTTAGTTGTATAACTGAAACAATTCGGTTTGATTTTAGAAAAAAAAAAAATATTTGATTCAGTTTTTCGTTAGGATTTTTTTTTTTTTGTTTTTTAGTTTTAACTGCTAATAAATTTTTTATTTATGATAAAATTAATATTTTTAATATGTTTTTATCGCTGTGTGTGTTCATCCAGATACAGGTGTAGAATAGAAAATCTACAGAATTTTGTTGGACTAACAAATTTTCTTCCATTTTACGTTTGAGATTATTTCAATCAAATATATGTTTTTTTATCGCTGTGTGTGTTCATTCCAGATACAGCGTTAGAATAGAAAATCTACAGAATTTGTTTGACTAACAATTTTCTTCCCATTTTAGCTTTGAGATTATTTCAATTCAAATATATTATATATATATATATATATATTATATAGTTATATATATAATTTTTAATATTGGGAAGAAAAAACGTGAAAAATTGGAAGAATAATTCCAAACCACAGCATTTATCTCCAAATAAAAGATTCTTTATAATTTTTTAATATTGGGAAGAAAAACGTTAAAATTGGGAGAATAATTCAAACCACAGCATTTACTCCTAAATTAAAAAGATTCTTTTGTAATGATCAACTTAACAAATAGTTTGGCCCAAAGATGAGTAGATGCCTTATGATAAATAAAATAAATTCTTCTAACACCATCTGCAGGAATAGGATCCACTGACTTGAATTGACATTTCGTCCAAAAGCTGGCAACTTCGACCGTTCATTTAACAGAAGCGTAGGGGAAATATTTTTTTTAGAAAAATCATGTTAGTTGGGAGTATTTGATATTGTTATCAATCTTGGAATATATTAATTTAATTTTCACCTGCTAAATTTTAATTTTTTATTCGTATTGTGGCTCAGGCCTCATGGTTGGTTTGATTGACAGGTTAAATAAATAAATTAGCCACCGACCTTGATAATTTGTTTAAGTTCAAAAAACCAACTGGATTTACAAAAATTCATACATGTCCTTTTCTTTTTTTTTTTTCCGCTTCGTTAGTCACTCTTTCTTCTCCTGTCACAATTGTCACGAACTATGGGCAACTGCTTCCCTGTTCAATTTCAATGTGGTGATGCCTTGATTAACCGCTGCTGGGATTGTGTCGCTGGACAGGCATTGTACATATGTCAACTTAAAGATAACCTTGAAGATTTGCAGGATGCAAGAGATGAAGTAAGTGCACTAAAGAATGATGTCATGCGAAGGATCATCAATGAGGAAGGACCACAAATGAAGCGACTGGAACGAGTTCAAGAGTGGGTTTCAAAGGTGGAAGCAATTTTAGTGGAAGTTGATGAACTATAAGAGATGGTCCTCAAGAAAAAGAGAAATTGTGTCTTGGGGGCTGTTGCTCCAAGAATTGCAAGTCCAGTTACATCTTTGGTAAACGCATTTCCAAAAGACTGAAAAATGTGCTTGCTCTAAAGCAAAATGGAGTTTTTGAAGTAGTAGTCGAGAGGGCAGCTGAGGAGCCATTTTATATAACCCAGCTGCAAGCAAATCTTGAAGATTTGCAGACTAAAAGAGAAGAACTTTGGGCGTTAAAGGAAGATGTGATGCGGAGGGTTACCGTGGAAGAAGGACAAGGAAAGAAGCGTCTAGAACAAGTTCAAGTGTGGCTGTCAATGGTGGAAACTACAATAACTGAAGTTGATGTCCTGATAAGAGACGGTCCCCAAGAAATAGAGAAATTGGGTCTTGGAGACTTTTACAGCTCCATATTTGTTGGAAGAGTTGCCAAAAAACTACAAGACATGGTTGTTCTGAATGGTAAAGGAGATTTTAAAGAAGTGGCTGCTAGGACCCTTCCAGAACCGGTGGTTGAGAGACCTAGTCAGCAAACAGTAGGCTTGGAAACCATGTTAGCTGAGGTCTGGAGCTGCATCATAGAGGAAGAACAAGTGGGAATTCTTGGCCTATATGGCATGGGGGGAGTTGGAAAAACTACACTCTTGACCCAAATTAATAACAAGTACCTTAATACGCCCCATGATTTTGATGTTGTGATCTGGATAGAGGTGTCTAAAGATCTACAACTTGAGCAGGTTCAGGCTGATATTGGATCAAGAATTGGAGTTTTTGATGAACTATGGATAAAGAAAAGCTTCAGTGACAAAGCTATTGACATATGCAGGGTCTTAAGGAAGAAAAAATATGTTCTCTTATTGGATGATATATGGGAGCAAATTGATATAACAAAATTGGGGGTTCCCTTTCCAAACACAGAAAATGGGTCCAAGCTGGTATTTACTACTCGTTCTAAGGAGGTTTGTGGACACATGGGTGCTGACAAGAAAATCGAAGTAGGGTGTTTAGCATGGGAAAAGGCTTGGGATTTGTTTAATAGAAGTGTTGGGCCGCAGACCCTCAATAGTCACCTTGATATTCCACAGTTGGCCAAAGTAGTGGCAAAAGAATGCAAGGGTTTGCCACTTGCACTCATTACGGTTGGTCGAGCCATGGCAAGCAAGGAGACGCTCCAACAATGGGATCATGCTGTTAGAATTCTGAAGAATTCAGCCTCCAAATTTTCAGGTATTGAGAAGGTGTTCTATACACTGAAGTTTAGTTATGACAGTCTACCAGATGATAAAGTTCGTTCTTGTTTTCTCTATTTTGCCTTATTTCCAGAAGATAAGAAAGTTTTGAAAACCGATCTAATTGACTATTGGATTTATGAGGGGTTTTTTGATGAATATGGTGATATAAGTGAAGCTCAAAATTGGGGTTACGAAATTATTGGTACTCTTCTACATGCCTGTTTGCTGCAAGAAGGAGGGCATTATGTCAAAATGCATGACATGATTCGGGACATGGCTTTGTGGGTAGCATGCGAGCACGAAAAGGAGAAGGAGAACTTTTTTGTGGAAGCAGGTTCTCAACTAGTTGAAGTACCAATGGCTATAAAGTGGCAAGGGGTAAGGAGGATGTCACTGATGGCAAATCAGATTGAAAATCTGACAGGAACACCCACATGTCCTAACCTGTTAACTTTGTTTCTTAGCCAGAATCGTTTGAAGACTATAAGTGGTAGCTTTTTCCAATTTATGCCAAATCTGAGGGTTTTGGACTTGTCAGGTAATAGTGATCTTACCCGACTTCCATTTGGAATGTCAAAGTTGGTTTCCTTAGAATATCTCAATTTGGTATGGACAGGAATAACCCAGCTGCCAATTGAGCTAAAGTTCTTGGTTAAGTTGAAATATTTGAACTTGGACCATACATACGAACTTAATACTATCCCATGGTTAGTAATATCAAGTTTGTCAATGTTGCATGTGTTAGGATATCAACTCTGATACCAGTTGTTGGGCATCAGCTCTGATACCAATTGTTAAGAATCAGCTCTGATACCAGTTGTTGGGCATCAGCTCTCAACTCTGATACCAGTTGTTGCGGCATCAGCTTCTTGATTACCAATTGATTAAGAATCACGCCTGATACCAGTTGTTGGCATCAGCTCTGATACTACTCGTTGGGCCCTTTTTAACCAATTAAGAGAAAATAATTACGGGGCAAGCGGAATAAATAAGAAACTTTGGGCACACACAGAATTTACGTGGTTCACCCTTCAAATTGTTGTGGTGTGCCCACTTACAATGGGGACCCACATGTGTGAAAGTTAAGAAAAAAAAATGGAGTAGCCAGTTTCAACAGTGATGGTTGAATTGCTGCACAATGGGCGGGCCTGCAAACTTGAAAGAGTTGTACACGGCATTCCTACTCGTTTAACCTGCCTATAATAGGGCAGAGGTAGAAGAACGCACAAACACACACCAGAAACAGAGAGAAAATGTAGCGAGAGAGTGTTACCGTTTAGGATGGGTTCCTAAAACGAGGAGAGAAAAATAGTGAGGATTATTTGGAGGTGTTTAGGGTGTTTTTGGGAAACACTTTGTGTGTCACTATTTTTGTATTACTCTCTTTGTACCTACTATTGTTTTAATAGTGGAAGAATGATTCGGAGTTTGTACCGTGGCCGTAGCCCTAAAAGAGTTGAGGGTGAACCACGTAAATTTCTGTGTGTCCCATTTCTATTTTTCCACTGCCGTAATTATTTTCTCTTAATTGGTTGAAAGGGCCCAATAAGTGGTATCAGAGCTGATTTCCTAACAAGTGGTATCAGAGCCGAAGGTTTCGGCAGGTCCAGCCGGTCAGATAGCGGTACCGGATCCGTGGCTGATGTCCCAACCAAACTGCTGGTATCAGAGTGATATCCTAACAAGTGGCTATCAGAGCTGATGCCCAACAACTGGTAACAGAGTTGATATCCTAACAACAGTTGGGTAACAGAGCCGGGACAGGTTTCGGCAGGTCCTAGCCGGTTCAGATAGCTACGAGGTACCGGATCCGTGGATTAATATTTGAAAATAATATACCACGTATGAAGAAGAAAATTACGACAGTCCATTGGTGTTTGTTCCGCTCGCGAAAGACGTTGCAGAATCGACTTAGTGAGAATAGGTTAAAAATAGTAACTTCAATAAGTTGATAGTGAACAGTACTATTGGCCTTACTGTTGCTGGAGTTCCGCTTTCAAGGTAAGGCCCAAAGCACTATTCACGCATAGTAACTATTTCACGCATACAGTTTACTATTCAACGCATACAGTTACTATTTGAGCTATTACTGTTACTATTCCATGGTTCACTATTTCAACCGGTGATACTTACTGTTCACGTTTATACGATTTATGTTGGGGTGATGATATTCTCGCATAGTCAAAATGGCACAAGCAAAATGATCAGTGTAAAGGCAAGGGAATTACCCATTATTAGGAGAAATGAGATTTCCTGGATATGTAATCAAAATGCATTGTGCCCGTGTTAGTTTCAACTAAACCGGAAGACAAGACTGCATGACGGAATGGGCTTTAGAGCCGCATCAAATCTCGGTTGGGTAATTTATTGATGAAGGTTTCTGTAGGCACCTTCAGAAATGGTCAGTGGGAAAGCTCACAAAAGGTTCATTTTGGAGTTACTAAAGACTGAAAGCTGTAACGTGATTGCATTGCGAAATAAAACTCTCCCAAAGACACTTTGAGTGATAGCGCGAGGAATGACAGTAACAGTTGAACTTGTGTCATTAAACGACTATTCATATGAGTAGGAAAACTCTGGCAGAAAAGAATGTACTACCTGGATGGATGAAGTTCACCTAGATATAGTTCTGATTGTATGTTTGGCGATGAAAGCTAAACAGGTAGAGTATGCTTTCAAGATTATCCCCCTTCTGAGAATTGAAGAATCTATTAAATCTGATTCAGTTCAGATTTGTGTGGACCTTTGACGTTGTCATATGGTAGAAATCGATATTTGTGATATTTTATCGATGACCATTCTACGGAAGACCTGGTATACACATTGAAGTTCTTCACAAACCCTGCTTTGACAGACAGGCAAGAAAGCTTGAAGTGTATCAGTGACAAGATAACATGGTAGGAAGGAATATCACTGGGCCGATTTTGGCGATGCTTTGACAAAGAGCATGGCATTCGACATTCAAACGACAACCTCCAAGGACGCCGCAACTGAACAATTTGGTTGCAGAGGATGAACAGAAACTTTGCATGGAAGAGAGTTCAGAGTTTACTTCTCACATGCAAAGTTGTCTAAAATTTGGGGTGAAAGCATTACTTCACAGTAGTTCGCCCGTTCACTCTGGTTTCCCTCTACAGTATGGATTACGTCCAGAGACCAGTGAGTGTGGTTTAGGAAAGGAAATGTTTCCGCTTATGATCATTTCGCGCGGTGGTGTTTGGTTGCTCACAAAGCCTTCGTGATGTCAAGACTAGACAGTGTGATATTCATTGGCTATAGCCAAGACCAATTGGCTATAAGTTTATGACCCAATCCAGGAAGACGATTATAAAGAAATCGTTTGCATGCTTGTATTTGTTGAAGTCAGACTATTGGAAGATATTAAAGCAGAGTGCCAATAGATCTGATGAAGACTTCAACAGACATACAGAGAGTCCCTCCAATAAAACGCAAAAGAGAGTCCCTCCAATAGACCGCAAACAAATTGGAGATGAAGAAAATGTTCCATAAGAACAAGTGCCAGAGTTAGAAAATCCAGAAGTTCCTAATGAAAATAAACCAGATGAAGATTGTGGTGTTCATGTTCAGCCACCAGCTCCAGAAGTTTCTCAAACATTAAGAAGATCTAGTACAGTCTGACAACCATCTACTAGATATCCAGTCAATGAATATGTATTGATGACTGACAGGGGAGAACCTGAAAGCTTTGAAGAAGCTATGGAAATGAACATAAGAGGAACTGGATTGAAGCCGTGCAAGATGAAATGAAGTCCTTGCATGCTGAGGATGAAACATTTGAGCTGGTGATGAAGTTGCCCAAAGGGCAAGAAAGACTCTGAAAAAACAATGGAGTGTTCAGGATGAAGCAGCAAGGAACACAGCTCGCGCAACCACATTCAAAGCTAGACTAGTTGTGAAATGACATCCATTCGGACAGTGCTCGGAATACGCCGGCCAGTTTTGATCTGGAAATCGAGCAAATGATGGAAAGACTACCTTCCTTACATTGGAAGAGTTGTAAGAAGAAATATACATGGAGCTGCCGAGAGGATTTCGATAGAAAAAAAGAGGATTGTGTTTGCAAAACTGAAGTAAAAGTCTGTTATGGCTTGAAGCAGGCACTGAGACAGTGAGTCACGAATTGAGTCTGTTTGGGGAGCAAGGGCTACAGGAAAGACATTACTTCAGATCACTGGTGATTCAATATTCTCTGCTGATGACTACATTATTGATATGGTGGACTGTGGTCAGAATCTAGCTTGAAGATACAAGCTACAGTAAGTCTTTTCCAGAAAGACTCGCGGACCAGCCAAAGCAAATTCTTGGCATGAGATCGAAGAGCCAAAGAAAATTTATGGTTTGTCCACAGGAGAAGTACGTGAGAAAGTACTTCAAAGGTTTAGAATGCGAGAATGCTAGAAGCGCGTTAGTTGTCCTCTAACTAATCACTTTAAATTTTAAGCTTTCTAAACAGTGCCCCTCTCTACGAATGGAGAGAAAGGACAGAAATGAAAAACAGATCCTGTAGGTTGCTGTCTTTGTGTTCTGAAAGTCTTCCCGGACAAAAGGACGTAGTTCAGGCGGCGTGTCCCGCAAAGTTTGTGTAGCCGGCCTGGTATCAGATCGGTGGCAATCTAATAGATTATAGCTGCAGGGGAGCCGTTGTCGTAACAGTCAAAGCTCAATTCACCCTTGGAAAGATGTCCTCCTTCCATTCTATCACTCAGGATCAGGGATGTGTTGGAGATGTGAAGCTGTTCAAGCTCTGAGAAGATCCATACAGGGAGAAAATGGATCAGTCATGTTGGACGAGATTCTTTCAAAGGAACAAGTTTTGAATACTGTCGGATAGCTGCCAGGGATGATGGAGAATATGGCCAATGGTTCCCACTAAGTGTGCAGGGGAGGAATTGTGTGTGTTGCCCAACGTTAAATGGGACCCACATGGTTGAAAGTAAAGAAAAAAAAAAATAGGAGTAGCCATTCAACAGTGATGGTTTTGTCGAATTGTCTTGCACATGGCGGTCAACTTTGAAAAATGAGTTGTACACGCCATTCCTACTCGTTTAAACCCTGCCTTATAAATAGAGGCAGGAGGAATATAAGAAAACGCACAAACACACACCAATGCAAACGAGAGAGAAAAATGTACGAGATGAGTGTTACCGTTTTAGGGATGGGTTACCTCTTAAAACGAGGGAAAGAAAATATGAGGATTATTTTTGGGAAACACTTGAGTCCACTATGTTGTTATATGTAATCTCGGCCGGTGCTATCCTACTATTTTTAATAGTGGCAAGAATTATCGGCGAGTTTGCCGTGAACGAGCCCTAAAAGAGTTGTGAGGTCGCAACCACAGTAAAATTTCTGTGTGTCCATTCTAATTTATTCCGCTGCCGTAATTATTTTCTCTTAATCTGCGTTAAAAAGGGCCCCAACGATAGTATCAGAGCTCTGATGCCCAACAACTCAGGGTAATCAGAGCTGATTCTTAAAATTCGGTCAATGCAGAGCTGAATGGCCCCCCCAAACATACCTCGGTATCAGAGTGATATCCTAAACATCATTGTGTGAGGATGTGTTGAGTATGGCGGTTATGGCGGGCAGAGCTGATGCCCAACAACTGGTATCAGAGCTGATTCTTAACAATTGGTATCAGAGCTGATGCCCAACAACTGGTATCAGAGTTGATATCCTAACAGCATGTGTTGAGGATGTTTGAGTATGGCGGTTATGGGGCTCGAGCAGTTTTAGGTGCTGGGGATCGGGGAGTGGAAGTTGAAACGCTGGCAGGTGACGATGAAGCCTTGGTGGAGCAATTGAAGTGCTTGAAACATTTGGAGAAGTTACATATAACCATAAAAAGTTATGCAGCTCTCCAAAGACTTTTAAGCTCCCTCAAGCTATAGAGTTGTGTTCAAGCGCTATCCCTCCAGTTCCTTCTCGATTCCAAGTCGATAAACATTTCATTTTTAGAAAATATGAAGTTCTTGGAAGTGTTCTGGGTCATTGATTGCAACAGTTTAGAGGAGTTGAAGATTGACTTGATAAAGATCGGTAAGGATTTTCTACATGCACCTAATCGCTCGCTGCACATGAATGATAGGTGCTTCAAAAGTATCTGCAAAGTGAACATAGAGAGTTGTTCTACATTAATGAACTTGACATGGCTTGTTCTAGCGCCGAATCTCAAGTTTCTTAATGTCGTTAAGTGCACTAAAATGGAAGAAATAGTAAGTGTTCAAAAATTGGGGGAACTTACTGAGCTGGTAGAAAGTGCTAAACTATTTGCAAAACTAGAATTCCATAAACTACGTTTTCTACCGCGCTTGAAGAGTATCTATCGGAGTGCACTGCAATTCTCGCACCTAAAGGAAATCTTTGTGCGTGTATGCCCAAAGCTTAAAAGACTTCCACTGAACTCTGACAGTGGGAAGGAAAACAAATTTGTAATAGAGGGAGAGGATCACTGGTGGCAAGCACTAGAATGGGAGGATGAAGCCACACAGCAAGCTCTTCTTCCATGTTTTAAACCACTAATGTAAGCTAAAGATTAGATATGATATGATCAGTTAGGCTTCCAACTTTTTTCTTGTCCTTTTTTTTTATATTCAAATTTTAGTATAAATCAAAATCAAAATTTGACATTACTTGAGGGATAATTTCCATCAAACTTCTTGATATTAGCTTTTAAATACTAGATTAAAAATCCGGCCCCCGTTCAATCAAAATTGATAAGCAATTTATAAATTTTATAATCAACAATTCACTCTCTAACAACAAGGCTTTCTCATTTGGGCTGGGTCCGTGGCCTTGTCGTTTTAGGCGTTTATGGGTTTTGGGGTTTTAGCTCAATAATTCCTCCAACTTGCACCTGTCATTTGAGCCACGGTTATATTTCGCTCTCAGGTCTTCACTCCGTTGAAGTTGTGAAACTACCGGATATACGGTTTTTCGCTCATAAGTAGAGATTTGTTTTTTAATCAGTAATATTGCTTACACTTTTGCTCAAGATCCTGACATGGGTTTCTTGAAACTATGTTGGTTTTTGGCTTTCTGCTTTAATCAATCCATACGGGTTTTCTTGATGATGGTTTAATGAAGACGGTTTCGATTTCAATATTTTCATTTGGGTTTTCTTGTTTCGTAGAAGATTGAGTTATTGGTGGTTTTTGGTGTTTTAGCTTCACTACTATCTGGGTTTTCTTGCTTTTGAGCTAAAATTGTTTCTTTTCATAGAATTTCCATCTGGGTTTGGGATTATTGGTATTCAAATGCTTGAGTCAGGCACTCAGTTTAAGAATAAAGAACATGAAAACTTCTCCCAAAATGGAAACCCAAGAACTGATGACATTTTTGTCCCAAATACTACAATGCCTGTGATTAACAATCATAAAACCCAATTATGTGAAAAGTTCAAGTTGGGGTATTGTAGTTATGGAAGCAACTGTACATTTGCCCATGGCAATTGTGAGCTAAGAAAGCAACTGCCCAATCTGGAAGGTCCAATATGCAACGATGATGGATTGGCCAGGACTTGGAATTGTAATGGTGACTCTAAAAGGGTCGATCAATCACATATGTGTAGAATGTTCTATTCCAGGAAAGAGTGTACCTATGGTGATAAGTGTAGGTTCCTTCATGTAACTCCTGAGAAGTTTAAGCGTGATTTGGGGTGTTATAGGGAGAGTTCAGCGATAAGGATTGGAAGTATTGGATTGTCAGGTGGTCATGAAAGTGGGATTGGGAGCTCAAAGCCATGGATTAAGAAAAGGCTCTGTAAATACTGGGAGATGAAAGGAAGATGCTCTTACGGAAAGATGTGTTGCTTTGCTCATGGACAAGCAGGTGTTTTCAAGTTCTTTACTTACTTTTGTCGTTGTTAGGCATGTTTGGGTCAATTATTTTCCTTTGAAGTTCTAGATAGATAGCAAATTTATGAATAAACCTATGAAATTAAAGGAACTATCAATAAAATGATTTGATTACCTTTATCCTTGACTTTATTTTTATTAGGGGATTCATCATAGACTTGTTATCAAGGTACTGAAAGGTACAAATCTATTAATGTCAAAAAAAAAAAAAAAAAAGGACTATCAATAAAATGATTGATTTACCTTTATCCCCCCTTGACTTTTATTTTATTAGGGGCATTCCCATTTCAGTTAGACTGTATCAAGTACTGAAAGGTTACAAATCTATTAATGTTTTCAAAAAAACAAAAAAAAAAAAAAAGGTACAATAATCTATTATTAACTTATTAAGGACACTTTTGACTAGCGCCTGCCTCAAAAAAAAAAAAAAAAAAAAGGTACAAATCTATTATTAACTTAAGGGACACTTTTGACTAGCTGCTCAAAGATGAAACTTTTCTTGAATATTTGAAGATACTGAATTTTTGGTTCATATTAGTTTCTGTTGGCGACCACTAGTTAACTGTTGGAAAGGTCAGCTGTTGGTTCTATTTTCTTTTGAAACAAGCAAAATGGTATTTGCATTAAGATTTGGCTCGATATTGGTTTTCACTTTTTACTTCCATTCACAGAGCTGGAGAAATCAACTGGTCACATTGAATTGGCATCAGAAGTTGAGCAAACTAAGGCTTCAAAGACTTTTCTTGTACCAGGCATGGAGTTCACATCCAGGTGGAAAGCATTAAAGAAACTAAGTGGCATCTATGCTGATTGGATTGAAGATATACCCCTTCTGCATAACTCAGTGAACAAAACAGAGAAATGCATTTGAACATCCTTGACTCAGGCAGGAATTCGAAATTTTACTACCATTTCTATTACTGTAGTTAACAGGTGTTTTCATATAAGTTGATTTGTGACTCGTGGTTCTCCTGATTGTCATTTTTAGTTTTAGCTGTAGCAAAGACCTCTTTATTAGAGAATCCAAAATGATATCTTGAATGCTTAGCATGAGAGGCCTAGTTTCATGTACATCTCCTATTATATAATGCTATTATTCCAAGTCTTTTGCTATATATATATATATACATTGATGTATATTTTCATTTTTAGTATCATTTATTGTTTTTAAAATTTTTCTTACACACTGTTGGTGAATGTGGTAATATTGGGGTTTTTAGCCCCCAGGACTATCTGGGTCTTCTTGATCTTGAGTTATAATTGTTAGCATTCATTCATCTGTTTTTTAATGGGCAATTGCAAAGTGAACTATACATAAATTACAACTCTTTTTCTTTAAAGAAAAAAAAAAAAAAAAAAAAAAAACTTGAAGTTATTAATTGTTAGCATTACATTCATCTTATTTAAGCTTAAATGTGTTGCCCAATGGTGTCCACGAAGTTGAATCAGGCTATTACACTAAAATTTACACGCTACTATTATTTGCACTTTAGATTCGCGAATATAATAACAATAAAAAAAAACAATAGAGAAATTAAGGACAACAGCCCATTAGATTTTGCTACAATTTGTACAAAGCATCGCCTACAGAGGAAAATTTATTTGAACTGCATTAAACAGGATCCAAAATTGGAAAAATCAAATGTACATGCAGAAAAATTAAAATAAAAAATTAAGAACTAAATAGATTAATAACGAAATTATACAATTTATTTAATTTGTTGGCATAAAGGAGATCTCCAGAAAAGAACATATGTGAAAATAAAGTATTTGTCATATATCTCCAGTGAAGATAACCGAATTTTTAATCAAAATTGTATTGATATAATTCAAATATAAATATTTATAAAAGCTTAGCTTTAATAGTAGCAATGGGGAATCCTCGTCAATGTCAACTCCATTTTCTTCTTAAAGTCGTAACCCAAGTACTATAGACATATGCTTTAATAGCTCCAAATTCTTTTCTCTTTTAAAAGTAGCAGTCTCATTAACAGCTACATGTACAATAAAGAATTGTGTCTAGATTCTCTAGTTTTGCCAAATGTTGGCTGGTCTCATTGAGAGTGGAAAGTGCTTCTTGAGCATGGGTCAACAATCAAATTGCATACAGTGTAGTGGTTTAAAAAAAAAAAAAAAAAAAAAGAAAAACTGCTACAAGTTCAAGCATCGATACAGAGGAAAATTATTGAACTGATTAACAGGATCAAAAATGGAAAAATCAAATGTACATGCAGAAAAATTAAAAAAAAAAAATAGAAAAGAAAAATTTACATTAATTGGCAGAACCAGAAAAAACATATGAAAAGATGTTATATCTCCGAGATCGAATTAAGCATTTTGAAACAATATAGAAAGCTAGCTTTAATAGCATCATCCTCCCATTCAACTTCTTTCTACCAATCTTCCTCTGCTTCAATCTATACATCTTCACTGTCGATGGCAATTCTCTTTGCACTGTTGGCGCTCAGTGGAAGCTTCTTGAGCAGTGGACAATCATATACTCGGATTTTCTTGAGTAATTGAAATGGCAACGTCTTCCAATAAATGCTTCTCAGTTTATGCAGACTCTTGAGGTCAAGAACTTCCAGTTTTGCAAATAGGTCCCTTTCTGCATTCCGAACTTCACCTAATCGTCCAATGCTGATTATTTCTTCCATTTCTCGACAAGATGAGACTCGCAAAATTGCCAGATTTGGAGCTCGAATTAGCCATGTCAAGTCCCGCAAATTAGGGCATTTTCCCACGTTCACGTCTCGAAGACTAGTGAAGCTTGTGTCCATCATAAAATTAACATTTAGGACTCTCAAATGTTCAGTCTGATGGATTTCTAATGTAAGTAGATAGTTCATGGCAGCTAAATGGGAAATGTTGAGTGATTTTGAACCCTAAAACACCTCCAGAGATAGAGCGTGAGTGCAGCTGGGCAATATGTGGGAGCTGAGAAAATTCTCAAGGGCAGAAGCACATGTTATTGTGACGCTCAATACCTTCAAACTTTTCAAACTCTGCAGTTCGTTTATATCCATATTTGTCGCAGAAAGTATATTATCTTCCTCTTCTTGCAATGAAAAACCGCAGCGAAACATTCTCAAAACTTGCAACGATGACAAACTAGATATCACTTGCCTCGGAATTATACGCAGCTGATCATTTTTCTCCAAGTTGAAGCATTTCAAGTTCACCAGTTTCTTTAACTCAACTGGCAATCGTTCTATCCATGTATGCGATAGATTAAGATGTTGTAACGAAACCAGTTCTGAAATCCCCCGCGGGACTTCTTCTATACAGCTATTTGACAAATCTATAACCGTTGGAGCAACAGCATCCAAGACACAGTTTCTTATCAATTTCTTGTTCAGCTTCTCTTATCAGCTGGTTGACTTCAGCTAGCTTATTTTCTGCCGATTCGAGCCACTGACGAACTATTTCCTTCCGCTTCATTTGCGGGCCTTCCTCATTTCTGACTCTTTGAAGCAGATCATTCTTGGACGCCTGTAATTGATTTCTCGCATTCTTCAGATCTTCAAGATTGTCCTTGAGCTGCCATACGTACTTTACTTTTACACCAGTCTACTCACAGCAGCGGGTGGTCAATTCGGCGAGTGACAAATTGATCGAAACGCAGTTGCCCATAGCTTCTGAAAATTTTTGTGCTGTGCTTAGAAACTTAGAAATACAGTGGTATGTACACCAGGAAAAAGGGATTTTGAGAGAGCCACACCGAAATCACTCTGTGCGTTCCGAGCAGTTGTTCCCCATAATTAAAATTTCATTTCTTGTTCCACCAAAAAAATTTTCATTTCTTGAGTTTTAAAGTGTCACTTGCAACGAATCCAGCTGTACATAGTCATCAGTCAATGCATTTCAAGTTTTTTTTTTCCTTCTGCGTTGAATTTTATAACCAAATAATGCAAGCTGCCACCTGTCATAGTTTTCAATGGGCGTATATAATAACCATAATTGATATGAACCAAAATTTTACGTGGTCGCCACAATGTCAACGCCTCCAACAGACGATGAGACTGCAATTTAATTCCAACTTATAATTGAATTTTATTGTTTTCTTTTTCATGATACATTGAAAATTCTTGGGCTATTACAAATCTTTCACGAATAGCGTAAATATCTGATAATTGCAAATTCAATTTCAACTCATCTGTAATTTCACTGGCTAACCCATAGAAAAACAACCTAAAGAACAAAAAAGAAAGGAACAAGAATGAAGAAATTACATTGCCAAGAATCACTCACATGTATGCACCGAACGCGGTAGAAAGGTAGTTTTTGTAGCATTATCTGCCCACTCAACATCTTTCCACCAATGTTTCTGTGCTAGAATCACAAGTGTATTCCCCCTTTGCACTACTGGAGTTAAGTGGGAATTCTTCAGAATTGGGCAATCTAGTATCATCATTTTTCATAGCAATGGAAAGGGCAGAGGTTTCCAAAATATGCTCTTCAGCTTTGGCAAACTTTCTGACACAAGAACTTGGAGTTTTGCAAATGGGTTTGTCAAATTTTCATCCAATGTTTGACTGCCGATTATTTCCTGCATTCGCTCACAGAACGAGACTCTCAGAACTGCAAGATTCGGTGCTAGAATTAGCCATGTCAAGTTCAGCAAACTTAAACATTTTCCTACACTCACTTCTCGTAGACTGTTAAAACTTTTCTCCTTTAGTAACTTGACACTTAACTCCTGCAAGTGATCAGTATGATGAATATCTAGTGTATGTAGCTGCTCCATAGCTGCAAGGGACCAAATGTCAAGTGTTTTTATATATTATTCTCCCCTTCTACAAGCGAAAAACCACAAACATATGTTTTTTTCCCCTGAATAAAAACACTGAAACGCGTGTCGCGTTGACCTGATACACCTTCCTAATCATCCCACCAAAATTACGCGTAGTAAAAAACTGACTTTGTCGTTGCTCTCCAAACAGAAAATTTTCTTTGTTTTCATTTTGTGTCGAATTAATTGGTCGAAGTCTGAATCGCGATTGCCAAATTATACAGCTTTCTTGATTCCTTAATTATTTGTTGCCGAGAGAAGTGGCGGAAAAGAAAGTGGTCCAAAGACTTGCAACACCTGCTACGTGTTTGACAAAAGGGCTGAAAGAAGCGATTGCCACCGAAGTAAGGACGATTAAGATTTCAAAGATGTTGCAGAAGGGAGAAACTTCAGGAACAGTGATCCAAAGACCATTTGAACGAACAATTGGCTTGGAAAGAGCGTTCAACGAGGCATGGAGCTTGCTTATGAAAGCAACAGTCATAGTTCTGGGCATATATGGCGTGAAGGGAGTCGGCAAAACTACTCTTTTAAGCCAAATCAAGAACAAGTTTCTCAGCTTAACAAATGATTCTTATTTAGTGTTCTGGGTTGCAATGTCCCGGCCATTGAACCTTGAGAAGTTACAAGAAGATATTTGGAATCAGACAGGCTTTTGTAGTGAGCAGTGGAAGTGCAAAAGTTTTGTTGAGAGACGTGATGATATATATAATGTACTTAGCAAGAAGAAGTTCGTATTATTTGTTGATGATGTACAAGAAACGTTCGATTTTGCAAGAGTTGGCATTCCTCTGCAACGAATGCCAAATGGATCTAAAATAACATTTACTTCCCCCTCTAAGAGTTTATGCCAACGAATGAGCGCTCACGAGGTTATTGAAATGAGACATTTGCTGCTGGAAGAATCTCTTGAATTTTTTGGGAAAATTGGTGAAGAAAAGATTGTTGGAACTATTATTCCCCTAGCTGAACTTTTGGCTCAAAAATGCTGTGGTTTGCCACTTGCACTTGTTATTGCTGCTCGTTCTATGTCTTGCAAGAGGAATCCCCTAGACTGGTATCATGCACTGGATTTCATAAACAAATTGGAATCTGCGGAGATCTTAAAACGTTCTCCAAATGGAGATATTGATGTCCCTTCTGTTTTGACGTTTTGTTATCATAGTCTGGTCAGTTATTCAGCTCGGTCTTGTTTTTTGTATTGTGCCTTGTTCCCAGAGAATTTCAAAATTTTGAAGGATGATCTGATAGATTATTGGATTTGCGAAGACTTGTTGGATGAGCATGATGGCAAAGATAGCATTAGAAAGCTGGGATATGAGATTATTAATATACTGGTTAATGCATATTTATTGGAAGAAGAAAACCAGTATGTCAAAATGCATAGTTTAGTCCGTGGTATGGCATTGCAGATAGCAAATAAAGGGGAAAAGGAGAGGAAACACTTTTTGGTAGAAGTGAGTGCTCAGTTGATTGATGTGCCACGGCCTTGGTTCTGGAAGAGAGCTCAAAGGATATCATTGATGGAGAACTCCATTTGGAATTTATCTGAGGTGCCTCAGTGTCCTGATCTTTTGACTTTGCTTCTCAGTTATAATCGTCTTACTACAGTTGGTGGTGACTTCTTCCTATTTATGAGTGCACTTAAAGTTCTAGATTTGTCAAACAGTGATATAGAAGAATTGCCATTGAGTATTTCGAAATTGGTTTCACTACAATACCTTAATTTATCACATACGTCCATAGAACAATTGCCGTATGAGTTAAATATGTTGTCAAAGTTGAAGTATTTGAACTTGGAGCACATTGACCTCCTGCGCGTCATTCCAAGGCAAGTGATATCTAGTTTGTCATCATTGCAAATTTTGAGAATGTTTCGCTGTGGTTTTTCCCTTGTAGAAGAGGAAGATAATATATTGTCCGATAGTAATATTCACTTAGATGAACTGAAGCATTTGAAACATCTGAATGTATTGAGCATCACAATAACACTTGCCTCTGCTCTTGAGAATTTGAGAAGCAGCAACAGATTAACAAGCTGCACTAAAGCTTTATCACTCGAGTGTTTATGGGGTTCAAAATCACTGAATATTTCTTTGTTAGCAGATATGCAGCATCTAGATACACTAGAGATCCATCGTATTGATCATTTGGAAGAATTAAATGTTGACTTTGTGATGGACAGAACTGAAACACAACATAGCTGCAGTCTACATGAGTCAGGCATCTTAATGAAAAGATGCTTCAACAGCCTTCAAGAAGTGAATGTGGGAAAATGCTTGCGTTTGCGCGAGCTAACATGGCTTATTCTAGCTCCAAATCTGGCAGTTCTGAGAGTCACAGCTTGTGAAGAAATGGAAGAAATAATCGGCATTGGCCAGCTAGGTAGAACTCTGCACGCTGGTGAAAGTCTAATCCCATTTGCTAAACTTAAAGTTCTTGTGCTTGAAGATTTACCGAAACTTAAGAGCATATATTGTAATGCTCTGGCTTTTCCATCAATAAACAAATTCAAAGTACTTCGTTGTCCACTGCTAAAGAAGCTTCCACTTAACTCTAGCAGTGCCAGGGGAAGTTCAGTTGTCATTTTGGGAGAGGAACATTGGTGGAAAGATGTTGAATGGGTGGATAATGCTACAAAAACAGCATTTTTACCTCGTTTTGTGCGTTTGCCTTGCTGATTTCTGGAAGTTTGGTGTTTGAAAACCATAAATTATATTTCATCATTTCTGTTATTATGTATGGACACCTCTTTTTAAGTCAAATATGAGATTTTGTTGTCTGACCATGTTTGGATATGGACAAAAATATGGGAGGAAAGAAATAACAAAAGGAAATGATTAAAAAAATTAAATTAAATTAAATTTCCCTTGCTTGGCAAGAGTAAGGAAAATAAGGAGGAATGAGTTTTCCTTTTGAATTGAAGGGAAAAATTAAAAAAAAAAATAATAATAAATAAATAAATAACTGTAACTATGATAAAAGGAAAATATATTTTCCTCCTATGTCCAAATATAAAGGAAAAAAAATTTTCTTTCCTTCTTAATTTCTTTTTCTCTTGTATTTTCATTTTTCTCTAATCCAAGCACAGTAGCTTGTTAGGGACAGGATTTAAGTTTTTAATTAGGCCTAATTAGTATATTGATTCGGCCAACTCCCTTTGCGCGGTTGTCCAGTTGAAAAGCTATTGGGCTCGCAATTCTATTGCTAACGACACCGTCCTTTGCCCCGATCATTGTTGATTTCTGTCGTTTCTTTCTGTTTCGATTATGAAATGACGTGTAGTTCATCCCTTTGATGAGACTTTATTCCGGCGTTGACTTGCAACATCGTTAATTCAAGATCCATGTCTGTGTGAGTTTTCTCTATCAAAATTGTAACAAAACCCTATACTGGAAATCTGCCTTTCCTCTTTTTCTTCGGTTTCACTTCTATTCTACTACACTAATAGCTCTTTCTTTCTTGGCCAAAATTTGCTGACATTTCCATGGATTCCTTGATTATTTGCTGCTGAGTTTATTAATTTAATTAAGTAGCATTTAGTTCAAGAACAGCAACACCCACTAGGTGTTTGGCAAAAGGACTGAAAGAAGACTGGAAGGAGATCTCAAAGATGTCGCAGGGCGTAGCAACTTCACAAACAGTTACTCATAGATTTGATGAGGAATGTAGCTTGATTATGAAAAGAGAGGGAATTATAGGCATATGCGGTCTGGAAGGAGTGGGTAAAACTACCGTTTTAGCCCATATCAAGAATAAATTTCTTAGTTTACCACCCAATGGTTTTTATCTTGTGATTTGGGTTTCGGTGTCCCGGCCTCTGAGACTTGAAAAGGTTCAAGAAATTATTGGGAATCAGATAGGCTTTGATGGTGACCAGTGGAAGAGCAAAAGCACTGATGCCAAAGCTGAAGATATTTTCAGTGTATTGAGCAAAAAGATGTTTGTTCTATTGTTTGATGATTTATGGGAGAAGATTGATTTTTTAAAGGTTGGGGTTCCTTTCCAAAATATGCCAAATGGATCCAAAATCGTGTTTACAACCACTTCTAAGAATTTGTGCAACCTAATGGGTGCTAACAGGATTGTTGAATTGGGTCTTTTGTCGCGGATAGATGCTTTTGAATTTTTTAAGAAGAGGATCGGGGAAGAAGTGATTAATGGTGATCAAACTATTTTTCACTTGGCTAAACTTGTGGCTGGCAAATGCAACTTTTTGCCACTTGCACTGGTTAGTGCTGCTCATACCATGTCTTGCAAGAGGAGTCCCCAAGAATGGCATCACGCTCTTGAGGTCATAAAGAAATTCATATCTATGGAGCTTGTAGATCGAGGAGTTCCAGGTACAGGGATTTATGCAGTTTCAGTTTTGAAGTTTGGTTATGATAGTTTGACTTTCACAGCTCGATCTTGCCTTTTATACTGTACCTTGTTCCCAGAGCAATATAAAATGTTGAAGGATGATCTGATAGATTATTGGATTTGTGAAGAGTTACTGGGTGAACATGATATTAGAGCTCAGTTCAAAAAAGAACATGATACTAGAGCTAACCTTCAAAAGCTGGGTTTCGATATCATTGATGCACTAGTTAATGCATATTTTTTGGAAGAAGAAAACCAGTATGTAAAAATGCACAGCGTGGTCAGAAGTGTTGCATTGCAGATAGCAAAACAGATGAGGGAAAAGCTTTTTGTACAAGCAGGTGCTAATTTAACTGAAATGCCGAGAGTTGAAATCTCCAAACGCGTTCGAAGGATATCCCTGATGGAAAACTCCATTCGAAATTTATCAGAGGTACCTAAATGCACTGATCTTAAAACTTTGTTTCTCAGTCATAATCCCCTTACTATGATCAGTGGTGACTTATTCCTACTTATGAATACACTACAAGTTCTAGATTTGTCACATAGCAGTATGGAAGAATTGCCACCAGGAATTTCAAAATTGGTTTCATTGCAATATCTCAATCTATCATATACGTGCATAGAAAAGCTGCCATATGAATTAAGGATGTTATCAAATTTGAAGTATTTGAACTTGGAGCACAATGACCTTCTGCGTGTGATTCCAAGACAAGTAATATCTAGTTTGTCATCATTGCAAGTATTGAGAATGTTCCGTTGTGGTTTTTCTCTTGTAGAAGAAGATAATATATTATCTGATAGTAATATGCACGTAAATGAACTGAAGCTTTTGAAACATCTGAATGTATTGAGCATCACAATATCACTTGCCTCTGCTCTTGAGACTTTGAGCAGCACGCATATATTACCGAGCTGCACTAAAGCTTTATCCCTTGAGTGTTTATGGGGTTCAAAATCACTTAATATTTCATTCTTAGCAGCTATGAAGCATCTAGATACTCTAGAGATCCATCGTACTGATCATTTAGAAGAGTTAAATGTTGACTTTAGAATGGACGGAACAGACATAGAAGAATTTGGCAATATTCATGACTCTTGGATCCTAAGGAAGAGAAGTTTCAACAGTCTTCAAGAAATGTGTGTGGGAAATTGCTCGCATTTGCGGGACCTGACATGGCTTATTCTAGCGCCAAATCTGGAAGTTTTGAGAGTCACATTTTGTGGAAAAATGGAAAATATAATCAGCAATGAACAATTGGGTAAAATTCTGAATGGGGTTGAAAACCTAATTGCATTTGCAAAACTGAGAGTTCTTGTGTTGGAGAATTTACCAAAACTGAGGAGCATATACTGGACTGCTCTGCCCTTTTCATTGCTAAACAAAATCAGAGTACTTAACTGCCCACTGCTAAAGAAACTTCCACTTAACTCTAGCAGCGCAAGAGGAAACCCAGTTATCATTCTCGCAGAGGAGCATTGGTGGGAAGATATTGAATGGGAGGACAGTGCTGCTAAAACGATCTTTTCACGGCATTTTATAAGTATGCCTGACTGATTCCTGTAAGTTTGATCATTGAAAGTTGAGGATTGTTTTTCATCTTTCTATCTTTTTGTTCAGTGGCTTAGGCAATTAATGTTTTTATTCTTCCCCTTTGTTTATATGTATGCATTCAGTGTAACTCAATAACAAAATCAGTTTCTCATATTATGAAAATTCCATTTCTATTTAGTATCTTTCTTTATTTATATTATTTGCTCTATCTTGATTTAGATTCTGCGATGCATGCAGGCGGAATTGGATGGTTTCAGCTTGCTCATGTTGGGTCTTTTCCTGTTACGCATATATCTTACCAATACACAAAATAATACCTATGACTTTTTTCCCATCCCCATCATGGTTTTTCACATGGGTTGTTATTTAACTCTACCAATATAATGAATGTTTCTTACATTAATCCCATGTGTTTTTTCCTGTTAGCTGCATGAATTCTGGATATCATTTTAATTATTAAATCCTCTTGCTCTATTGTTTTACTTATACATAATCTCCTAAATAACTGTATGCAAGTTCAGTAATTACATTAAGAAACACTTATCCAAGCATCTTACTCTCAGCAACCTTACCAGCTTTCACTGCTCTATCAAAATCACTTTGTGAGGAAAATGTGGCATAAAGTTAAGCAGGTAAGGCTAAACTGTGATATTGGAACTATAGAAGCACCGAGAATTGAAAAACCAAAAAATGATAATGGCAACATGGAATGAATGAGAATGACAGAAACGATGGGGGAGGTTTTGGCAGATAGTGGAGATTGGATTTTTTTTAATGGGAAATAAATATGCAATTATTGCTCAACGCAACTGATAAAAAAGACTACTCAAAAGTTAAAGGTGATGATGTTTATAAATAATTGGAATGCAATTGGATTATTTGGGACACTTTTTACTCCGCCGTTAAAAAGAAAGCAATGGTTATCCCTGGACAAGACCAAGTTGCAAGAGCATCTATTAAGAATTACTTCAAAATGAAATAACAACAATTTCACCTAGTAGTCTGGTTTAAGTAACGCAAATAAAGATTTGGCAAAATATTACTAGTTTCAGCTAATTAATATAAGTATGTTGAACAGTTAAAGACAAACTGAATACACATTATTTTTCCCTTCAGATAAGAATGTGCTAAGAAAAATAGAAATACGGCAGAAATTAATTTGATCCAATAGTTGAAATGCGTTAGACCTCACTTGATAATGGATAATCACTTCTGGATCTAAAGAAATTAGTCGAATTATAATAATAAGAATATGTTAAAAAAATTGTACAAAAGGAAACAGGGACTCTCCCCTCTCACTGAAATAAGACAAAAAAAAAAAAAGAAAGCAAAAAAAAATATCTTTCTTCTGCTACATTTCCATCTCTTTTCTTCCCATTTGCCATTGACTCGATTTTTTTCAGTTCATATTCAATTTCCCATTCTTGGTAAAGTGTTCTTTGAAACTATTTCCCAATCTTGGTTAAGATTTTTTATGAAAACCATCTTCTAATGGGTAACTGCTTCTCGATCCAAATATCATGTGATTCTTTAATTACTCGCTGCTGGGATTGCTCTGCAGGACATGTAATATACATATGCCAACTTGAAGATAATCTTGAAGCTTTGCAGGTTGCAACTCAAGAATTAAAAGCACAGAAGAACGATGTGATGCAGAGAGTCAACAGTGAAGAAGATCACCAAATGAAGAGGCTTGAACAAGTTCAAGTCTGGCTTTCACTGGTGGAGACTACAATAACTGAAGTTGATCAATTGATTAGAGATGGCCCACACGAAACCGAGAGATTGTGTCTTGGTGGATGTTGCACAAATAACTGCAAGTCGAGTTATATTTTTGGTAAAATGGTTGCTAAAAGAAAGGATGATGTCTTAGCTTTAAAGGGTAAAGGAATTTTTGATAAAGTAGTTGAAAGGGTGTGTGTAGAATCTGTGCATGTAAAGAAGCTTGAAGAGAATCTTGAATCCTTGAAGTCTGCAAGAGAAGATTTATGGGGATTGAAGGATGATGTGATGGGGAGGGTTAAAATTGAGGAACGGCAGCAAAAGAAGCCATTGAAACGGGTTCAATTGTGGCTTTCAAGGGTGGAAGCTGCGACAATTGAAGCTGATGCTCTACTAATTGAAGGTCCTAAAGAAATTACGGAACTGCATATTCAAGGCAGTTCAGATCATAAATTTGGGGGAAAAGTTGCTAAAACACTGAAAGATTTGATGGCATTAAAGGAGAACGGAGATTTTAAAATAGTTGCTGAGAAAGCTATCGTAGAATCAGTAGTTGAAAGACCCATTGAGCCAACAGTGGGTTTGGATGCTATGTTTGATACGGTTTGGGGATGTCTTATGGAAGAACAAGTTGGAATTCTTGGCCTATACGGAATGGGTGGGGTGGGCAAAACTACCCTTTTAACCCAAATTAATAACAGGTTCCTCAACATAGTAAATGATTTTGATTTTGTTATTTGGGTTGTGGTTTCAAAAGATTTGAGACTTGCTAAGGTTCAAGAAGAGATAGGGAAAAGAATAGGCATTTCTGTTAAGGACTGGAAGAGCAAAAGCATTGATGAGAGAGCTATGGAAATCTTCAATATATTGCGGAAAAAGAAGTTTATTTTGTTATTAGATGATGTGTGGGAGCGAGTTAATCTTGCAAAAGCTGGAGTTCCTCTTCCAAACAAACAAAATGGTTCAAAGATAATACTCACAACACGTTCTGAGGTAGTGTGTAGCCAAATGGATGCTCTTAGGAGGATCAAAGTGGAACCTTTGGCATGGGAGAAAGCTTGGGAATTGTTCAAGGAGAAGGTTGGGGAAGAAACTCTCACTATGGATCCAGCTATCCTACCTCTAGCTAAAGATGTTGCAAGAGAGTGTGCTGGTTTGCCACTTGCACTCATTACTATTGCTCGTGCCATGGCTTGTAATAAGACACCAGAAGAATGGAGATGTGCTCTTATTGACTTGCGAAGATCTGCTTCAGACTTACAAGGCATGACTGATGAGGTATTTCCTCTCTTGAAGTATAGTTACGATAAATTGCCCAACAACAAAGTTAGATCTTGTTTTTTGTACTGTGCCTTGTTTCCGGAAGATTTTCAAATTAATAAGGATGACTTGATAGATTATTGGATTTGTGAGAAATTTTGGGATGATGAAGAGAATGAAGATGTTGCTCGTGATAGGGGATATCATATAATCGGTACTCTTGTTTATGCATGTTTACTAGAAGAAGAAGGAAAGTATGTAAAGATGCATGATGTGATTCGGGACATGGCTTTATGGATAGCATGTAAGCGTGAAAAATCAACGCATAATTTTTTGGTGCGGGTGGGTGCACAACTAACTGAAGCACCAAAAGTTAGATTTTGGAATGGGGTAAAAAGAATATCATTAATGGAAAACTCTATTCAGAATCTATCAGAAGCACCTACAAGCCCTGATCTTTTGACATTGCTTCTTTGTCGTAATTTTCATTTGCGTGATATCACCAGCAACTTCTTCCAATTTATGGATGCACTGACCATTTTGGACCTGTCAAATAGTAGTATACAGGAACTTCCATCTGGAATTGCAAGGTTGCCTTCATTAAATTATCTTAATCTAGGTCGTACCAGCATACGAAAATTACCATGTGAGCTGAAGATGCTGAAAAAGCTAAAATACTTGAACTTGGAGCATAATGTTTTTCTTGATATGATCCCAAGGCAAGTTATATCTAGCTTGTCATCTTTGCAAGTCCTGAAAATGATCCATTGTGGCTTTTTCTATGAAGTAACAGAAGATAATATATTGTCTGATAGTGATATGCATGTAGAAGAATTGCACTGTTTGAAACATCTTAATGTATTGAGCATCACAATGAGATCCGCTTCTGCACTTGAGAGTTATTTGAACACACATGAGCTACTGAGTTCTACTCAAGCTCTGTCCCTTGAGTGTTTCAGTTGGTCAAAGTCAAATTTTTCATGGATAGCAAATATGAAGAATCTAGAGACACTCAATATCAGCGCAATTGAGCATTTGAAAGAGATGAATGTTGATTCTATTATGGAAGGAACAGAAATACAAGCATCTAGAGTTATGTCCAATCCAATGTTTGTAAGAGAGAGGTACTTTGATAGCCTTCGAGAAGTGAATGTGGAATATTGCTCTCGACTGTGGGACTTGAGATGGCTTATTCTGGCTCCAAATTTGACAGTTCTAAAAGTTGCATGCTGTGAAAAAGTGGAAGAAATCATCAGTGTTGGTAAATTGGGTGGAGTTTCAGATACTGGAGAAAATGGAGAACCATTTGCAAGACTTCAAGTTCTCATATTAGAGGATCTACCGCAACTGCAGAGCATATATGGGATGACCTTGTCCTTCCCACTTCTAGAAAAGATGAGGATACTTGATTGCCCAATTCTTAAGAAGCTTCCACTCAACTCTGGTAGTGCAAACGGGCGCAAGGTTATGATTGAAGCTGAGGAACATTGGTGGAGAGATTTGGAATGGGAGGATGAAGATACTAAAGCTGTCTTTCAACCCTGCTTAAGAAGGTGTTTTTCAAATAAAAGAACATATTGCCCGCCATATTTCTTTGATTTCTGGTAATCAAGATTTTGCTATCTATACAGGAAAATAATGTTCTTTTTTTCCCCTCTTCTATTCATTTGTTGATAAAATTCAAGTTTGTTTTTTTCCAATCCTAGGTATTGTTTTCTGTTGGTTATTTGTGTTATTGTAGGTCTAAAAATTTGAACTGGAGTGGTAATTTTTTTCAGGTTGTGTGTTGGAGAGTTATTTTCAATTTTTCTTGTGTAGCTTATGTAAAGGGTGCTAATGATGCAAGCAGCTTGTAATTTTGAGTTCTCTTTTGTAGATGTTATTTTGAAATCCACAAGAGAATAAAAAAGAACTAAAATTTTTATTTAGATTCTATAATACATATTTGGAATCTTGAAAACGTGCAACAAATGCAAAATGAGAATACTGTCATTACCGACTCTATCCTCATTGAGCAAAAGCTAATTCTGCATCTTTTATCTTTCTTTCTAGCTTATCTTTATTTGTATTCTATAATGCATCTCGCAGTATTGAGAAAGTGCAACTAAATTGGCAAAGACAGTCAAGTTCTTGAAACTGTGAGCTTCCAAATTCCTATAGTGGAACTGCTATCCTGTTTGTGGGCATGCTACACAGAGCATGGATGTTATATTTGTTTTGCAGAAAAACTGGAGAGACCGAAATCAGAAATGGAAAAGCTTCTATGGCTAAAAGACAGCGTGAAGAGAAGAGTGCAAACAGCAGAGAGAGAAAATGAGCTGCAATATAATGTGGAAGATTGGCATTCAAATATCGAAGCCACATAAACTGACCTCATTCAGCTGGCAAATCATGGCTCTCAAGAACTTGAAAACACCTGTCTTGGAAGCTGTTGTCCTAAGATCAGAAAGAAAATTGAGGCTAAGCTGATGAATGTGGAAGCTTTAGTGAATAAAGGAAGAGAACTCTTAAAGATGCCTATCGAAAGAACATTAGATAAGTGCCAGAGTAGCATTGGGAAAGAAGAGGTTGGATGCATTGGCATTTATGGAAAAGAAGGTGTAGGGAAGACCACTGTCTTGAATGACATCTGCAATGACCTGCTCAACTCAGAGCGTGATCGACTTTGTTATATGCGTGGTGGTCTCTCAGGATCCCAACCTTGAGAAAAATCTAGTTGATGTTGCCAAGGGAATGGGATTTCTTTTTGAGAAATGGAAGGATAAAAGCCCAGAAGAGAGAGTCAAACAGATATTTGAGGTTTTGAGCCATAAGAGGTTTATATTATTGTTGGATGATATATGGAAGCTGGTTGATCTAACTCAAGTAGGAGTTCCTGCCGCAGATAGAGACAATGGCTCCAAGCTATTATTCACAACTCGTTTGGAGGAGGTCTGCAACCAATTGGGAGCTGAAGAGAAGGTTGAAGTTCTTAGATTGACAGAGAAGAGAGCCTCGAGAGATTGCCCAGTTAGCTGAAACTATTGCCAAAATGTGCAATGGTTTGCCACTTGCAATTATAACCGTCGCCAAGCAACTCCAAGAATGGCATTATGCAATTGAGGGCTTGAGGATGTCTGTTTCAGAAATTTCAGGTACAAAAAGATCCAGTCTATGCTCTAATAAAGTTCAGTTATGACAGTTTACCCAATGAGAGAGTTAAATATTGCTTCTTGTATTGTACTTCGTTTCCTGAAGAAGTACTTTAGCATCAATAAGTGTAACTTGATAGATTACAGGATTTGCGAGGGATTTTTGGATGAATATAATGATGCGAGTGGTGTGAGAATGCACAATTTGAAGAGCAAGGCAATGATGTGAAAATGCACAATTTGAAGGTCAAAAAATTTATCGGACTCTTTTTAATGCTTGTTTATTGGAAGAGCAAGGCAATGATGTGAAAATGCACAATTTGAAGGTCAAAAAATTTATCAGACTCTTTTTAATGCTTGTTTATTGGAAGGGCAAGGCAATGATGTGAAAATGCACAATTTGGCAATGATGTGAAAAATGCACAATTTGAAGGTCCAAAAAATTTATTCGGACTCTTTTTAATGCTTGTATTTATTGGAAGAGCAACGGCAAATGATGTGAAACTGCACAACTTTGAAAGGTCAAAAATATTTATATGCACAATTTGAAGGTCAAAAAATTTATCAGACTCTTTTTAATGCTTGTTTATTGGAAGGGCAAGGCAATGATGTGAAAATGCACAATTTGAAGGTCAAAAAATTTATCAGACTCTTTTTAATGCTTGTTTATTGGAAGGGCAAGGCAATGATGTGAAAATGCACAATTTGATTCGAGAGGTGGCCTTGTGGGTAGCGAACAAATTTGGTATGCTGAAGGACAAGTACTTGGTGGAGGCAGGAGGTCAGCTAAGCGAAGCTCTAGAAATCACGGAATGAGAAAGAGTAAGAAGAATGTCTTTAATGGCGAACCATATTCGGAATTTAACAAAAGCTCCTCGATGTGATCATCTCTTAACTCTTTTCCTTGGAAATAATCATTTGAAGATTATCGGTAGTCTTTCTTTCAGTTTATGCCTTCTTTGAAACTGATAGACCTATCTGAAAATAGAGAACTAACAGAATTGTCTCAGGAATATCGAAAATCAATGCTTTACAATATCTGAATCTTTCCATAACAGGAATAAGACAGCTTCCAGTTGAGCTAAAGAACTTAGCAAAGCTGAAATGTTTGGACTTGGAGTACAATCGCGAACTCTAGATGACCCCAGTGCAAGTTCTGTCAGGATTTTTTCGAACCTGAATATACTGAGAATGCCTCACTGTGCTTCTTCGGATCGATTTGTGGGAGACATTATCCATCCTTGTGATTTTTCAAGAGACATGCAGCATTTAGAACACATTAATGTGATTAGTATAACCATAACGAGTGAGTATTCTCTTCGAGGATTTATAAGTTACAGCAAGTTTCAAACCGGTACGCAAGCTTTTATCTCTTCATAATTTCAAGCACTCATCAACATCACTTGATATATCATTTCTAGAAGAAATGAAGCTTCTAAATGATCTTGAATTCATTGAATGCATAAATTTGAAAGAGTTGAGAGCTGAGAACTCATTGATCACAAGGGGAGGTTGCTTCAAAATTCTATGCAAAGTTTCTGTGGTCAATTGTCTGAACCCAAACCTGAGTTTGTGTCAAGATGCTCTCAATATGGAAGAGAGAATTTGTCAAGGAAAATTATTTGGTGAAGGAAATGTGAATACATTGGCAAAACTCCAAGTTCTTCGATCAGTTTTTTTGCCAAACCTGAAGAGCATGTTTTCAATTGCTCTGCCTCTCCAGTATCTGAAAGAAATCATTGTTGATGAATGTCCGAAGCCGAAAAACCTTCCACTTAATTCTAACAGCGAAAAAGAACATCGAACATTGATTCAAGGATGGGAAAATTGGTGGAAAAATCTTGAATGGGAGGATGAATCGACTCGAAATACTTCCCTTTCCTCCTTCACAGCCTGTATGTATTGAATTTTGAGTTCAAGCAAAATGCTGTAATTCTTCATTCGAAGTGTCCCTTTTTAATCATCTTGTATAAGAGTGTCTGCTTCTATGCTCAAGTATGATGTATTTTTACGAATAATTTACAAGAAATTGGTTTGCCTTCCTGTTTCTATAAAGCTTCAATACTAAACCTCTCTGAGCATCTGATTCTAATGAGAAAATTTATAAAATTGAGGAACATTCGACACAGAAAAACTAATTACAACAAAGAGGAGGACATATTCCAATTACACTAGCAAATGATATGATTAGAAACCATCTGTCCGATGCTTTCCCATGTTGAAATCTAATTCAATGGAATACTAATCCAAATCAAAACTTCAAATTAATTACATGCGAAAATCTCATTAACAAACAGAAAATTGCATAATAATTTGAATGAACATTTCTTTTCCTGATTTTCTACAAGATCCATTGAGGCACTTTCTCTGGTAAAATTCCAGTTCAGTTGTATCTGATAATAATCTGTCTCTGCAAATAATACATAATTCTCTAGGGACTAGTTTGCAATACATACATTTTCCCCTAACATGATAGCAAATTGTAAATGAAACTTTATGATGAAGAACAGAATAAACAAATCCTCAGTATCAAATTCATGTACCATTTTCAGCAGCTTCAGCCCACTTGATAGTTGAACGAGCCAATGCATCGATTGGATCAATACATTTCTTGAGAAGAGGATCATCCTGAGGCAAAAGATCGATGATATCATCAGAAGCAAGAATAACAATGTTTACTGCTCTCACCAGAAGAAACTGAAGTGCTATTCTCAGCAGATTCCTCGCCCCTTCAATGTCCTTTCTGTTTAAAGGATCAATTGCAGGGATTACAGTGTGGTCCATGGTTGCTTTATCTGGTAGCACAACCTCAAATCCCTGCAAACAATGGAAAAATTGCATATAATATACACAACAACAACTCTTGAAGGAAAAAAAAATTGTGAAAATAAACGACTGAAACTGATATAACTGACGGATATCAATTTCTTCAATACACAAAGTTGTACAAGCTGCATCGCAATCACAGCATCATGAAACACTGTCAACATAGACCTCAACCTCTGGCTGAGGAACTTGTAATTCCAATTCCCAAACAATCAAACATGCATAGCGTTTTTACTCTCAAATAATCTAATGTTGGCTCGTAGAAACTCTCTCAGCTTCGCAATATTTATTGTCATTTCATTGGTGCTGTGCTATAGTACTCTTCAATATTATGCAAGCAGAATTCCAACTTAATGGCTTCAAAAAAATACGCTCCTATTTATATCCGGATAGCATACTTTTGTTTGCCCGTTAGGAATTGTTACTTGAGAAAGCAAATCATTTAGATCATACCCTAATTGTATTTTCTGTAATAATATAATCAGAAACAGAAGCAGAAATGAGTACAAAACGAAATTACCTCACTTTGCAGTTTCTCTTGATAGAACCCTGCACTCAGGATAGCATTGGTTGCTAGCAACCCAATCCGCAAAGGACTTCCAGCCTCTAATGGCTTCAGCTTAGCTTCCTTAAGCTCCCTAGCAACACATTCACCCATATGCAGGAAATGAACAGAGCACCCTTTTGAAGCCTCATCATGCCACGAATGTGAAATATGACAAGGCATTACTATGCAACGAGCACCTGATCTCTCAAGAAAAACCCTTTTACCCCTTAGATTCTCCACGATCTTTGTATGATCCAATTGGAAATTTTCATTTTGCCTACCAAGAGAAGTAAACGAATTTCTTTCATGTAATAAAAGCTCCTTACTTAATACTGGATCAGAGCAAAGAACAAATGGAAGAGAATCTTGCCCAGCTTTTGAACTCCATTGGACTAGTTTTCTCAAGAAATTCACATTAGAATTAGCTGATATTCCTCCTATGATACCCACTGTATTTTCTTGACTAAGCAATGAATCTGAAGAATCACTTCTCATTAAACCAGAAATTTTCTTAGGTTCATGAAAGTTCCCACTCTCATCTGCGTGCAAGACAACTGATGATGGGGGTATGGCTAGAACTGGGTTCATCCTTGCCTTAGAAAGGGTTTTATGTGTGTTTACATGACTCAATATATAAGATGGGTAATTCAATGAATGGAAAGACATTGTCAAACTCCCATCAATCATCTGATATATGCCAAAACCAAGCAATCAATGAATTTCTCAATTTCAATGCCCAAGAATCACAAGTTACCTCTAAAATTTTGCAGGTTAAGCTTCTATCATATGTGGCAACTAAAAATCAAAGAATTTTGATAAAATTTCTATATTTTATATAATAATTCCTCTAAAAATCATCAGAACAAACAAACTTCCCTTCCAAGACGAAAATCCCAGCCTCAGATAAAAAAAAAAGAGAGGCAACAATCACGAATTACCAATCTTAAGCCTTAAAATAAAACCCCTATAAAGATGGCAAATTAAAAGCATATTAGCAATAACCCACCTCAAGAAGTGCAATACCCTTGGTTGGATTTTCAAAAGGCACCAAACTCAGAAATATTTTCTCCACCTTTCTACAATTGAAGCCACAAACAAAAAGAACCAAACTTGAATATCAAAATCCACAAAATAGGGCAAGTGGGACTGACGAGAGCGCGTAAAAGACACTCTCCAAGTCTTTTGGTGTCTTTTTTCTCTTTATTCTATGAACACCAACCAAACAAAGACGGACCCAACAGTCATGGCAATTGACAAGTGGGTTGGAATCTTTGAGCTTCTTTACACAACATACTATAACTGTCGATGGTTAAACCTGAAATCAAGAAATTTAAAACACTGATGAGAATTTAACTAATTAGTATTTTAATTTAACGGTAAAAGTGAAATTATTTTAAGAGTTAAGCCTGATTAATAGCAGTAGTGCATTCCCATAATTTGCTGCTAATATCTACTCTAAATAGATCAACCAAACTATCTTCTCTTTATCATGGGGTCCTTCATATATATAGTAGTAGGCATGTCCCATAATTTGCTGCTAATATCTACTCTAGAATAGATCAACCAACTAATCTTCTCTTTTATCATGGGGTTTCCTTCATATATATATGTATATTATATATATATATATATATATATATATATCATAGTATATATATATATATATAATATTATTGTTTTTAATGGCATATTGTTTTATGGCATTAATCTGCCTTGGTGACTTCAAAATTGGATTACCGTCATGCAAGATTGAGACAGGTCATTAGGGAATTCCATCATTGGATACTTAATGTCTTGGACCATTCTAGTATCCTGCTGCCTTATGATTATGAAGTTATGATTCGGCAAATCTCATTGAAAAGTGTCAACTTTTTGAGGCTTTTCGAATTTTCATTTTCTGGGAAAAAAAATCTTTTTCTCCCCTCTTAAATACTTGAAGTATGCATTTTGCTACTAATTTCCAAATCTTTTTAACTGTATAACATAAGTGCTCAATTCCTAAAAATTTTACCCACATTTAGTCTGATAAACATGAAAAAGAAAAAGTAAATTAACTCGTTAGCGCAGTACCCAACTAAATCCAAGAACAAAGAGTATATCAAGTAGATTAAAAAGAAAAGGAAAAAAATTACAGGAAACCTTAGTTAATACATTTACTGAATAAATGCTTGTGAGAATCATGAATAAAGAACAACACTCTACCAATAAAAAATTATAACCTATCATGAAATACAGAAGCTTCTACATCAGAGAAAATGTTTCTACTTTCCCTCAATAGAACTCCTAATTGAAAATGTTAAAAAATTTCTCCCACCACCCACAAGCCATTCACATGTATTTGGCTTTGGATCCAAGAGATTTTACAACTTTGCGAGCCTTGGAACTACGGAATAATTTCTTGACATCCTTTCTTATGGATAGAAAAGCACAAACTAGAGCAATATACATTTCTGGGTATATATGAAAAGCTTTTGTAGCAGATTTTCTTTGAATGCCTTCTCTTATAATGCCCCATATGATAAGTAGTGTTCCAAAAAGGCTCATTCTCCCTTGTCTTATAACACCAAAAACTGCTCCTGCAACTGTCAAGTAACTTCCTGCAAGAATCTAACCCACAAACACGAACAAATTTGAAGCATAAATTACATCTAAAAAACAAGAAAAATGGTAAGTAAACGAACCTCGAGATGATGGAGATCAAACTTAGCAGAGCCTTTCTTGAAATTAGTAAGACTATATAGCTTCAACAAATTATCAAATGTTGGAAGAGTTTGGTTCTTGATGGAAGCCTTTGAAATAGCACCAGGGTAGAGAAGAGCCTTAACAACAAATGCAGGACAAAGCTCTGTTGCTATCAACTGAGAGGATGTCACCTCTATAGGTGATGTACATATTCCAATTCTACATGGTACCCTGTCAAGAAACCAAAAGGATAATGCACTTCTCAAAAGATCAAAAAAAGGGTTTGTCTTTAGAAATTTTAATTAGGATTTGGAACTCAAAATTTCACAGCCAAAATCCATTACAAACTATACAATGTTTATAAGAACATTTAAGAATCTAGTTATGATTAATGTTTTGCAAGAAAACCATCATTAAGATAAAAAAAAATTACACCTATCAAGGTTTTGGCCTGACGACGTCAAAATAACCTGAAGAAATATAAGTGGAGATAAAAGAAATGAAATCTACCTGAAGAGAGGGAGTTGGAAGATTATAATAAAAAATAGGATGAAAGAAGCAATGGATGAAATGAGAAATGCCCATTTCTTTGAAGAAGCCATAATTAATCAAAATTCCTAAACTGGAAATTTCTGGAGGGTCCCATAAAGAGGAAAAAATTGCATTTGCTCTTTCAGGACGAAATATAATGGCATCGTGGCCTGTCCTCGCCGCACATTTTGCTGGGACCCTTGCTTATTATATCACATGTGTACAGTGTCCATAAAGCAATGCAGGGTAAAACAATTTTTCTTCTTGAGAATGACATGTAATGGTTCTAATGAAACATAAATTTTTGAAATTATAAACTAAGGTTATTCATATTTTTATGATAAAATTTATTTATTTTGATAAGTGGGATATCAGATTTTAGCCTATATGGTTTAGTTAGGTTCGATCCGCTTCCACCGAATTAGGTTCGAACCGCTTCCACCCTCCCTTGCCTTACCCTACCGGGTACCGGCCTATCCTACCATATATTTATAGATTAAAAAAAATAAATCCCAGTAATTAAGCAAAGAACTTGTCGTTTAAGCTTATTAAATAAATAAATAAATTGATAAAAGAAGACTGATAATTTTTTTATTCAGTCCAATAGAAAGATCATTTTATACTCTTCCCCCTTCCATAGGACCAGGATCTACCTTTTTTTTTTTTCTTTTTTCTTTTTAAATAAAATATAGGACCACATTTTTCAATAAGAAAAGACAAACGGAAAGATTACATTAAATTTTCTTGCCTTGGCATCGAGTCTCCACAGCTTCAAATATCAGAAGGAATTAAAAATACAGACAACACAAGCATGTGACAGTAAATTATTTATTTTACATAGTATTTCAGAACGAATCTCACCAAATTTTTTATGAAAATTATTTAGTAATTGGGAAGGTTGTATTACATTTTAATTTCAAAAATAGATAATTAAGAACATTTCATGTTAAAAATAATTAATTATATGGTGATTATTATTATTCTTATCATTTGGCTAAGTCTACCATTGCTTAGCTGAAAATAGCACTTGGATGAAAATTTTTAATTAGAAATTTAAGAATATTTCAGTAAGCGATGAGAACCCTGCAAGTAGAGGACCAAGTTGATGCCAGAACCAGACACCAGAAGTCAGAATTTAATATGAAAAAGATTGATGCCAAAAACATACACGTAGGTCATTTTGTCTATTTCTTATACCATATTTCTTGTCAATTGCTTTTGCCCTTTGGTTTCCTGTAAAAACCATTTCTTTCCTTCGTCTTCCTCAATCATTCATCTTCAATAATTGCATTTTGGAGTCCGTATATACATTTGTTTTATTATTGTACTATTGCATATATCTCCATTGCTCAAACCTGAAAAGTGCTTACACCATTTTAATTTCTTCTGTTGACAAATGTGGAGCAACCTCCCCTCTGATCTCCTAGCTAAAGTCTTCTCATTTCTTTCCCCTGACTCCTTGGCACGTGCCCGGTCAACTTGCCGGCAATGGCACATGTGTGCTGATTCATATCCATCCATCGTTCCCCAACACCAGCCACCATGGTTTGTAGCTCTTCCTACACGTAACCGAGAATTAAGTTGTTATGTTCATAATCCGGTTACAAAGAGGTGGCATGTGCTATCTCTTGAGTTTTTATCCAATCCGATTCGACCCGTTGCTTCTATTAGTAGTCTAGTCCTTGTAAGAGTGACAAATTCTACACTTCTGGGTATTTGTAATCCTTTCACTAGGCAATTTAGGCACCTTCCTCTGTTAAATGTTGCCAGGACTAATCCAGCCATTAGTGTTGTTCTTCCATGCTCAACCCAATTTAGAGTCTACGTGGCAGGCGGAATGTCAGAGGCTCCACGTGGTGGTGCCACGTATGAACCGACATTGGAAATGTATGATTCGACACATGACACTTGGCAAATTATAGGTCCTATACCAATGGAATTCGCGGTAAGGCTGACAGTTTGGACACCTAATGAGAGTGTCTACTCTAATGGAGTACTATATTGGATAACATCAGCTAGAGCCTATAGTGTTATGGGATTTGAGGTTGGATCCAACAAATGGCAAGAATTGAGTGTACCAATGGCAGATAAGCTCGAATTCGCCACGTTGGCGCAACGCAATGGGATATTGACACTTGTCGGAGGCACATGCGGTGATGATGCTTGTATATGGGAGCTAAATGAAAGAGACAATTGGTGTTTAATTGAAAAGGTACCAATTGAACTGGGATTGAAACTTAGAAAGGGTAAGGCAAGTTGGTGTAGGACTAAATGTGTAGGTGGTGATGGGTCAATTTGCTTGTATAAAGAACTAGGGTCAGGGATGGTAATTTGGAGAGAAGTTGGAGGGAAGAGAAAATGGGAATGGTTTTGGGTTGAAGGGTGTAATTTAATTAATGATTGTAAGGAAGTGCGAAGTATGCCAATTAGAGGTGTGCTAATTCAACCAAATATTTCTTCTTCATGCATTTTTCATTAAATAAAACCCATATTGTTTTCTACTTTTCTTGCTTAGTTCTTTTCCAGTATTATATATCTATTCAGGATTTCATAGGGGAAAAAATGTAAAAAAAAAAGAGCGCTAGAGGAAGGGCTTGAACCTTCGACCTTGTGGTTAACAGCCACACGCTCTAACCAACTGAGCTACTCCAGCAAACGATTATTTTATCCATTTACAGTTTCTAAGATTTAAAAGGAAAAAAAAGACAAAAGGCTCATCTGCAAATTATCACCGATTTGTTTATCTAGCTAGGAAGACACTACACTAAAGCACCACACAGTTGGTAGGATTAATTTCATTATTACAACAATGCAATGATCTGTACACCATTTTTTTGTCATTATAATTATATATTTTTATTTTCCTAAAAACTTATTTTACAATATATAACGCAATCCAAATATCAACCCAAGATAAGAATATTAAATAAAATAATAAGCATCCAAAAGTTTTTAAACTTCCTCTAGAGTTCTACTTCACAATTTTAACTGTGTTCCTTTCAACTAAGTTCTCGTGTTCCATGAAAATGAGGTCCTCTAGCTTCCTTTATCTACAGATTCTCTTGCTCTTGGGTCAGCCTGTAAGCTCTTCCATCAAACCCTGTTGGTCAACAGGAGTGTGAGGAGAGATGAGAAATTAGAAGGAACTCCGGTAATTAGAAGTTAAATTAGTCAACAATACCAAACTCACCCGAGCAATGTACTGCTCAGCATCAGTTCGTTTCAGAAAGTGCATCGAGTGGCGGGCAAGATTGGCCGTCTTATCACTCAGTAATATCCCTTCACCCATATCATCAAGGACTCTCACCTTGATGTAGGGATCCTTCGGCGGCACCATATCCTAGCACAAACAAGTATTCAGCTGTCATATCTACATATCGTCACTTCAATATGTTCAAACAGTGTACTAGGTTAAGTTCAGTTGACATGACAACTTTGATTACATCTTTAGCATAATTTACAATCAGTTCAAATATGTTCCGACCATTGTAATTTGTAAGCATCTATCGTAACATATTGATAATCCAGAAAAGCAATGCTCCTTCTCCCTTACCTTATGCATTACTGTCAAGAATTTTCCATGTTCAAACTCCTCTATTTTGATAAAAAAATGATAATAATAATAATAATTGACATGCAGCTTACATCTACAAGCATATTGAGAATGACAGAGGTTTTCTCTATCTGATAAGAGCTGAACATTACAATTTGGAGGATCAATTGATATACACAACTGATTAAATTGGAATACAACCATTTTGGAAACATAACGTCAGCAATTGAGCAATTTCTAGTAACTTCTCAGATATTTATAAATGACAAGTCTGAAATAGTTCAAGTAACATCTTTGAGCATGTGCGTGCGTGAGAGAGAGAGCAGTTGGTAAGTTACCACGTTCAAATCGATGCCCACTTCTGCCATATATGATTGCAGAGCAGCAGAATGCTTCCCATAGTAATTTTTTTCTGAGTGACTGATCTTCTCTTGAATTTCTTCTGGAAGCTCAAGGAACTCGAGCCCTACTTTCCATGCCAAATTACGTACAATTTCTGCTCGGTTGTACCTGCCAAGTTAATAAAACATGGAACAAAAGAGCTGTGGTAATATGGAAAACCTCAATATAGAACTAGACAGGAACTGCTTGCTCAAGAAATGGCATAAGATAGATACTCACACATATGCCATTAAGCAGCGCTTGTTCCGAATTAAAGAAAGGTGGTGAACAAGTGCTCCATAGTGGTCTTCATTTCTAGTTTCTTTCACATCCACATTTTCCCCCTGCATTTTCCTATGGCCACATCATGTCAAAATCACATAGACAAACATAATCCACATAAGATACAAATTCCTGAGTGGTGCATACATGCAAATCACTCCTAAGGAGTTCCAAAAGTGAAAAACTGAAAATGTAATGAAATTCTTTAAAGCAATGCCAAAAGATCATATTAGATGATCCTTCCTCTGAATGCAAATCCAAGGAAAAGGTCATTCTAGATTTCCATATGCAAGGGATGAACGATCACTAGTCAACCCAAAATAAAATACATTCTGTCTGGTAAGTGTGATCCGCTGGTCATGGATTAAGTTTTCAATGACTTTGGAACATCAAGCAGACTAAGACCCTTGCAACTCTGAAACAGAATTATAATTGGATCAAAAACTGATGAACTCTGCTAAAACAGCATTTTTATTGTGTTGGAGAATCATGGTATTAGACATCTCTTAGAATAGTTTTAGTTATATAAAGGTGTTATAGAAGCGATTGAAATCATGCTTTGTATTTTAGGAGAGTAAATCATGAAGCTCAGATGACAATCCATTAAGAGCAGTACAAATAACTAATTTTAGAAATTCAATCGCTGCATTTTGTAGTATCAAGTAGTAAATTAATGTTGAAGTAACGCACATTCCAAAACTCAATGAAATCAAATAAAGATAAATTGCATAAAAAACAAGCGTATTACTGAATCCAAAACATGAACTACAACAAGGATTACCTTATTAAAGCCTGAAGCTCAAGGTAATGCTGAGAACACTGGTCGATCACTTGATTAAACAGATCCTCCTAGAATATCTCATGTATAAAAAACATGATCGAAGAAGTAAATGAACCAACTAAAACTTTGATTATCCTACAACTATTAAATGAAACAGAGAATAAATAAGCAAGAACCTATATCTCACATTAAATGGCTGAAGCTGGCCTTTTTCACCACTGGCAAATTCTTTTACTAGCTCGTATCCCTTTTTTGCATACATCTTCCTCAATCTGCCAACAAGAAAATTGAAAATATATATATATATTTCAATTGAGCATTCAAACTGATTGCAAGGTTGAGTCATAGCACTTTAAGATCTCTTATGGACTCAAAGTTCATACACATAAAACATCCATAATAACAGTTATAAAGAAGACTCAAAGACCCTCAAGCCCCATTCAGGCAAAACCGCAAGCCTCTTTATGGCATCCAAACCAAGCCAGACAAGGTGTTTCACTCCTAAAGAATGTCCACCTTTATAAAACAAAGAACACTGTAACACGAAGCGAGGAACTAGATCAGAACCACAACAAAAGAATTGTCCACTTGTTCTTTCAATCTATAAATGAAATTAATGTTCCATTTTTTAATGGCCAGAAATGAGAAACCTAAATGTACTACTCATAATCATACAAAATTAGTTAATGGCATTTTTTTAAAATAGGGCATCACCAGGCTCAATTTCAGCTTCTCTAACAAAGGTAGATTAGATGCTTATTGACATCATTTCAAAAGAGGTATACAAGCAATTATCATTAATACAATCACTACAAATAATTTAATGATCAAGTAGTTCATAGAAACCCAAGTCATTGACCTCAAATTCCTTTATATCTATCATTTTAAACTTTTGAAAACACAATCTTAGTGAAGCAGATTGATGAAATGAGTTCAAAGGTGCAAAGAGAATGATTAGTCTAATTTTCAAGTCATCATTAAACAATTTTCTGGGTTTTATTTCCAGAAAAAGCCTATAGGAAAATGAATAAAAGACATTGGCAGATAACATTTAACAAAAAATTAACAAACACCCATCAAAGTTAATACAAGAAATTAGCAAAACCTAAGAAGAATTCGATAATAACAAGCAGATTTTTCAAAGATCTAATAAAAATTCATCAATTTCAAATTTTTATGTGGAAATTAACAAAACCTTGAAGATTGCAAGAAATCCTTACTTGTTTTAGTCGACTTTGCCGGAGAAGATTAACTGGTGGCCGTAGTCCACTTGGAGAAGCGCGATAATGATGGTGGCGGTTGTGAATAGAGTTTGAGATGGAGAATCTTTCAGTTTCAAGTGGTAGTGGTTTGCGACAATGAAAGAGCCATTGCCGTGGTATTTACGTGGTTTTCTTCAAGTTTTGTGTTTGTAAAACGATGTAAACTAGGGGATTAGAAATCGAAGGCAATTAACAAATGGATTTTGAGATTGGAGATGGGAAATACACCAGTCTTTGGTGTTTAGTAATAAAGAAACAGGACAGCCGGCAGAAGAAGGAAAGTGGAAGAGTTCGTGACTTAGATGCAAAGCGATTTTGGCGGGAATTTTTCACAGAATTTGGAAATTAACCGCTAAAAAGTGGTTAAGATTTTGTGCGCAACTGCACATGTGCTAAACGTGAGTAAGCGTTTTTAGCGGAGTCGTTTTTCAGCAATGCCTTTCTGGAATTTTCTTCATTACATGCGTAGCGTAGGACAAATGCTCTTTGAACTGAAAGACTGAATTAATCAGTAATCATATTCTCAAAATAAAAATAATTAATAATTCCATTTGACCAGCACAAGGACTTTCGATGAATGCATATACCCAAATAGTTGGAGCTCAGGGCAGCAATTAATCAATCATTTTACTTGACTTTCTCTTATTTCTCTCTTAATTGAATATATTACACCAAGGTTGATTCAATTTGGCAAAATAAATTTCTCTCGTATCTTATTAAATAAGTTTGATTTTTGAATATTAGCATTCAAAAGAGTTTTTCAATGAATAAACTAATACTCTGTTCTACAATAATTTTTCATATATCATATAGTATTTTGACTAAATTAAAATATTATTTTTATTATTAATATCGTTGGTACTAATGTTTAGAATTTGAGAGATCTAATTACGAAACATCGCCAAATTTAACGTTTGTTTGACGTTTAATAAAATATTAATTAAACAGCTGACAACTACTAGAATAATTTATAGCTACTAAAATAATTAATTTTTCTGGACAAACCCTAAATATGATGGAACCTTCTTGAATTTCATTTTCAATAATAATAATAGTCTTGGTTAATACAGAAATTTAAAAATGTCTTTAGTGAAAACCAACCAAAAAAAAAAAAAGTACATACACTTTAACTTAGTGCTTACCATGCAATTATCAATACCGTCAAATATTTGAACCAACAGATTCGAATTATAAAATAATAAAAAAAAAATTGATAGGTGCAACTATAATGGTAAAGCATGTCTTAATTGACTTTTAATTTTCAGCTTCACTCTTGCATATCTTAAGACAAAATGTTGGGACATCAAGACAATGGACTCCAAAATATAACATCCCACCTTTCCGACCAAGACATAGACGCGTTTTGGGCAGTCTATAATCCGCTTTGGAAGCAGTCCGTGTGGTTTTATTTCTGTGCCAGAGCCAAATCTTTAACTCAAGATATGTTTTGCTAGTTTAAGGCTTCTTCATCTTTATATATATTACTTCAACTTTGTGCTTAGCATCCTCACTAAGGTTTGTTCCACCGCTAATCATATGGACACGGCTTGGTTCTAATATTAAGTTTTTAACATCCCAAATCTAGCAAGATATCGTCCATTTAGACTCAGTTTATTCGGTTTTGTTTTTGGGCTTAGAGGTAAGACTTTATCTCAGGAATAAAATTGTATGAGTTGAGTCTAAAACGGATAATATCTTATTTTAAAATACATTTATGATGATAAAATACATTTAAATTCAGCAAATCATCTCTACAAGATCCAGGATTTAATCAACCTAAGAAAAAAATAATCAAAAATGGCATTAGAATGCTCCTTGTATACACATATATTCATGCAAATGTAAAAGGTAAAATGCAAAGAGAACCACCCAAAAGATTATAATGAATTAAGGGATTTTGACTTAGCATAGTAATACATCTTTTCAATGTCTAAGAAAATTAAGTTATACTTTTCCAAAAAAAAAAAAGAAAAAGAAAGAAAATTAAGTTGTTGATTGCATTGTTCATTTTAAAAAATGAAAAAGAGTTCATGATTTAATTATTATGTCTCGTTGGTGGTGATGATAAATCGATAAAGGTCAACATGATTGGGTTGTCACTATCATTACCAATCCAACCATTTTTTTAATTTTTAATTATTATTATTGCATGAATGATGAAAATATTTATATGGGATTTGAATTTCAATGATAATGTTGATGATGTAATGATGAGGATTAAGAAATTAAGGAATGGAGGTGCTTGATTGTGTCTTGGACTAAACAATCACACCTAAATCAGAAATTTCCTTCAGTCTATCATATATATTTGCTTTCCAATAATTTCAAACCCCCAAAATAAATAATTAATAATCTCTTTTCCCCTTAAATGTAGCCAAATGGTACTCAATGCATTTATATACTGATTATAATTATTGATTATTTAGTAAAATTTTAGTAATTATTGCTATTGAAATATAAAACAATAAGAAAAAATATAGTTATTTTTATATATTATAACAATTCACATAATATTTTATATTTTTTAAGGTGAATATATTATTTTTCTATTTTAATGTGTTATATAAATTTAAATTTTTTTCTTATAAATTATTTATTATTTTAAATAATTGTAAATAATATGATTACATAAAAATATTAATTGAAAAAATAATAATTTTATCAATAATTTTTATCATAGTTCAAATATAATAAAAATACAAATCAAATCATATATAATGTTGATTATGATAAAAAGCCATGCAATTGTTGAATTATATGGAGTCGGAAAATAAATTATTATGCTATATGTAAAAGGAAATGGACCCAATATTAATTGGTGATGCTCACCAACCCTAATTAAGGGACCTTGATTCCCTGACATATCAGTCATTGACTTGCTAGCTACTTGTCTGATTTTTGGCTTTCTTGCTATTCTCTAATCTTGATTGCACATTCAGAATTTTCCAATGCGAAAAGTAACTCACTTTTCAGAATTATTATTGATTGCAAACCATACGGGATTAAACGATAAATCCATATATGATCTGATAATAAATCAAATTTAAACTTTGTCCTTGATATTCAAAAAATTACTATGGAGCTTGCTATTTTTCCTTCCCCACCAACCAATAATGCCGTTTAAAACCCATGTATTTTACGTCGAATCCATAACAAAATTTTCCACAATATAATTTGGAATTTGCCTAGATTAAACTCTGATTAATTCATTTTATTTGTTTAATAAAAATAAAAAAATAAGCAAGAAATAGAAATTGGAATTTGCCTTGCCTCTCTCGTCCACTCCACATGCTTATCCACTAGATGTAATCCAAAAGTAGTCAAACCATTGTGCTTTAAGGATGTGTACAAAGCTGGAAAGTTGACAATGTTGGGTTTATTAGGAACATAATATATAGCGCACAGGCTACCTAAGAAAGCTGCCTCAGAATTTCAGGATACTGGAATTTTTGGAGAACCTACCTTTTGAAATTCCCAGAAATAGTTTTTCTTTTTTTGCAATTCTCATATCCATTTATGTTTGACGATAATTATAATAATAAAGATTATGAAAAATATTAATTATGACTCACAAATTACCTTAGTTACTTGTTTTGATTCATCACGTATATTGATAAATGAGAATGTAGTAGACGACATAAATTCAGAGCTTTGAGACGTATTCTATTTAGCAACTATATTAAATTTTTTTTTTTTAAATAATGACTATTTTTGTGCATTTATTTTAGATTTTTGAAATTTGCATTATGCTTTTTCCTAAAATATCTTATGAAGTACAAATGGAGCAATTACTTTTTTTTAAGCGAAATAAATAAACCCAACGATAATAACTATGGAAAGAATAATTATTAATTTAATAAATTAACAAAAGGAAAAGGACAATACATCTATTATTGTATTAAATATATAATTAATTAATTAAAACCGAGGCAGTTTCGCGTACACTGTAGAGAATGAGTAAGCCAGGTCAGTTTCCGGTGGAAAAATAACTTAATCACGTTTTCAGCCACTTGTTAATCCTAATTATTATAAAATAATAAAAGTCAATAAAATCATAAAATATTTTATGCTTTATTCTAACGACTCCATAACAACTTTCATATAGTAATAATAACAATAAAATATTTTTCGTTAATTTAAATTTTTCTTACAAAGGATTTACCTACCCTTCATGGTCTCCATTAGAAAGAAAATAAAATGGTAGTAATAATTTTTTTAAAAAAAATTCATTGATCGGTTGTAAATACACCGTACGTAAGTATTTTTTTTATTTTGGATCCTCTCGATAAAATAAAATATCATTTAGACTAATAATAATAAAATATTAAATATTTACAGGATTTAAACAAATCTCTCCTGTTTGCGTTTTCAGACTCTTAACAGAAAAAGAAAAGGATAAACAAATCCTGAGAAATTTGACTGAGTTGCCTTGTTATGACCATTTCTCTCTTATAACCAACACATATCCTTCTTTTTATCTTCTCTTTCCGATTATATATTTCAATATAAAAGAGAAAAAGGTCATACTTCTACAGCTAAACAGCACAAAATACTGAAAATATTCGTCATCAAGAAAGATCTCTAGAGAGAAAGAGAGAGAGAGAGAAGCCATGGCTGGTTTGCAAAGATCTGCAGTTTCTTTTAGAAGGCAAGGATCTTCTGGTCTTGTATGGGATGATAAGCTTGTATCAGGTGAGCTAAACCAAGTAGCAAATAACCAAAAACAAGAACAAGAACAAGAAATACAAGAAAAGTTTGACATCAAGCAAGAAAATGATGTTAATAAGCCTTCATCAGCAAGATCAATCAGTACCATTGAAAGGAGCCGATCCAACGGTGGACCAAGAGGTTACCGGACCGGTAAGGTGTCTCCAGCTATAGAACCTCCATCACCAAGAGTCTCTGCTTGTGGTTTTTGCAGTGCTTTTGGAAAACCAACAAAGAATCATCGGAAAAAGGCTGGTAAGATCAGATCACGATAATTTTTCATTCTTCCGGTGACCAAGTGGAATATTCCGGTGAATTTTGAGGAGGTGGGTATGGTATTTTTAATAATATTTATATATGCTGCTAGGTTTTTAGGTTTAAAAGAACTTCTTAATTTCATCTCAGTAAAGTGAGATGTAAGAGCTTTTCTTGAAACAAAATCCTCTCTATTGTTAAATTTAGTTATGGTCATGTTCTTGTTTTTCCTTTTTGTATTTCTCTATTAGATTTTAGATATAGCTTTCTTTATTGGGTTTGGATCCAATTATGTACATATGGTTTGGTTATTGAGAACATTTTACCTTTTCTTTCTTTGTGTACAAAAGCAAACCTTGATTCCTTTTTTCTCTTTTCTTCATTATCTTATACAATTCAGATTACAATCTGATTTTAAATTTGAAATCTTTTTATGGGCATATCAGATTTTACTTTCTTGAATAGAATTGGAATCTCTATCTTTTTTTTTCCCCTAAATTGTGAAAGGAATAGAATCTAGGTGAATCTCCTCTAGTTCTGTTACTTCTGCCAAGGTGATTCTGGCCTTTCTTGGGATCAACAAAGAAGGTGGACCCTGTTAATCATAGTAGTTGCAGTTTGTTAATTGCTAGTGGTAATCATCTTTTTTTTTTTTTTTTTTTTTTCATATGGTCTTGGGTTATTGAGAACATTTTAACCTTTTCTTTCTTTGGTGACAAAAGCAAACCTTGAATTCCTTTTTTCTCTTTCTTCATTATCTTATACAATTCAGATTACAATCTCGATTTTTAAATTTGAATTTTTATGGGCATATCAGATGTTACTTTCTTGAAATAGAATTGGAAATCTCTATCTTTTTTTTTTCCCCTAAATTGTGAAAAGGATAGAAATCTTAGGTGAATCTCCTCTTAGTTCTGTTTACTTCTGCCAAGGTGATTCTGGCCTTTCTTGGGAAATCAACAAAGAAGGTGGACCACTGTTAATCATAGTAGTTGCAGTTTGTTAAATTGCTAGTGGTAATCATCTTTTTATTTTTTTTTTTTTTTTTTTGAAACCGATTAAGGAGGTTTTAGGTAGTTTTTTTTTTTTTTTTTTTTTGACCGATTAGGAGGTTTAGGTACTTCATTGACCACGGCTACTCCGCATTGATTTCGCATAGGGATAATTATAACTTAGTTCACGAATTCGATACTTTAAAATGTAAGCTGTTCGGGCTAACATTTTTACCTTTGAGAATGAGTAGAGATTAGTTAAGTTTGTGGATCGTTAAAATAAACATGAGCAAGAAAACCTTATGCAAGTATTATAAAAAAAAAAAAAAAGTTGAAGCATAACATAACCCAATAGGTGGATGGATGGGTTGGTCAGGGCAAATTAATAACTGTATTAGGTCAATTTTTGTGAAAATCAAACCTTCTATATTATTTTCTTCTAATCTAATATTAATGTTTGTTTTAATTATAATTAAATCTTTGCTTATATTTGATTTAATAGTATGATAAATTAGGTTAAAAATTCAAATTTAAGAAATTCATAATCTAGCAGTAAGAATATTTGAGCTGTTGAAATAGGTCAGATTATGAGTGTTGTAGTGCAGAAAATAAAAGCATGTCATCGCCTCTTTCATTTTCTTCACAGTCTCACAGTTAACATGTGCCTGTAGAATAATAATTAAGGTCGGCAATCATTGGACCACGGCCCTTGCGCCCTCACCACATGTAAAAAGAGCATCCACAATTGACCCATATATGCAGATCTATCTTTATCTTCTTTTGCAATTTGGGTTATTTTTTACCGTGCTGGACATGTACGTTAATTTATCTTATTTTTTAAAGTGTTCGGTCTTTATACAATTTCTCTTATTTTCTTTTGTATTTAGGTTATTTTTTACGGTGTTCGGTAACATAACGTTTTACTTTTGAAGTTTAAGCGTTTAAAAATGCATTTAATTTAGCTGATTTTTGCAGTTGATAGCTATTTCGTGCCCAATAACTAAGTTGCAAGTGTTTGGTAGTACCCAATAACTAAATTGTAAGTGTTTGATAAACTTATTAATCAATAGCTGATAGCTGATAAAAGTGTCGTTAGCTTTCATAAGCTATATTTAGGAGCTTTGATAAAAGTCTCATTAGTTTCCATAAGCTATATTTATGAGCTTTTTCGTATTAGTTGGTAGCTGATTCGTATTAATATATATTATTTTGGACTTCATTAACTTTGTAAAAATAGTTATTAATATTTTTTTTCAAAATTAATATTTGTTATAATAATTTTATTATTTAAATTTTTTTCTTAAATTAGTTGGTAGCTGATTCGTATTAATATATATTATTTTGGGACTTCATTAACTTTGGTAAAAATAGTTATTAATATTTTTTTTCAAAATTATATTTGTTATAATAATTTTATTATGTTAAATTTTTTTTCTTAAATATTATTTTTAAAATTTTTAAGCAATAATTTTTTTTATGTAGTACATTAAAATAATAAATAATATATTCACCTTAATTTTATATATATAATTATAATCTTCTGCACGTATTACATGCTGACCTACTTAGTGGTAAAGTTATATATATATATATAATATTAAATAATTATGACTTCATGATTATGCGGTGCAATGAGTGTTTGATCTCGAGGAAGCGAAGATTGATGGCGAGTCTTAAGTCAGCATGGTGCGTAGTTTATATTATATTTAGAATGAACGCATGACCGATCCCGCATATCAGTTCGCTAAGAGATATAGTTCATGTACTAAAATCGAGTAACCAAACAATAATAACCTAATTGTTATCCGTCATCAGCCATCAGACTGATCAGACAACCACCTAATCAGTCGATCGGCTTGGTATGAAGCCAAACCAAACAGGTCCCTAAGAATAGCCATTTTAATAAAAATTAAAGTCACTCCTTAAAGGTCCTAGTCATATATATATTAATATTATACTTCATGATATGTAAAAGCAATTATACCCTTAATAGTTATTTTATATTTTAATAACAACCGCTCCTAAAATTTTACGAAACAAACAATAATTAACTAATTGTTATCGGTCATCAGCCATCAACTATCAGCAACCACTATCAGTCATCGGCTGGTATGAACCAAACCAAACAGGTCCTAAGATAGCATTTTATAAAAAATTAACTTTTAGAGTTTAAGATAATATTTTATAAAAAAATTAAGTGACATTTAACTATATAAGATTTTATGAAAAGATAACAATTACTAAAATAACTAAATTTTGCCAAATAGATTCTTAATATGAGTTTAAAAACACCGAACAGACTCTTAATATGGGTTTAAAAACACAGTTGGATTACAGTTAATGAGTTAATCCTCCAAACGAATTAAGTTTAACTTTATTTTTGGAATCTATTAAACGAGCCAAGCTTGAGTAGTATATTATGAGTAGTATTTAAAATTATAATATAACTTTTCTACGGATTTATAAATCACAATATCTCAACATTAAAATGAAACTATTTTATATATTAAAATAACAAACATATAATATATATTTCTAAATTATATAATACATTACTAACTTATATAATAGTTAATGTTATACTAGAGCTCTCATGTAACTAAGCAGTAGAATATTAACTAATTCAATAATAACTCGTTACAACGTAGGTATTGGAAATCATATATCACACTAATAAAAAAATTATAAAATATTATATTAAAATAGAAATCATGTTTTTCTAAATCGTTTGCGAACCGGTTAAGTTCAATTTGATAAAAGTTTGGCTCGATTTCAGTTTTTTTTTTTTAAAACGAACTAAGTTTAAACTTAATTTTTAGATTGTAGATTGATTCGGTTCGATTTGAAATTATTTTCCAAATGAATAAAATTTGAACTTAATTTAACCAAATATAGCAACTATATTTAGGATTGAGCATAATTTGTAAAATCAACTACATCGAATTGAATTGACGGGTTATGCAATCCACTTATATTACACGCTTGCCATCCCATAAAATATTAGTTAATTTCAATACATGGTAATTTTTATTTAGTAATTTTTAATATAATCTCCAGCTTTTTATCAATCAGTAATATGAAATATTCATGTTTTAATTAGTTGATTATTAAAAGTAATAGTATATTTATTTTATTAAACAGGGGCAGACTAAAAAACTGCAAAAGATATTATATTCTGAAAAAAGGAAACAAAATTATAATTTAAACTAAATAAAAAATTAATTTTTTTTTTTTTTTTGAAACTGAGAGGCTGTTTGCTGTTTTTTTTTTTAGTTGTTTTTAGTGACGTAAATGCTAAAATGTGTGGCTAGCAATCCATTGTATTTGTACATATGGTGGGGTGGTGGTGCAGTTTGCTTTATTTATATAATGCAAAGCTGATGAAATTATCAAAGTTTATGTCATATTGTATTATTTTATTATTTTCATATATTATATTGCAATGTAACTAAATTCACGAAAACACTTGTTTTCGAGAAAATTAACATGGTTCAGCCCAACTTTAACCAGTACGTGGGCCGTGGGTGGACATGTAATAGAACAGTACACAGTCAAAAACAAACTCAATCAGTTGATTTCAACTAACCGTCAACAAATTTACAGTTCAAGTTTGCTATTTTAATGGTAAAGCTTCAATCTTTTCCACCTTCTGTTCATCTAAATGACAACCGAAGGAGCCTCTTGTTACTGTCGAATCTTTCTTTTCTTTATCTTTATCTTAATCATGCATTGTCAAATCAAAAGCATTAGAAAAAGACTTCAAGAAAAGGACGTCACATGTCGGTGGAGTAAGGAAGGCAACTGGGGAATGTCAGGTTCTGAGATTTGAAGTTGTTGTGACAACCTTAAAATTGTTCACAATCTATGAAGCAGCATTTGCATATTCCTGTATTCTTGAAAAGAAAATGAAAAACCAAGGAATTGCTTCCTGGTCGCCATTTCTGATTGTTTTGATTCATATTTGTGTATGTATCTGTACAAGTTTTGTATACACAGAAGGGTTTGATTCTCTCTTACAGCTTCCACAATCTGAGTTGTTGGCAAATACCCGACCCAGATCCAAAAGGGTTTTCTTTGTTGGTGATTTTGGTGCTAAAGGAGACGGTTTTAGTAATGATACAAAGGTGATAATTTACGTTGCATTTACAGTAATTTTAAATTTGATATGCGGTTTTGTTTATGTATTTATCTATTTTAAGCTGAAGAGTGTTTTAATTAGTTGACTTGAATGGTCTCTTGATGGTGGATTTTGAACCTTGCCTTTATTTGCTCTTTCGTGCAAAATCTTATTTTTATCTCAAATTATTTCAAGAATTAATGCTCCTTCCTCTGTGTATTTTATTATTTTCTGGGTTATCAGGCTTTTATTGATGCTTGGAGAATGGCTTGTTCTTGCCCAGCAAGAACCAGAATTATAATACCAGCTGGATTTATTTTTCTGGTCCATCCTGTTGATTTGGCTGGCCCTTGTAAATCTAGAATCACTCTTATTGTAAGAACAAACATTTGAATTAATTAGTCTTGCAATCAATTGGATTTATATTTAATTATTCTGTTTGTATATGGCTGTTCTTTTCAGTCATTGTATTGAAGTCGTAATTTTAACAGATATCCGGTACCATTACTGCGCCCAAAGATCCTGCTCATTGGAAAGGTCTAAATCCTCGTAAATGGCTGTACTTCCATGGGGTAAACCACCTCACAATAGATGGGGGAGGAACTATCAATGGCATGGGAAGAGGATGGTGGGCTCGTTCTTGCAAGATCAACCCCGTATATGTATTGCTCATCTCTCAGACTCCGTCTTTCTAAATATGTTTTTACTTGTGCAATTTTCTGAAATTGCCTTCAATTTTTGTCTGTGGCAGCCATGTCGACATGCACCTACGGTTAGTGCTGCTTATATTCTTGGAGCAATGTGTTTAGTTCCATTAATTTTTTTCCTTTCTGTTTTATTTTCCTCTCCAATTGTGGCTCAAGAATGCTGTGACTTAATCCAGTGTAACAATTACACCACAGGCCATTACCTTTCACAAGTGCAAGAATTTGAAAGTTAGGAACCTTAGCGTGGTCCATGGTCAACAAATGCACATATCATTCACAAATTGTATCCGAGTTATGGCATTCCATCTTGTAGTGATATCGCCTTCTTTTAGCCCAAACACTGATGGGATTCACATCAGTGCATCCCGTGGTGTGGAGGTCAGAGATAGCATAGTCAGGACAGGTTGGTTGTTTCAGAAACCCCTATGATCTTCAAAAAGATGAATAATCATTGATATTTCAGGCAACTATGCATCTTTGGAGTTCTATTTTTTTATTTTTTTATAATGCTTTATTGACATCGAAACAAGAGTATCCTGATTTGATTTGTTTTAAATTCTTTGTTTGTGATGTGTGATGAATCTTGCTAACGTATTTGTGTTCCTTTTAGTTTCTTATTAGTATTGGCATTTAGATTCAAGGAACTTGACCAGAACCTTGTTCTTGAATATTTTCCTTATAGCTTATGAAAAGTACAAATGCTTGTCTGAAAAAGCAGACAGCAGCAGTTATCCATTTCTATCTAGCATTCACCAATAGTTGCACACTGAATGTAGAACTTCAGTATTAAAATGCTCTTAATCTGACTTAAGTAAAATCTCAGGTCACTAGAGTGGCTGAGATGGAGGAAAAAGCAACATTAGCTTTTGTTCCAACTCCATGACTCTAGTGATTTTAAAAACCTCATGGGATATTGTCTTTGGTATTTTCTCTATCTTCAACATTCAACTACATGCAAGACATGAGGCTCAGGCACTTGAATTCTGATCTGCATTTTAGGTTTCTTACTTTGATTATATGCTAAAATTCTATCCAGGAGATGACTGCATCTCTATTGTCAGCAACTCTTCACGGATCAAAATCAAGAACTTTGCTTGTGGACCAGGCCATGGCATAAGGTAGTAAAAATTGCAATGATATTTCAAGGATTATATTGGCTTGCATATTTTTGACTAATTTATCCTTTATCCATTAGCATCGGGAGCTTGGGAAAATACAACTCTTCATCAAGAGTCTATGATATAATGGTAGATGGGGCATTCCTGTCCAACACTGATAATGGGGTCCGGATCAAAACGTGGCAGGTAATTTTCCCAACATCTCTCCTTTCTCAAAATTCGTGTGTTTTATGCAAGAGTGTTTGAAAATTGTCGAGTTGATATATTAAATAAGTATATTCATAATTATGGAATCCTGCCATTTTTTTACTTGATTAGGGAGGAAGCGGTAATGCTACTGAGATTAGGTTTCAGAATGTGTTCATGGAAAACGTATCAAATCCAATTATAATAGATCAATATTATTGTGATTCACCAATTTCATGTGCAAATCAGGTATGGGATTCTGATCATCCCCTTTTTGTTTACGGTTATGAATACAAAATCATCGACGCATTTCACTAGGGACAATGCAATTTTATTGGCTAAATTTTGCACCGACCATTGTGATTCTCAGAACAGTTCCTTTGATCTGAAAAACAAAACTTCATGTTTTAACGTCTTACAAATTATATGTAAGAGTTGCAGTAGTTTTTTAATAATCCAGGACAGGAGTTTGCTACATTCATGCAACATTATTGCTAAGCTCTCAGTCAGGAACCTTAAGGAAGCAGCTATGAGCTACTTTAGCCTTGATAACTGCATCTTGCCAAAAAACAGTGTAGATGCACAATTAGAGTACTTACCTTAATTAAAAGAGACTGTATAACCTATTATTGCATGATATGCAGACTTCAGCTGTTAAAGTCGCAAATATATCATTTGTGCACATCAAAGGAACTTCAGCTACAGAGAATGCCATAAAATTTGCTTGCAGTGATTACTCACCATGTGAAGGATTATATTTAGAAGATATTCAACTGGTATCACACACTGGGGACATCTCAAAATCTTTTTGTTGGGAAGCATATGGCTCAAGTTTGGATCCAGTCTATCCCCCTCCTTGCTTCTCATCTAGTGAAAGCTTCATTGAGCAGAAAGTTCTTTCTGATTCCCTTCAATTTTTCTGACAACAGGCTGCTTCAGTTGAATTGATCGTGTGAAAGTCCCAAGCAGGAGAATTTGGTCCAGGAATTTTGTCAAACCCAATTCTTTTTCAACAGGATGTCTAAGGCACCCCATAGCATGGTTTATGAATGATCATCCCATGGCGAAGATTAACTTATTTTTAGGAACTATTCTTGTATTTATTTTCTTGTATATGCTTAAGCTGAGCTATTCTTGTATAGATGCCTTTTCTTATTTGGTATTAGATGATTTAGAGCATCGCATAGGAAATGGCGAAATGGTGTAAATGGTAGAGACGTGGAAGACAAGCTGGCATGGACCTTGAGCTTGTGAGAAGTAATCAATTTCATTAATATTAGCAGCCTTTTGCTTGTTAATATTATGTTTACGGCTGCAAAGCTAAAATCCTGCATCATGTATACATTAAGACTATGAGAGATAATCAAATGCATAAATTCACTTTTGAACGTGCTCTGGCATATCTTTAAACTGCTAGTCATTATTTTCACGAAGACCAGCATCCAATTAAGCAGAGTACCGTTGGTATCCTGGATTAAGAATTTTCTTTTCAAATTAAGAAATGAATCCAAATGATATGCCAATAATTAGCAAAAAATAATTCAGCCTACGCAGTTGAGACTGTTTAAAATTATGCTTGGTCCACGGTTTTTCTTTATAAATTAAAAAATCAATCCACACTGTTAATAATAAAGTAAAAATCATTCAATTTAAGCAGTTCGGAGTCTGCTTAAATTGAATTACATTTACTCTAGTCCTTCCAATACAAAAAAAAAAAAAAAAAAAAAAGTGTAAATGGTAGAGGAACGTTGGAAGACAAGTCTGGCATGGACCTGAGCTTGTGAAGAAGTAATCAATTTTCATTAATATTAGCATGCCTTGTTTGCCTTGATTAATATTATGTTTTTTACGGCTGCAAAGCTAAAATCCTGCATCATGTATACATTAAGACTATGAGAAGATAATAATGCATAAATTCACTTTGAACGTTGCTCTCGGCATATCTTAAACTGCTAAGTCATCTGATTATTCACGAAGACCAGCACATCCCCAATTTTAAGCAGAGTTAACCGGGTTGGGGGTTAAATCCTGGATTAAGAATTTTCTTTTTCAAAAATTAAGAAAATGAAGTCCAATGATATGCCAATAATTAGCAAAAAAGATAATTCAGGCCTACGCAGTTTGAGACTGTTTTAAAAATTATGCTTGGTCCACGGTTTTTTTTCTTTAAATTAAATTAAAAAAATCAATGCCACAGCTGTTAATAATAAAGTAAAAAATCATTCAATTTAAGCAGTTCGGAGTCTGCCCCTTAGAATTGAATTAAGCATTTACTGCTCTAGTCCTTTCATCAAAAAAAAAAAAAAAAGAAAAAAGAAAAGGCAAACCCTCAAAAAAAAAAAAAAAAAAAGAAAAAGAAAAGGCAACCTCATAAAGAAGCATTGCTGGAGTCTGCTAAGCCCAAGGAAATGGTTTTTAAACCCTGGTTCTTGGCATTCTTCAGACCATTCTTTGCAGATTTAGCAGAAATTATCGGGCGCCAAGATTGGGGCATCCCTCAGCAAGAGGCAAATCCAAGTTTTCTATAGTTCTAAATGTTCTTGGGACCATCTTATCAACATAAAGAGTTCCATCCAAATGGTCGCACTCATGCTGTAAAATGCGAGCCTGCCAGCCAGAAGCATTCACTTTGATTGGCTGGCCATAACGACTCAAACCTGTAACCTCAACATCAAGATATCGCTCCACTACTGCTCTGAATCCATCAACACTGCAAAGCAGGATAATTATAAAAAAAAAAAAAAGAAAAAAGAAATATAGGTCATCATTATCGAACAATATGCAATTTGTCAAGCAACAATATCAAATCCATGAATCAAATCAAGCAATAGAATCTCTTCTCTCTACCTAGCAATCCCAGATAGTTTGTTCAAAATTATCAAGTATTTGCATAAATAAGAGTATTTGAACTCAAGAATATTCATTGTGGTGTAATCTCGCGTGATACACATGCGAATAGCTTCTGAAGGACAAACAAATTTGACCATCAAGTTTCATCTTACCTTAAACACCCTTCAAAAAAGAATGCAGTTCTGTTACTCTTTTTTTCAAGCTTTGGGTTCAGGATCACCTGCCTCAAATGAACTAATAAATTGCAAAAGTGAAGTGAAAATTCTTTTATGCTGAAAATTTCGATATCAATAATTGGAAAATTCTCCCTTTCCATGCAATTCAACATACCAGAAGATCAAAAGGGCGTCTATCCTGTGCTTTAGTCTCTTCCTTAGGTGCATACCTGATATATTCTTTTGTATCTTCTAAAACTATGATCTGCAGAGTGAAAGTAATACACGATTGTCATTTAGACTAGGTTTACTTTTTGGGAAAGCAAGGTGGTGAAACAAAAAAAAAAAAAGAGAATCCATTCCCAATTTGTCAATTGATGTGTTGAATAATCTCAGAGAACGAAGTCCTCAATTCTCAATTTGTACAACAAAAATATTTCTCGTACTGTCATACATGTACAACCAGCAGAAAATTCTTGACACTTTGTCTTTGAGAATCAGGCATTTGATTCACTGGTTGCATGAAAGGAAGACTGCTATTACTTCAAACTTCAACCATAACAAAGTTGTAACATTTGACATTTTAATGCTTTGCAATTCTGTTTCACCTCTAATTACAACATTGTGATCATCAAAAGGATAGCATGAAAAATTATTATACAAGTCTATTGCCACCAGCAATTGCCCCATTAAATCAGAGGAAATCTAATAAAAAAGAAGACAACTATAGAAGAAATACAAGTAAAACAAAACAGCAGCAGAAAGTTGATAGCATTTATCCCTTAAGGTAGGCCTAGTGCACAAGAAATTAAGCTATTCGATAACCATTATCCTATTAATTCATCAGGTAACCTCAAAAACAAGAGCAAGTGAATACAACCATCATAACTAATCACTTTTCAAAATGCTATAAACCTAAATCTTCTTCTGTAACATTGTCAAAAGTCCTAGTTCCTAACCAAATGACAAAATCAAGTACTAACATAGTTCATTTCAGAATTTTTACCTGTTTCGGGAGAGCCACTAGCGGACAACGAACAATTAACTAGGTTATTGTTCAAGTGCGTGGGTAATCCCACTATCAGATAAATGCACTAATACTAGGTGGCATATAATAAGAAAAGGGTGAACCGACCAAAATAGGTTATTTTATCTGAAAGGTAAGTGCATTTATATCTCAGTATTAAATACATTACACTATTTGAGGCCCAGAATCGTAACAGTTATATCATTGCTGTCATCATTTTAATATTAATTCCATAAATATAATCTCTACACGACCAAGTTCTAAACTTTGTGTGCTCTCATTTTCATGTAAGCAAAATAGCATGAAAAAATTTATACATAAAGCATTTTTCTGATTTTTCCTTAATTTTCTAAACAGCAAAACATTAAAAGAAGCAACATCATAAACCTACCCTTAAAGGGACTCCAATCTGGGGAGCAGCAAGCCCAACGCCAGGAGCCATTCTCATAGCCTTAATCATATCATCAATTATCTTCTGAATCCTTTCTGACCCGATTTCCTCCGGGTCAACTTCTCGGGCCGGCTCATGTAAAACCGGATCACCAGCTTTAACGATATCTGGAAAGCTTGTTTTCTTCTTCTCTCCAAGACCCAGAAACCAACCCGCCTTGGCAGTTAAAGAGGAGGAGAAAGAGTTATGGAACGTGGATTTGGGGTTCGAGCTTAAAAATTCGGGTTTGGAAATGGACATTCGGGCAAAACGAGATAACGGAGCGAGCGTGACCGCTCGAGGGACTCCATGGGTGTAGGGATTGAGGCATTTCTCTGCCAGAGATATCGGGAGGAGACGGAGGGAGAATCGTTGGAGTGTCTCCATGGGTGGAGGAGTTTGGTTGTTCAGACAGACTTTGGGTTTGGGCAGTGGGTTTAAGGAAAACAAGACGACGAGGTTGTTGTCCTAATAATGGGCTTGGCTACATGGGCTATTACTTAGGTTACGGTCTCCTAAATGGGCCAAGCCTTGTCTTCTGTTTTAGATGGAATATGCTTTGCTCAATCTGTCTATACCATTTTTTTTTTTCAATTTTTTTAAAAATTGTTTTTTCCTATGAAATATTTTTTTTGTATATCCATCCTATAAAATCAAAGTCAAAACACAAAAATCACAAATTAAAAAACTATATAAGCCTACCGAAATTTGAGTTTTTTTTTTCTTCTTAAATGCTAAAGCTAATCAATTTTTATTAAATAAATAAATTTACTCAAAAAATAATTTATAAAATGAGAAAAAGAAACTATTCTTTGTACATAAAAGAACTGAAAATGTTGTGATATAAATATTCAAGAGTTTATGAAGAAGTAATACTAGCATGAACCATGAAGTTGTAGTTTTATAAAACATTTTTTTTTAATTTTTAAATAGTTTTTTTTTTTTTAAAAAAAAGCTAAAGTTATTACTCACTTTCAACCAATATGAAGGTCTTGTTGAATTTCTATTTGATGGGAATTGATTGGAAGAATCCTTACATTATTGATTTTGGTTGAAAATTATTAATTAGGGTTTGTATATATCCTTTTAGGGTCATCTAGATTTTATGGGTCTCAATGTATGAGTGGACCTTGAATATAAATATTATTATGGTTCTCCATGAAGCAAAAGGATAAGCTGGCAATGTGGTGAATTAATTTCTGTACTCACAAGTGAAACCCTAATTAAAAAATAGAGTTTCATATGTAAGTTTTGGATTTTGTTCAATAAATTAGAACAAAAGCCAAAATCAATGGTTACATCTATAATTGAGCTTAGGTAATCCCACATGGGAGACAACCTGTTGCCATACCTTACCAATTAATGTCAAGCATGTGCAATCCATTCTCCATCCTCTCTCTACTCTCTTTAATTTAAAGCACAAAACTACTCCATACAATGCATCTAACTATATATAAATCAATTCAAATACTTCATATATGTGTTTTAGGGTGGAGCTAGACTTTAAAATTTAAGAGACAATAATAATTTTTTTAAAAATTAAGGGATCAAAGTGAAAAAATAAATTTATATTAAATTTTAAAAAAATTCTAAAGTTTGGAGCTCGAGTTTCCCCGGTCCTTCCCTCCTTCTTTGGTTTAAAATTATATAATAGAGATTTTAAAAATTCTTACAATGGAAAACACTTAAATTTAAAATCTCTCGCTCTTTATATAAAATCAATCAGTTAAGATGCGATTATATATATTGTGATATATGTTTAAAATAGAAGTTCCAAATTGGGCAACCTAAGCAGTTGATTAGCAAACTGTCGGTTCCAAACCTCATCTTAAGCCGCACGTTTTTGAATCGAATTGAATGGTTGATATAACATGCGTGTTGGTAATTCAAAAATTGGGCGAAATTCTTTTTCCAGGTCAGCAAAGACGGCTAATTTGGGCAGCCCCTCTTTTGCTAATTCAAACCTCCAAGGCTCCAACCATAATTTTTTTTTTACGAACCCTATATATATATTTTTTTCATATTTCATTTTTATTTTTATATTTATTTAATTCAGATAAAATCGTTCAAAAATAATTATTTCATATTTTTATTAACAATGATATTAGCTTTTATTTTTCAAGTATTTGACATGTAAATTGTAAAAGCATATCCTTAACATATACTCTCTCAATATAGGAAGTATCTAAATTTAACTTGTGGCTATCTTTTATTATAGCAAAGAGTGCTCTTTTAGCCAAAAATGTAAAAAGCTGGAATCTTTGATAAGTCAATTGTTAATAATTGACTCAATATATAAGATATATTAAAAAATAGTAGCATTTCCTCTTCGCTTCTCTTTTCTCACATGTATATATAAGCCAATTGGCCATGAAATGCATATATCAACAAGAAAAATGAAGAGGAAGCAACTCGTCAAGCAAGAAGTGATGAAGAACAATAACAGCTCTTTCCCTTCCCAATACAGAAACTACTCCACAAGTTCTGAAGCAAAAGATGATGTTGTTCATAGTTTGAATAAGGAAGATAGATCATCAGTTGTTACAGAGAATAAACCAGTTGCACAAAAGCTAGAAAGCAAGCCATCCATGGATATAAATGAAAGTGCAGAAGCATTTATCAAGAATTTCAGGCACCAACTCTTGATTCAGAGACTCGAATCTATCGAAAATTACGAGCAAATGCTAGCAAGAGGTCTTTAATTATATGAACTCAAATATATATAGATATATATAATTTGTTGTATTCTCTCTTGATCTCATGCATATCCATGGTTGAGAGAGAGAGAGAGAAAATAAAACATGTATGAGAATACCAATAATTCTCTCTTTATTTGATTTTTACATTATAGTTTGCAATTAGATTAATGGTCTACAAGTTGACGGTAGCATACATTATAATGCGAAATCGAAGTAAGAACGTTGGATCCTAATAATTTCTATCTTCTTTAAATATTTTTAATGTATAAAAGAATATTCAATATTTCTATTATAATTATCCACCATTCTGAGGTTAAAAAAAAAGTTAATCACAAAAAGAGAAAGTTCAATATTCAAAATCTCAGTAAATACTAAAGTTTTCGACCAATGCATATATAATTTTATATACACCCAAGTATTATTTTTATAAATTGAACCTGACACTCTAAAATTATCCATTGAACTCAATTATGCCGTATTGTTTTTATAATAAATATGCAAGTTTATTTATTTTAATGAGCTCTATTATTATTATCAGCACTACTTATAGTAGTTTTCTCATATTCTTTTCAATTCAATTGAATTAATGTATTGGTATTTTTGTTTTGCTTAATGATTTTCAAATTCAAACTGTTTTATCATGTCAATTGTCAAGCATATAACAAAGGAAGAATGGGAAGAGTGATGGGCCAAGCCTTGGTGCCCATACACCCAACTCCAATATGCAGCCTAAAAAATGAAACAATTGCTAAGTGTCAATTCTTATTGGGCCCAATGGCAAATGAAATTGTTGAGTTTCCAACTTTTTTTTTTTTTTTTCAACTTGAAATGTAAGTCTACAAGTTGTAAATTTCAATTGAAATTGAATTAATAAAAAATGTCATTGGCAAAACTATATGCTAATATAATTAACAAATACAGAAAAATAAATAAATTTTCGTATAAATTCGAAACTCGTTCCCCCTCGATCAAATATCTCAAATTTGATTCTATCAAATATATTAAATTTAATTTTTTAACACCTCGATCATTATCTCTATCAAATATCTCAAAATTAATCAAATATCTCTATTAAATATCTCTCAAATTTGATTCTTTAACATCTGCGGTATTTGACCTTTAATATCTCAAATTTGATTTAACATCTGCGGTATTTAACCTCGACATAGTCCCTTTAATATCTCAAATTTGATTTAACATCTAGTCCCTTTAATATCTCAAATTTGATTTAACATCTGCCGTATTTAACCTCGACATAGTCCGAACTAATATTTAACCTCGACATGATAACATAGTTCGAACTTAGTGATTCAGTGAAGCTTCAGATTCCAGTGTGTATAAAAAAACAAATTCACTAATTGTATTTTTCTTAATATCGTTAAGAAATTAAAAAAAAATCGAAATTTTGATATTACTGTTTCTTGAGAAACACAAAACGATAATAGTACATACAAGTTTAAGATAAAAAAAAAAAAAAAAAAAAAAAGTGATCAGTGAAGCTTCAGATTCCAAGCTGTGGATAAAAAACCAATTCACTAATTTTGTATTTTCTTAATATCAGTTAAAGGAAATTAAAAAAAAAATCGGAAAATTTGGTTGATATTACTGGTTTTCTTGAGAAACACAAAACGGATAATAGTAACATACAAAGTTTAAGGAATAAAAAAAAAAAAAAAAAGAAAAACAAAAATGAAAAAAAAAAAAAAAAAAAAGAAAACAAAATGATCATCACAATTCTCATTGCATCACATTTTGCATCTGTCTTATTGCTACTACAACAACTAGCTGACCAGCCTGATCAAGAAAACAAAGACAACAAAAAGAAAATAAAGACAAAGTACAACAAAAGAAAACACAGATACATATATTATAATACCCCACCACCACCTGACCTGACCTCTATTAATTTTATTGATTGGGAACCAAAATGAAAATGCTCCAACTACTGTTGAACCACTTGCTTGATCTGCTGCTGATTGTGCTGTATCATCTGTAGATTGACACGAGAACAGGATCTTGCTACCTCTCCAGCTAAAGGAATCACTGGCAAACTATCACAATTGCATATCTCGATCATGAACCCATCTGGGTCATGGAAAAATAGTTGATCTACATGGATTCCACCTTCTTCCACCATAGCTCTCACATGCTTTATTCCCATTTCTTTCAGCTTCTTCTCCACTGCTCCCATGCTCTCACACTACAACCCCCCAAAAGAAAAAGAAAATTATTACATATCACTTTCATGTGCAAGGAAAATGCTCGACAACCAGAAAATTAGTTTCAAATGTACTAATGATATAAGTGAATTTGATGTGACTGCTCAGCAACTACAATCTCAGCCACAAATGTTCAGTAACTTTCAGATGCATATCTTTGATTGAAGAATTCTCAGATCTTATCTTTTTTATACTTTTTTGATAGGAAAAAACAAAATGAGGATGATGACAACTTTTGATGATCAACTCTGCCTAAAAAACCAGTAGTTAAAATGACAAGGGAAACCCAATTTGTCTTCTGCTTCGTCTTCTATGGCCGGCTTTCCTCTATAATTAGGTAAGGCCTTTTTTTCTTTTCATACGAAACTTTCTTGATCTCTATATACGTAATACCAAAACTTGATTAAGAACCAGTAGTTTCTTGATCGTATCTTAAAAAGACTCATCAATCCAATTATAGGAGAAGAAATGATCTAAAATGATCCAACAGTTATATACAAGATCAAACTTCCTCGATTAGGAGTAAGATTATACCTAAAAGATAATCTAATTGACAGAGGAAAGCACTATCCCGAAGGTCCCAAAGTTTCAGTTAATATGTAATAAAGAAATTGAATGGGTTTTATATTTTTCATTGCAGCATCATATAAGTTTGTCATTTCTCTCTTTGTATTACATGAATACATTTCTTTGTTTTGTATATAACACTATTGCGTGAAGCAGATGATGTCTTGATTCAATGTTCAAAAAATACAAATATGGAGATACACGACAAAAACAGCAAACAAGAATAAAACTTAATTAAAAACTAATGCAAGTTTAAATCAAATTAAAAACCTAATAAACAAACAGAGCACAACTATATATAGAAATTGTCATTATTTACCTGGAAAGAGATATGATTGTCCTTTGGGTTAATTTCAGTTTTCTTGGGCATGTTGTCTGGATCTTCTGATTGCAATAGATGAATTCCAATTCCATAACCATACAACCTAAGCATACACAAAACGATATCACAAATGATAATTAACCCATACTTAAATCAGAATTAACACACAATTAATTTGCTTTCAGAAAAACCCAGAAGGAATCAAACTTCTGCCATTTTCTGTGCTTTAAACCCATTAACTAAATTGGGATTTTCTTTAATTTTTATATATTGTTTGTGTTTTTGATTTTGATTAAAACTGAGAATTGAATTACCAAGCTCCATCAAAGTCAAAGGATCCGGGCCTCCTTATTGGCACGAATCCAAGAACATTTTCATAGAAATCAACCGATTGCTCAACTGATTTGCACAAATGCGAGATGTGATTCAACGACTTGAGATGGAGAGGGTTTCCCGTAGTTTCCTTCATTTTCCGAGAAAATTGTCAGGATTTCAAGAAAACAGAAACCAAATACCACCAGAAAACAAAATTTTCTTGGAAAAAAGAATGGGCAATAAAGAATCAAACAGATAATGAGAAAATAAACGAAAGAAATTGAAGAGAAATTCAAGAAATAGAATTTGAGAAAGTTACGGAACCACAAAGTGAAATGAAAACGCAAGAAAGTAGCAGTTATTTATAGAGAGAAATTCTGGGATGTATTGTACAAGAATTATGCCACGTGTCCTTCATGCAACGTATTTTTGTAGATGACTCTGACACGTAGATGTTTCGCTGACTAGGATTTTCACCAATCGTATCAAAACTGGGTCTGACACGTACGATTCCTATTTAGCACTCTGTGATATTTTATTTGGTGTGGGGTTAGATACACGTAATCACCGACCAGCGTGGCAGTATCTGCATAATTGGGCCAAATCATAAATTGACATCTAAATTTTTGGTGGCATCTTCAAGTGTTTTACTTCAACAGGGGATTTTTTGTTCAATTGATTCATGCATCTCATAACTATATTCATATCCCACGATCACCTTAAATGTATTTGGTAAGTTTTACGATCAAGGGAAAATAATTATTTTATCTCTGAGGTTTGTCATAATTATTTAAGTAGCCTCTGATATTTATACAAATATTTATAACGTTCATAAAGTTCACTTTCGTCATATTAATTGATCATTCCGTCCAAAAAATAGACATTTTCTATTAATTTTGAGAGAAAAGACGAAATTATCCTTTATAAATTTTCATTAACATTATGGAAATAATTATTTCGTCCCTAAGGTTTGCTATAATTATTTAAGTAGTTTCTAAGGTTCACTTCCGTCATATTACTTGGTCCTTCCATCCAAAAAATACATTTTTTCCATTAATTTTGAGAAAAAAAGACGAAATTATCTTTTATAAGTTTTCATTGCATTATTGTCAATCTCTTTCCTCAAAAATACTTAAAACTCAAATTTTCACCATCTTTCTCCACCCAACACAGTCTTCATTGCCATCACTGTGTCTCTGTCAACCATCATCTCCATAACCAAATCACTACCAAAACTAAAACCCGACATCCAAACTCAATCAAGCCATATTTGGATTCTCCTTAACCAGATCATAATTTTTTTTCTTAAATATGATTTGATTCTCCTTAACCAAATTTTCTTAATTTTTTTTGTGCATTTCTACTTTTTTTTTTTTCTTTAACACAAAAAGAGACTATAGGTGTATTAATCATTGTTCTCATCGGCTTGGACTACCGGTCAGGTGTTGATGTCCCAATTTAAAACACCTCTATAAAACGCACCGCCTTCGAACAATGGTGGGAGACCCTGCCCCCTCAACCCATAATAGCAAAAGCTCAGTCTAAGGAATGCCTTATTTAAACGTCAAGTCGGGCAAACCACTCGGTAGCAGAGTCAATATTTAGATATCATGCGTAACGGGATGCACTCAGAGTCAATGTTGTTTGAGCTAATTAATCATGTATCAATATCTAAATTTCTAACATAAATTGTTTGTCTTTAACTGAATAGATGAACTCGGTATGAAAAAAAATTATTTAATTAACTTTTTAATAATATAATTAGCAGCCTCTTTAATTTCTAATAGAACTTGGTAGGTAAAAACATTTCTTATTGACAATTGATCTCTAAATATTTCTAAATTTATAATTTATAATTAATTATTTAATTCAACAATTTTTTAAAGTACAATTAATATTAAATTTACTCGCTATATACATTTCTAATCATTTAACAGTCTCAATTATTATTTCACAGCTAGTGTTTTTGAGACAGGAGTTACGTGGAATTGTAGATTATATAAATATATGAAATTAACAATCAACAGCGAAATTTACTTCGTGAATGAGTCAGCACGAATATGACCTACACTTTGTTTATTCTCCACAAGCATAAAGAAAGTGAAAGAAACTTTTAAAATATATGATTCATGGCATTTAATAAAATAAAATTAGACAACATGTATCTATAAATGTAAGATTTGAATTACACAATAAGACAAATCCTATTTCTAATTTTCCTTTTGGCATACATGTTTTTATATTCAGATTGGAGCTCTACTCTAGATTTCGAACTTCTGACTTCGCATTATTGGTAAAATTTATCTAAGCCTGTTAACATAATTTTTTTTATTTAATATATAACCTTATTTAACAAATCTCATCGTATATATTTAATTTGATGATATTATAATACACTTGTTTAATTCAAATATCATAATGAGAACATGACAAATAAATAATTCTTGAAGACATATGTGTCTTCTCAACATGATATATATGTCACTCTCTTGAGAAGGAAACCTAATTTTAGTAAAATAATAGGAATACTTTATGATCCTTTATCAATAAATATTAAATAATTAATCAATTTTATATATTTTGTAATTTCATTTATTCACTTGGCTTCAATTGGTATTCAATCTTGCAATTTTGATTGAAATGAAATCCATTAGTAGTGGTATGTGTATATTTTATTATTTTTAATATGTTGATAATATTACAAATACATATATAATCAATTTTAATATATTTTAATTTCATTTTATTCCTTGGCTTCAAAATTGGTATTCAATCTTGCAAATTTTGAATTGAAATGAAATCCATTAGTAGTGGTAGTGGTATATTTTATTATTTTTTAATATGTTTGATAATATTACAAATACATATATATATATAATATATATATAATATATATTATATTTATTTTTATTTATTTATTAAAGAAAATAATTTTAAAAAATATATATTTGATAATCCACACACACATTTTTTTTCCAACATTTACATTATGAGGTTTTTTGAAAAAAATAATTTAAAAAATATATATGTTGATAATACCCACATTTTTTCATTTACATTATGAGGTTTTTTGAAAGTCTAAATCTTTGTATTTGGGATATATATATATATATAGAAAATATATATGTTGATAATACAAACGTTTTTTGAAAGTCTAAATCCTTGTATTTGTGATACACATGTGTCAAACACTTGAACAAGAAGTTGAGATATTCCCTTAAAATTACTAATTATGATTGATAAGTACACAATGGTCACAAGTTAGTTACTTATGCCATATGGAAGAACAACCTTTCTAAGTCATAAATTCTGATGTTGGAGTTACACGAACGATATCCCGATCTTTAAAATAGCTACCCTCGAAAATCTTTTCTTTTTTAAATTAGTGAGAAAACTAATCAGATCATATCCGATATTATTAAAAATACGCTGAGATACAACTAACAAATTGAATGGATGAATAAAATAAAATCCATTTTGTTAATATTTGCCAGTGGTATTGAGTTGCACTGGGATTAACATATTACAATTTTTGTTTTATTGTTTGTTTTATTTTCCCTTTTTTATATATATATAACTATTATATATTGGCATGGCTGGAGCAGTGGTGTCATAAACAGTTAGGTATAAGTATTTGATCAGAATTTGGCATTTTTGCTCATCAAATGATTCTCTCTTACACATGTACTATAACCTGCAGGTTACACTCCATAGGACAAATGCATGTTAATTTAAAGATGCTTACAGTGAGCTAACTTGTTATAGTAAGACAATATTATTTTATATATATATATATATATATATTTGACCTGGAAGGAGAACCATTCATAAACAGCTCAATTATTTATATGAACAGTGAGATATGTCTCAAATTGAAATAGAAGCTTAAAATTAATGGGGCCATCATTTTTTTTAATATATATATTGCTCTACTAGAAAAAGCCAAATTTCACTTTATTATGATAATTGATCAAGTGTTTTCTACACAGCTGGAAATAATCAATAATATATTCTCTTTCAAATTATTATTTATAATTACACAATAATAATTTTTTTAGGAATAATTTAAAAATCCCAATTTATAATGTGATGATTAAAATCAAGTATCATAATGATGTTTTATTTTTCTTTCCCTTCTTACAGTGAATAATAGAATGAACAGTTGATGTTTTAACATTCTATTCCAGGTACTGAATATAATTTAAAAATGTAAAGAGTTAAAAGATTTTAAATTCACGATTATCTGAGTTTTCATTACTATCAATATTTTATTTTAAAAGGACTTTCCAGAAACATATATGTATGCAGTAATTTCCACACAGTGCTGGAGAGGTCGAGAGTCTTCCATAATAATAAATTTCTAAAATCATAATTCTCCATTGTCACTTTCATGGTTGCTATTTGTTCAGTATAATATTAGTAGTAATTGCTGTTGTAAATGTCATCTCATTGACTAATTACGTACTTAGGGTTATTATTATGTGTTTAAGTTTAATTTATTAAACAACTGGATCTCAGCTTGATTCTGATGTGATTGGATTCCTAGTCGAAGCACTATTAATTTGAAGCTCATAAAGGGGGAAAAAAACAAACAAACAGAAACCCTTAATTAATCATTATTATAATAATAATTATTATAAATAATTAATTAATTAATTATGTGAGCTGGTTGTCACGAGCATACAAAACATTCATATGTTGGTGAAAATGATTGATAATGAAAGTTGTTTAGCTAACATTAATTCCTGTAATTTTTGCCACGTTCATCCTAGTCAACAAGCACTAACACACCATATCGTATGCTGCCAAGTACAAAAAACAGGTGAGAAAAAACTTTGTCATTTAGGGTACTTTATTTCCCAAAAATAATTTATCTTCCAAAAAGTTTTTCTCAACACAAATTTATATTAATGACCACTAAATTAAAAATGTGGGTATGTAAGATTATATTAAGCCATGTTCAGCAACAATATTTGAAGTAGTTTTTAATATTTTGATTCGATTAAATATTATCTTAATTAATATATTAAGTCTAGTCAACTGCTCATTTTTTTTTTTAAAAAAATTAACAGTTACTAGAACAACTAAGATCACTTAACAATGACTTTTGAAAAGTTTTTTTTTTTAAGTCATAAAAAAATAATTACCTAAAAATGACTAATTATAAAGTTTTGTAGTGAGTCATTGTATCAAACATTTTTTGCACTAAAATAATGAGTTTGAAAGTGGCTTGTAGTTGTGGGAAAAGGTGGTTTTTGAGATGAGGTTGTGGAAATAAATTTTAAATACACTTACAAGGGTTAGTGACTTTAATTAAGTTGTCCGCTTTTCTTTTGCACTTCCTAAAGGGCAAAAACAGAAGCAAAACTTGGTGCTTTCATAGTTAAACAAATAGTACTTGGATGTAATTACTATTTAATCCATAGGTCTAGGTTAAATACACTTATTAAGATATCAATTTTTGATAGTATACAATGTAGTCCATAGTTTTGATTTGGTTACGTTAATTGTGAAATTCCAAAATCGCACTTAGTGATATATATTGTTGTCAAATTTATTAATAAATAAATTATAAAAAATTATATATATATTAATAAATATTTAATCATAAATTTATTAAATGGAAGTAATTGTCATAAATAAAACAGAATGGAATTATCTAAGAAAGATTGAATTATATAACCCATTGGGCTAAATCCTTAAGGCCCATAAACCCTTGTGGATCAACAGGGCCCAAGCAAGCAATTCCCAATGTACAATGTAAAATACTATTTCTATTCCAAATTCAAATCTAATTAATAAAAATATAGTCAAATGCATAAATTTATGGTATATTTTTGTTAAAAAAATATTGTGTAGTGACAACTTTTACTTAGACTTATTATATGCTTTAGTTTATAAAATAAAATTTATTAATAGCTTCGATTTATAAAATTAAATCGACTGAACATTTATTATGTAGTTGAAAAATATAAAAATTATTATTTTAAGAGTTAGAATAACCATATATCAAATTAATATTTTATATATAAAAATTAAAACTCTAAAAACTATTATTTCTAATATGAAGACCGTGTAATATTATAAAAATTTTGTAATTTTATGAGCACAGTAGGTTTTGATATTATTAAAAAAAAAAAATTCGTAAAAATTATGTATTTAGCCATAAAAAAAATATATATAAATAACATTATACATACAACATCCTAGCAAGTATTTTTTTTTTTTTAGCAATTTTGTCTTTTTTTTTTTATTAGTATTAGCGAGGAAAAATCTTAAACCTATAAGTGAAAAAAATTGATAAAACATTACATTATAATGGATCTCGTCTTTGAGATAAGAAGAGGGTTACAAAGTAAAACCAAATCCAAGTAAGAAAAGGAATTTCTTTACTCGTGTCTTGGCTAAATCATCTGTAAATGGTTACTAACTCGCCACACAAGATCGACGATGTCATTCTCAAAAAGAAAATACCAATGGTGTTTTTCTTTTTGACTATGGGGGTATGTTACCCAGTGAAGAAAAGCATTCAAGAGGCTAAACAATTATTATATATGAAAGATAGTAATGATAAAGATTAAAGATCAAATTTATTCTTATTAAATCAATGAAAATAATAATTATTATGTACCTTTATTCTTGAGACTGTGGATTAAGCTAAGCATTGGCCATTTCTTAAATCTCAAGCTTCATTTGATAATATATTTCACAAAAAAGAAAAGATTTAAAATGATAATGCTCATTACTTCAATTTCTGTTGTCCCAAAATAATCAATGATGCCTGGATTTGGAAATCTCCCTGTAGAAGAAGCAGTAAGAGGGTTGCTTAAAGCTGTTGAAGATGCAAAAGAGGAAATAAATACGTACGGTACAATCTTTGAACGGATGGAATCAACGCTAAAATCTATAATTCGCATTACTGAGCGCATAGAGGGTTTTGATGGAGTGTTTGGTGATTCAGCAGAAGAAGCAGTAAGACTTATAGTAGATATAAAGAATGGCAAAGTACTCGTCCGCCATTGTTCTTCAGTACGTAGAAGATTGTGTCCGTGCTGCTTCAAAGCGCCGGATTGCAGGGAAGATCTAACGCAATTGTTAAATTCCGTCGAAAGGTTGTTTTCTCTCATACAAGCGCGCGAAACAAGTAATGCACTCAACATTACCGAAGAAATGACAATTCCAAAATTCACCGATGGGGACATTCATCGGAAAGAGAAAGTTAAAGAAATAGTGTTTTCTCGCATGTCTAATAAAGTACCGGAGCTTGTTGTCGGATTGGATGCATCACCATTGATGGAAATAAAGGAGAAGTTGTTTGAGGATCATCAGTCAGTTATTGTATTGTCTGCTCCTGGTGGATATGGAAAGACAACATTAGCAAAAATCATTTGTCAAGATGAGGAAGTAAAGGGTAATAATTAATATGTATTCTCTGCATATATGGTTTTTATAATACTAACATTTTTGCAATATTCAGTTGTTCAATTTCCAATTAATTTTCAGTTCTACCTATTATAGAATGTAGCTTGACTATGAAGTTTTAATCTTGGCAGGAAAATTCCATGACAATATCTTATTTGTCATTGTCTCAAAAGTCACCAGCTTAAAGGCTATTATAAAGCAAATATATGAGCAAAAGGGTTACGAAATGCCACAGTTGAAGACTAATGAAGATGCAATAAAAGGATTGGAGCAATTCTTGAAGGAAATTGGACCAAAGCCTATACTGTTGGTGCTGGATGATGTTTGGTCTGGATCGGAAGCCCTCCTTGAGAATCTCAATTTTCAAATTGATAATTACAAAATTTTTGTAACATCAAGATTTGAGTTTCCAAAATTAGGTTCTACATATAAATTGCAGACTCTGAATGCAATAGATGCTATGAAACTTTTTCGTTACTCAGCATTCCAGTGTATAAATGAGAATGAGAAATCTTTTATGCAAAATGCAGATCTTGAAAATGCGGTGAGTTTTTAAAAATATTTATGAATATTTTTTATGAATCTTGAAAATGTGGCTGATTTTACATGTTGCAGGCAGTGACAGCCTGCAAGGGAGTTCCACTAGCCCTTACAATAGTTGGCAAATCATTCAGTGGACAACCTGGAGCAGTCTGGCAAAAGAGAGTGAGGGTATGGTCTGAATCCAGTTCAGGTTCTAGCCAAAATCCTGATATGACTTCTTGTGTTGTTAAAAGAAGCTTGGAAGCGTTGGATAATGAAGTGAAGGACTGTTATATGGACCTAGGTTCTTTCCCTGAAGGCCAGTTGATTCCTGTCACTGCCCTCATTGATATTTGGGTGGAATTGTATGAATTACACGATGAAGATGGGGAGAATTCCATTTCCAAGCTCCGCAGACTAACCGCACTAGATCTCATTAATCTTGTAACAAGGTACGTTGGTGGTTTACACGCAAAAGCATGATTTTTCTTTTCCAAGTATTGGAGAGGAGAAATGGAACTTGGAGAGGGATATGCAAATGGTTGTTCTGTTCAAATTTGAATCAGAACTTTTAAAATCAAAACTAAACTGAACCAATTTGGCTCGGTTTGGTTTTCTCAATTTTGTGATTTTGCTCAAAAACTATTTTGACCCGAAGAATGATTAGGAACTTTCCCCTATAAACTCTTTTGAATTCATCAGGAAAGATGCAAATGAAGGTGATGGCACATATAGTGACCACTTTATCATGCAACATGATCTGCTAAGAGACCTAGTGATTGATCTGAGTAAATTGCAGCCTATGGAACTCAGGAAAAGACTGATTGTGGAAATTAATGGAAATAAATTTCCTGAGTGGTGGACTGAACAAGTACAGCAACCTATAAGTGCCCGTCTCTTGTCTATCTCCACAGGTTTGTTCATTCTTTCTCAAACAGCTTTCTATAAGGTGCCTTTGTATCGAGAGTATGCACCTTCTTTCATGTTCATTGCAGACAAGGCCAGTTTCCATAATTTCAGTGGATCCTATGTTAATATGAGTTTAGATTGCACTATTTTTATATGCAAAAAATGCACTCAATAATTTCTCGATATTATTATTATTAAGAGCATGTTTGAGCACATGTAAAGATAGAATTCTTTTGTCTTCTCCTTTCCTTCACTCTTTCATACCATACAACAAATGATTTGCAGATGAATCATTCTTGTCAAATTGGTCCAGTGTGCACGCACCAGAAACCAAGGTTCTAATTCTGAATTTTTATGGCAACAGTTACACATTACCAGATTTCTTGGAGAATACAGATAAGCTAAGAGCTTTAATAGTTACAAATTATAGTTTATTGTCTGCAGAAATAAGAAATTTCCAAATTCTTAGTTCTTTATCCAAGCTAAAGAGGATTAGACTAGAAAAGGTTTCAGTATCCTCTCTGAGCTTGGGCTCTGTATTATTAAAGAATTTACAAAAAATGACACTGGTGAGTTGTGATATTAGCAATAGCATCATCAATATTGCAGACACAATGCCCAGACTAGCAGAAATCAACATTGATTATTGCAAAGAAGATTTGGTGACATTTCTCGTTGGATTCTGTGGTGCTGTCCATCTAAAGAAATTAACCATCACTGGTTGCAACGGATTGACTGTGCTGCCTAAAGAAATTGCAGCACTGGTGAATTTGGAAGTGTTGAGGCTTCGTTCCTGTAGCAATTTGCGAGAGTTGCCTGAGACAATTGGGAATCTCCGGAAGTTGAGCATTCTTGACATTTCATACTGTTCACGTATCAGGAAATTACCAGAACAGATTGGTGAATTGGTTGAGTTAAGGAAAATGCACATCTCAGGATGCTCATTTCTGAAGTTGCCAAACTCAATCAGGAATCTTGAGCAGTTGAAATCTGTGAAATGTGACCCGCAAACATCTGGACTGTTTAAGTATCATCTCCCAGACCTGATAATAAAGTACTAATAGATGGCGTTGGTTTTTTTCTTACACTGGGAAGTGCAATTTGTAGTTTTATGACTAATTCTATGATTATTTTGTTATTTCAATATTTAAAATTCCATGTACCATGCATTTCGTTATACAGTTAGATGCATTTTTAATTTTACACCATTTGAATGGTTTATTTTCTTGTGTTGGAGACTCTCTCCTTTAACCATATGTAATTTATCATCTCCTTGTTTCAGGATTTTGTAAAATTTATCCAGAATTTCAGGCACTTGATTATGTAATTATATTTAAATTGAAAAATTGAAAAGTTCAGACTTGATTAAATGTGTAAATATTCCTAAATAAAAAATTATTAATACAAATATTCTCTGACGTGTGTCACCAAAAATAAAGAAAGAGGAAAAACACAATAGATAGAGGCTTTATATTACAGATTAAATGTGAAAAATTGATTCACGCTTACGCTTGACTTTCATGATCCTCCAAGATATCAATTTGCTCATGTGCAAGTCCCATTGCCAGAATTTTATCATCTACAACCAGTCCCTAGAAAGAAGAGAAAAAATTCTCGAGGAAAAGAAAAAACTATATGGTGAAACAAATTTTAGCAAAAATAAATATGTAGATGTTTCTCACAGTTTGACATAAGATAAATTCTACTCATATAAGGCTATTTTTGGCTAAAATTATAGAAATCATTTCATTTTTTTGCTAAAAAACCATATTTTGCCTCCTACAAATTATACCTGCATGGGTCTTTTTTCTTACCGTTCTTCTTCAAATTCAAAGGGAAGATCAAAATTGAGTTGTTTAGCATAGATAATGAAAAAATTACGAGGTTGAAAATAAAAAATCATTGGAAAAAAAAGAACATAGCTTTGTTGGAAAATCAGCTATACCTTTCCTTTGAAGAGATAACTTATGGTGGCATTCAAGTCTCCCATTAATGCACAGTAGTGGGAATCAATGCATACTTTCTCTAGCTTTGGTGTACTGACAAATTTATAAGTGAATAACTTCATCTTGGGGCATTTTACCACAATCAGCTCGTCAAATGATGGCAATTCAAAATCAGAAACCCCCCAACAGAAGCCAGTGAAATTTGGTAAATTTTCCAGTGTCAAATGCCATAACTCAGGGAAAACAATCTTATTTACTGTTGCTTCCAGATTTTTTCCATCTTCCTTTCCAATGATGTCCTCTACCAATTTGCAATTCGATATTTTGATTATTTTGAGCTGCTGAAGACTTGCAGCGACAGATGGAGAGAATATGCTTCTTAGGTTGCTACAGTCATCAATATTTAGGCTTTCAAGATGTTGAAAGCTCGGAATTCTTGGATTGTTCAGCACATGTGCAAGTTCTGGCAGAGATGTCAAATTCAATTTTTTTAACTTAAAGAACATTCCGCCAAGTCTTTCATGTGAACTCACTCCTTCAGATTCAAATATCTTAACCAATGAGGCACAGGAATGTACAGTTAGCTTTTCTAGTTTTAGGAACCTTTCTTCTATGTTTGAAGGAATGACATTCAACAAGTTTTCACATGCTTTTACTTCCATCTCCCTCAGTTCACAAAAAAAGCCATCTGGAATTTGGTCATGCCCTAAACTTCTCAAATTTTCCACATGAGATACATGTAATATCTCTAATTTGTCCAATGTCACCTGCGCACAACAGAATTGAGTCCATATTTAACTTGAGAAGAAAAAGATGAAAAGAAGTTGCAATTTAGAGACAGAGAGGAGAAAGAGGAGAAGAAGAAGACAAGATAGCCTTTTACAACAACAATAACACTGTGGTTGAAATTTATCTTATCAGCTGCTGAAACTGCGGACAGCAAATTAATGAAGTAAAAGTTGCAGAGAAACAACAACATTCATAAAAAGAGTTGCATGTCTAGGACTCCCTCCTTCACTCAAAAGAACAACTATTTTTGGTGATGTTTTTCTTGCTCTGTATCAACTGGACTCTGGCAAGTTTAATTTATGGTTTCTGAACAATGAATTCACCAAAAGAAGTTGAAAAAGGAAAAAGGAATTGGGAAAATGCCATACCTTTCCTTTAAAGTGGTTACCTACTTCAGCACTAAGGTCTCTCGTTAGCAGATACTCAGAGGAATTGATGTGAACCTTCTTTAGATTTGGCGCATTCAGATGTCTATAAAAAGGTGCCTTAATTTCAGGACATTCTTTTAAAACTAGTTCTCCTAGCAATGGCAATTCAACAGCATATATCCCGTCACAGAAACGTTTTAGGTTGGGCAACTTAACAAGTTCCAGCAGTTTTAATTGATGGAACACGATGCGGTTTTTCCTTGCTTGTTGTAATTCTTCATTCTCCTGTGCAATAACTTTCTCCAGCATTTCACAAGCATATATCTTTATTATTTGCAGATTCTGAAGACTTGAGGCTAGAAGAGGAGAGAGTATGCTTCTCAGATTGCCACAATCATAAACTTCAAGCCTACGAAGTTGCTGAAAGCACCAAATTTCTCTTGGACTGTTGCATATCCGCAAGAGTTTTGGGAGGGACATTAAAATCACTTCTTCCAAGTGGTAAACCATTTTAGTGTACTTCTCCACCTCATTTTTTGTTTGAGACTCGAAGATCTCTACAATTGAAGCACAATGACACACAACCAGCTTTTCTAGTTTCTGCAACCGTGCTGTCAAACTGGAGTGTACAACATTCAACAAATTTTCACAATCTTCCACCTCTATCTCTCTTAGTTTACATAAAGAGCCTTCTGGAAGTTCATGATACCCTATCCTTGTTAAACTGTCTAAGCCAGATAGCTGTAAGATCTCCATATGCAATACCGCCTATACAAACAACCATTACGTTAACTAATACTATGTTTCATTGAACCTCAAACAAATTGGTTACTCCTAAATCGAGGGCATAGTTTCAGTTTTCACACAAGCCATTATACTATAGAACATGTTTTGTTAGTCAGTGTCCTGTAGTTTCCCAGTTGGTAATCAATTTTTTAAAGAGTAAAACAGCTTCGCATGAAGCATTGTAAAATGTGTCATCAAACAACTCGATGTGGAGGTTCTGATTAAGTTTAGAAGTTCAATGCTTGGCAAACCAGAATAAAGGTATATCAAAATAAATTAAAAAAATTCTAGGATTTTTTGTTTGTTAAATTAGAATCAGCAACTCCATAAACGTGGGAAATTATTATTTATCATGAATGTTGAAAAATCAAGTTGCTAGTGAAAAACACTAAATAAACAAGTGAAATTTGGATGCTTTTGCATCAATGATTGTGACTGAGACAACTCAGTTATGCAAACATGCATGTCATAAATTTCCATTAGGTTACAATTAGAGGGTTAACTGCCATTCACATTTGGGTGCATACCTTTGCATGAAAAAGAGGTTGTGGTGTCATTGAATAAGAGCAGCATTGACCAGCGGCACCAAATATATTTAATCTGGGACACCTTCTAACAGTCACTTTTTTCAGCAAAGGCCATTCAAAAGCATGGGGCTCTGAGGAGAAATTTATAAGGTTGGGAAGATGCACAAGCTTAAGAGAATTTAATTGAGGGAACAGAATAGGGTTGGCTTTCACATCTTCTGCTTTTGCAATAATTTCTTCCATTCCCTCACATGAAGTAACTTCTAGTTCCTGCAAGTTAGCAAGAATTGCAACAATTGAAAGTGAAAATAAACTTTTCAGACTTTTACACCCTTTCACTGTTAAAGCTCTTAAGTTCTGAAAGCCCTGAATTCCATTTGTATGCTTCCATACATGCCTAAGCTTAGTTAAATAATGCAGTTCAAGTTCTTTTAAGCAAGAAAGAGCTCCATTGACTTGATCATCAAGGTCAAAGACCACTTCAAGTGAATCACAACCCTTCAGCACAAGTTGCTCTAGATTTAGCAACTGCTGCATCCAGATGGATGTGAATAGTTTGTTAAAGACTAGCTCCAACTGGGTGCAAGCTTGAATTTTGCCATGTTGGATCTTTTCTGAAGAAGCTGTGGTAGATTGATCAAAGCCAGTCAGCCCTTCCTGCCAAATAAACTGAATCATAATAATGTCAAGCACTTATTTTTAAAGTTTTCCTTTTCTTTTTCATAATAAAGACAACAACGCAAGGTTAAGAATTTTTACTTCAGTCTATCTACTCAAGTTCAACAGAGTATCCTCTGAAGCCATTGAAGCCTAGGAGGGCTAAAATGGTTATTTTTATCTAATGCAGTTCTAAATTCCAAGAAAAAGAGACGTAAAAATGTGCTTATTCTCAGAATTATGCACAAGAAAATTTCAAAATTCATCATGAAAGGATTTCATGTTAATATAACAGCTTATTCACCAACAGTTCAGATATTTTACTTCAAAGATAAAACTAATAAAGCAGTTTGTCATATAATGTAAACAACAATAAAAAAATGTCACAATCATGAACTACAGATTATCAATGTCATAGAAGAATCTGAGAACTAAAATGGATACCTGATGGTTCAAAGATTTCTGAACCACATCATCACCGACAGTCTGGCAGAAACTGATTAGATCTGAAAGAGAATCCAGCTCCAAGTATGTCAACTTGGGGAACCAACTACTATCTGGTGCCGCTGCTTCTGCAGCTTTCAAATCTTCACCTTCCATTCTTGAGATAACTTCTCGTAGTTTGCCACAGCGAGAGCAGTCTAGGTATTCAAGATGTACCAAACCTCTGGCTATAGACAATGAAAAAATATATTTCAACTTATTACAGTCAAATATTTTCAGAGACCTAAGGTTGCCAAAACATGGTAACTCGGAAGGACTCTTTGGAAGCTCCTCATGCCATATTTCCCTTAAATTATGTAATGCTCTGAGTGACAGTGACTCTAGGAGGGGGAAGCCAGTAACATGTGGAGCCCAGTCCCCGGTATCAATGATACATTCTAGTTTATAACAACAAACAAGTGACAATTCCTTCAGGCAAAGAAAACCATCCGTGTCTAACTCAGAAAGGACATTCTTCAAACTCTCAACTTGTAAGTACAGAATCTCAGTTTTCTTCAACAACTCATGGATACCTCGCCAAATAATACCACATACATCACCGTCAATTCTCAAATAGTTCCTAAATAAGTATGTACCAGTCTCACAACCAGGAGAGCCAATAGATATGTTAAACCTTTTCAAGTTTCGAAAAAGCAAGCCTTCTGCCAAAAGATTGATTTCTGTTACATGAATGTCTAAGACCTTCAAATGACCAGATAGAGAACTTAATTCGGCAATGCTTGCATTGGTTTTTCCTTCATATTCTCCACTGGCAAATTCCCATTTAGAAAAGCTGTTTCTCATATATAGCTCCTCTAGTTGGGTTAACCTAGACAGAATGCCTGCTGGAATTTTTCTGAGAGAAGCACACGCTGTCAAATCCAACAACCTTAGATGACTTAGATTTTCTAATTTTTGTGGCAGCTCTAGGATATCAGAACCAGAAAAACTAAGGATCTCTAGATTAACCAGAGTTCCTATTACGGATAAGTCCTCAGTCGAGCCAAATGTTGCTCCAAAACAACAATGGTCTAGACATAAAGTTGAAAGGTTGCCTAGAACTTGGAGTGATGAGGGAAGTGATGAAATGGGCATATTCAACAAAGCTAGAACTCTAAGTTCTTCCATCCCTTTAAATGCATTATTTAAATCTGGAGATTTCACGCCTAAAGTACAATTCATGGACAATAACTGTAGAAACTTGAGTCTTGAAGAATCTAAACCATCAACACCCTTGTACATTTTATCACAAACAATTGAAACCCCCATGTAATCTCCATATTTATCTTCCCTCAGCCATTCCCTTTCAGCATCATGTCTCACTAAAAACTTGTGCTGGCTTTTGGATGCAATTGATAAGGCAGTTTTGCGCACAATGTCATGCAGTTTGACACATTCCGCCTTACCACTTTCAAGTAATAAAAAATACTTCTTTAACTTCTCAACTAATGCATGTACTCTGTTTCTTACCTCTTCCAATGTACAAATGCTATGAAACAATCTTAGGCCCATCCCATATCTTACCAAATATTCAATAGGAATGTCAAAATCTTCAGGAAATAAACAACAAAGCAGAAAACATAGCTTGGCATCCTCACTTCTTAAGTAGTCGTAACTCAGCTCAATTTGCAAATATACTTCATTTTGCATTTCTGAATTGTCTACTTTGTTAGAATTTTGTAATTGCCTCACCACATCTTCCCATATATGCTTTTCTTTACCTCTTAGTGCATTACCTAAAATAAGGATTATGATTGGTAAGCCACCACACTTCATTGCAACTTCTTTTGCTAAAGGTTGTATGCCAGGATTGTTTACAGAAGTACCTGCTACCTCCATGAAAAACTTCCATGTTTCTAGTTCAGATAGGATACCAACAGTGAAATTCTTTTGGTTATTCATCTTACAGCAAACATCTTCATTGCGTGATGTTAATAAAATTTTACATCCTTGATGCTGATCTGTTGAAGGAATTCCAATTTCTTCAAGACTAAACTTTTCCCAAACATCATCAAATACTATAAGGATCCTCTTGATTCTCCTGAGCTGTCCGTGCAGATGAATTGCTCTTCCATATAGAGCCTTCGGTTCAAGTTTGAAGCCTATCCCATCCGCAATTTCTTGTTGAATATCCAGAAAGTTAGGATTTTGAGACACTTTTGCCACCACAACTTTGTCAAATCTATTCTCAGCTTCGGCTCTTTTTATAATTTCTTTAACCATTGTGGTTTTGCCCACACCCCCCAAACCACAAATAGAAATCATATTGATCTTATTGCTTCTCAGAACCTCCATAACCTCACCCATAACTATTTCTCTAGATTGAAAACTTTTAAAACCACCAGTGAATGTAGATCCAAGATTTGGTGGAGGAGCAGGATAGGTTTCTCTGTCCAACGTATTCCATTCTTCCCTGAGCTTAACAACAATCCCAGTCTTCTTCTTAGCTTTCCTACTTAAGAAATAACGTGACTTCAGATTTGGAGACCAACCATGTAAACTACTCCTCTCTAATTTGACATGTTCCAGAAATCTGCCCAACTCTTCACAGTTTTTGTCAACCTTTCTCAGCCACCTCTCGACATCATGTGAGAGAACTTTTCCGCTGCTAATTGCTGCATCACTGAGCTGTTGAACTCCAGCTCTCATTTCTTGCAGCTTATCATTTTCATCATTAAGAGCCTCAATATTGCGGTCACAGTGACACAGATAGCCAAACTGTCTCCCAACCGGTTCAACCAAGTTTTCAGCAATTTTAGATGCAATTGAAAGAATAATCTCCATTTCTGTTGAAGGATTCAGTAGAGTTGTTTATGTAATATTGTCAATTCTGGATTCTAGTTTTTTACGGGTCTTAGTACTTTTATTTTGACTTACACTAATAATACTAGTAAACATAGGAGTCAAATTAAGAAGTATTTTCAGTTATATAAATAAACCAGTTCAAATAGGAGTCACGTAAAGGAGGATTTTTTGCTTTGGAAGTCCAGATTTTTTTTTTTTTTTGACTAAAAATAACGTGCTGTTCAAAACATTAGAGTCACATTAAAGAACTGAAGAAGAAGAGGTTTCAGAAATTTTTTGGAGTTTTAACTTTTCTAGGCAAAAAGAAAAAACAATAAAAAACAAATAGAAATTGCAGGAACAGAAAGAACTGCTGGAACATTTTGAATACTTTTAGTCATAAAGATTAAAATAACAGCTAGAGACAACCATCATCATCATGCAACAAACAGTAACGACTGAACACCATTAAGTTTGAAATCTTTTATGCCTGTTATATTACCCTGAAAAAGTAGTATTCTAGGAGGCTTTGGAAACTGTTATTTAATGGTTCCTTTACTATTTAAAGCCATGCCTATTAAACAGTACATGATTAAATATATGCACCTTGAACTTTTTAAACCTCGCTATGTAGTTCCTGGACATAAAATTTTAGCAATCAAGCCTGCAAGATACCTACTCACGCTTTCTTTAATCAAATCAAAGAAATTATCAGGCTAGAGAAATGGTTACATAAAATCACATTTTACATACACTAATACATACGTATGATTCTTTAAGGGAATAAATCTATTACCAGTGGATGAATGCAGCAATTCCCACCAGTTGCTAGCAGAACATAAATCAAAGACAGTTAAAGACCTTAAAGAGAGGCTAAATTCTCAGAGAAAGAAGAGCTGGCAATGCGCCTGAATTATGTCTTAACGTGGAAATTCAAATGGAAGAATATATATTGATGCAAGGATTGGCTACAAAGAAATGCCAACCCTCAAAGGCAAGCATTCATACGAAGAAAAAAAAAAAAAAAAGAAGATTGATGTCTGACAAAAATGTTCTCTTGAAAAGAAAAGGTCTTTCTTTCTTCACCTATGAGGTCAAGTATCTGGACAGCAACTATTTATTAATAAAACAAAAAAAGGACGTTAAACACAGAACAAAAGAAAAGAAAGAAATTCATTATAGAATGCTAAATGGTTAGACGTTGTACAGATAGAGGACACCAGAACAGATTATCGCCTGAGATGAAGAGAAAAAGTGTTAAATCAAAACATTATAAAGACCTATTTACCGTAGCTAGCTCGGAGCTAACACTTACCTGTCGGAGGGACAAGCGCTTAAATGCCAAAATGAGATTTCTTGGTGGCCTATAGTGTATACTTAATTTTGTCACATCGTAACTCGGTGATAGGCACTAATTCAGCAACAACATATTCGATATAACAGCACTCTCCCACTACATTCTCTGCAAACAATTTGTCACTGGAGAGAGAGTCTTCTCTAAATATTGAATTCTCCTTCCTCCATTTGAGTTCTTAGTTTTAGTTGCATTCAACCCATTATCCAAATTCGCCATTAAAACAGTTGCAGAAGGTAAAGAATTCGTGTTCATGATTTAAGCTTTATGGTAAGCATTCATCAATGACTTGGAATTCGTGTTCCAAATAATTTAAGCTCTATGGAGATTACCAAGATCACAATAAAACGAGCATTCATCTTTCCCCGAGTTTTCAACCGTCAAAAATTATTAAGCTGCAATGGAGATTTAGAATTATTGTATTTGGATGATCTTGGTAATCTCTACAAGTCAGCAAATTGGAGAAAGAAGTGCTTCGACAATCTTCACAAAGTGGAAGCTGGTGGCTGTTATATTTGCAGGACTTGACATGGCTTGTTCTAGCTCCTAATTTGACCAATCTGTTCATCTGGGGATGTGGAGAATTGGAAGAAATAATTAGCTTCGAAAAATTTGGTGAAAATCACAATAATCCATTTGCAAGACTCAAATTCCTGAGATTAAAGCATTTGAATAAGCTGAAGGGTATTTATTGGAAAGCACTGCCAATACTATTTCCAGAGGAAATCCATGTATCAGAATGTCCGTTGCTCAAGCAGCTTCCACTAAATTCTTGCAGTGCAAGGGCCATAAAGTTTTAACTAATAAAGCAGGTAAAGAGTGGTGGAATAATGTTCAGTGTGAAGATGATGCTACTAAAACTGCTCTTGAAATTCAATCCTGTTTCAGAGATAGTAATGAATCTTGAATGGGAAGATTTGATGATCTTCACTTGTAAAATATTCTTTAGAGATAGTATTCTGTTCCATGTACTGAAGAAAAAACTTGTTCTTCTGCATTCTGCATTATTTTTACTCTCTTCCTAAAAACTTGGGAATTCCTGAACAACTAGGTGTAAATAGAAAGTATTACTACTATAATTTACAAAAACTGGCCTAATTATTTTCTCAGTGTAACTGAATAAAGAACTTGATTAAACATTTGCAAAATGATATATATTGCATAACATAAATCATTTGTTTAAATAAAAAAATTATGATCTAATTATATCTCATTATAACTAAATTTGTAATTTTAGGATATGGAAAATGGAAAACTATTGTATATGAAATAAATTTATAATTACATTACTTTCAATAGTTTGATATGAAATTCAATGCATTTATTTAGAAGCCATAATAAATACTACCAACCAAAAAGTTAATTAGAATACTAATCAAAATATTCAAAAGAAATTAATGAAATATATTGTCACGACCCGATTCCATGGGCCGGACCGGCACTAGGGCCCAGGTAAGCTTAAGGCCCCCGAGACCCGTAGTAAGCCTGAAACACTGTACCGGCATTAGGGCCCAGGTAAGCTAGGCCCCCGAGAACCCGTAGAAGCCTGAAACACTAAAGGTGTTAGTCACGACCCGTTTCCGTGGGCCGGACCAGCACTAGGGCCCAGGTAAGCTTAAGGCCCCCGAGGCCCGTAGTAAGCCTGAAATACTAGAAATTTACTATCTCAATAAAATTTTAACATTCAACCCATATGATTATGAACAATAAACCTCAAGATTTTATTATTTCTCGGCCCAAGTTTATCTTCTACGACATCCCATAGTTCGGGCCCAATTCACAATACATCACATTTCTAACATAGGCTTACAGAATTGCTTTGGCTATATTAATACACGACTAAAAATATGTAAATCCTACAACTGCGGAGTCACTAACTCTTAGTATACATAGCTTTTATACACATGATTACATAGCAAAAAATTATGAAACTAGAAAAATTTCTTTATTGCCCTGCGCCGAAGAAGCATAGCCTAAATCGGATTAAAGGAAAAACCTACTTCCTGAAAAATCAAACAAGACATGTGAGTTTTTCTAAGGAGTAAGAATTTTTGCACACCACACGCAGTCACACAAATGTGTAAACATATTAATCTAGTCGTCCGACTAGTTATATGCTCACGCAGCCAGTCACACAAATGGCAAATCACCAGCACATCATAACATCTTCATTATATCAATCCGTGGAAAAATTAATCAGTGGCGCCACCCTGAAACCCAACGAGCCGTCCTCACACATGGCTCGCCCTTCTCCATACATGTGCACCATGGGAGCCGAATCCCCATACGGCCAAACTGGTCTAATCTCACTGACCAGTCCTCTCATATATTTTTCCATTCTCTCGGTTTCTTTTCCATACCAACAGGAGGCAACCGGTTGGTCTCCATCCATCTAGATCATCAAGTGCTCACAACAGGAGGCCACCCTGCGGCTACAATTCAATCTAGATTATCAGGTGCGCAGACAACAAGAAGCCATTCCTGTGAATTTTCCATATTAACTTATATTATCTTAGGTGCACAAGGGGCGCCGATCTCCCATTTTCTCGGCGACGGGTAAATATAAATCATATGGATCCATATCACAGACCGTCCTTCACAAACCATGGTGGTCCACTTCATCCTAATTCCACACAACAAAGGCAAACATATTCACAGCACAGGTAATCAAACAATGCATCAAATGCAGGACATATTGATCAGTTGAGATCATAATGCAAATGCACATTAGCATTCATTTTAATTACAATTAAATAATTAAATAAATTAATATTAAACAACAACAAAGATAAAATAAATATTAATAATAATCATAATATAATTAATTAATAATAAACAATGATAACAAAATGAATAAATGATAATTAAATAAATAAATAATGATAATCATAAAAATAATTAGAGCATATATTTATTATGTATTAAGTTATTAGAATTTTAATTAAATAAATTTATTAATTATGTTTTACTTAATATAGTCTAATTTCTATATAGAATAATATCATGCGGGAGCAGGCACCTCCCCTAAAAATTGGGACTATCTACCTGCTCATTATCACAATATTATATATATATTATCAATCAATACACACAGCCATCCGTCGGGAATCAACAATTTTAAGTCCCATCCTCCTCTTCAGTACAAGTATTGTCAACGTCACTAAATAAATCTTTACAAATTTTAATAACTCCAACATGTTCCAATGATATTATTAATGTCCCCTAACTAATTATCAAATAAAATGTACACCTTTATAAATAGAACTTGCATCGAAGCATTCTAGCTATCCTAAAATTCAATGCTAACCTAAATAAAAAATATTCAAAGCATATATATCTATTAAGTAACTTGATTCACTCCTAAACATAGGCTTATTAAATTTCCTTTGTGTTGGCATAGAAATATAATTTCTAATTATGGCAAGGTCTACAATCAAACTATTCATTAACATATTAACTGATATACAATGGCACTAGCTTCATCTTAGCTGCTGCTCATAAGAACAACAGGTCATACTTTACCCAAATTTACATAATATATTCTACGCAACTCATATCATCCAATTAACGATATCATATATAAAACAAATTACACTAATATCTTAATTAAATTCAATTACATATTACTTAATATATTAACCCGTTA